AGCGAAGCATGGCCTCTGAGGTAGGAGGTGCAGAGGGAGTGGGGGAAGGGCGTGCCGTTGATGGCGACTGGTTGCTGAGATTGGCAGGAGAGGACAGATGTTCAGGCAGATCCTCTGGTGAGGAGTAGGGAGGGGGAGAGGTAGTGGAGGAAGATTTACGAGGGGTTCGAGCTAAGAGGATTTGGTAGGTGGAGCAGGAAGAACATAGGTCAGGGTGGGTACGGAGGTCCCAAAAAGCCTGGACGTAAGGAATTTCATTGTCCTTGCCTGCGCGGCGACAAAAATCGTCAAGATCTCGGAGGGTGTTGAAATCAAAAGTGCCAGTCGGGGGCCAATGTGACTGGTTACTGAGTTTGTATTGGGGCCAAGCCACCTGGGACAGGAAAATAAGCTTTTTCTTTCTGAGGGTTTGGGAATATCCCAATTTGGTAAAATTTTGCAGCAAGCACCCGAGGGGGGCGCTCAGAGGTATTTTGGACTCCGAATTTCCCATGGCAGGCGCAGCTACAGACTCTCCAGCGTGGATGGGCAGATGCAACGAAAAGGCGTCCCCGTTCGTTGCAAATTCCCCGGAGTACAATTAAGTACGGAAAGGGAAGCGGTCAGAGGGGCGTCCCCTGTCTGACGGCTGTCCCTCGGAAGGCTCCTGGAGCCGGAACGGAAGACTACCTTGGCTCGGCCAAGACTAGGCAAGGAGTCCATGCAGAACGCTGGAGAGGGAGCAACTGCACTGTGCCGTAGGAGGAGGAGACGGGAAGCGGGGAAAGGCAAAGCAAGAAAAAACTTGGCTTACCTTAATCGGAACGTGGAGGTGGCAGGGCCAGTGTTGGGTAGGTCGGGGAGGGGGGCCGTGGCCGGGCCAACAGCCCCAGCTCCCGGGTTTCTGGCACCATTTGTCCGACCTACCCTCTGCGGGAAGACTGGGCTCATTGGGAAAGAAACCGGACCGCAGGCTAGAGGAAATTCCTTAAGTTCAGGCTTTATTGAGAGGAAAGAGCCTGGGCAGGCCAGCCGGGACGAAAAGGAAAAATGGCCACGCCACTCAGAGGGGTAGGGTTGTTTTATAGGAGGCTAAAGGGCCGAGGGAGTGGGGAAGTGAGAAAGCTGAGGTGGTGGGCAACGTTTGGTCAGTTTGAACCGCTAGGCAGGAAGCTGGGCGGCGGGAAGCTGGGCGGCGGGGAGCTGGGGAGAGCTGATGAGGCAGAAACCGGGCAGCGGGAAGCCGGGCAGTGCTGATGAGGCAGAAGCGGCGGGAGGGGAGCTGGGGAGTGCTGATAAGGCAGAAGCAGTGGGAGGGCTGGGGCCGGTATGTAAAGTGAGAGATAAGGGAGCCTCTTTGTGGGGGAGGGAGAGAGAAAGAGCTTTCACGGTAGGGACAGAGTTTTCCAAACAGGCACAAATTGCATTCCTGAAAGCAAAGTCCTCATGACCTAATCATTTGCCGAAGACTCCATCTCTCAATATTATCTCAATGGGAAACTGATTTCAATATATAAATTTGGTGGGAGGAGGCACAAATTTAGACCGTAGCAACAGTCAATACTATATTGTAAATGTGTCCATTTTCCGGAATATAATAAAACACACCATTGTTTTCAGGCTTGGCATTTATTATAGGCACAAGCTTAATATAACTCAAATGATTGAACTAATGTGGTTCTCACATTGTCCTATTTTGTAGGAAGAGATGGCCAGGGGCAGACCTGTGTGTTACTTACAGTTAAATGATTACAAGCTTGCTTTGCTTTTTTTTTTTCTGAGATGGAGTTTCGCTCTTGTTACCCAGACTGGAGTGCAATGGCACGATCTCGGCTCACCGCAACCTCCGCCTCCTGGGTTCAAGCAATTCTCCTGCCTCAGCCTCCCGAGTAGCTGGGACTACAGGCGCGCGCCACCATGCCCAGCTAATTTTTGTATTTTTAGTAGAGACGGGGTTTCACCTTGTTGACCAGGATGGTCTCGATCTTTTGACCTCCGTGATCCACCTGTCTCAGCCTCCCAAAGTGCTGGGATTATAGGCGTGAGCCACCGCGCCCAGCCGCTTTGCTTTTTATACACTGAGATGTGTGCCGCGGATCATATCCACACTATGGTGCAGTTAAATAAAAGCAGAGATCAAGCAGTATCAGGAGGCCTGTGGTAAGGACCATCTGAGAGCCTCTGTAACCGCAGAACACTGCGGTGTGGCTGCAGAGCAGAAGAGAAACTGCTTTGGTCCCACAACTCTTCCCAATGTAGAGTTTGTGTAAGGATTTTGTAAAGGGAGCTTATGTAAAAGACTTAGGGAGGTAATGCAACCTCAGCTCACAAGACTTGGAAGGGTTTTTGCAGATGGGTGCTGGTAAGGCCTGAAAGCCTTGCGGGCAGAGACACCAGAAGGCCACAGGCTCTGCCTGGATAGACAATGGGTGGTAAAATCTCAGTGTCCTGAGTTAGCATTTCTTAGGAAAACCGAGTTTGCTATTGAATGCTGCAGATACATGCTCTTCCTCTGGCTATCTTCCTTCTGAAGGCCCCTTCCCACAGCTTGCAAGATTAACAAGATAATACACCTAATGAAAAATACTTAGAGCCCAAAGCTCAGTGCCAACACGAATCATCCTGGGAGAGTGCATTGGACCCCTGGACCCATGCTGTAAAATTCTATTCTTCTGTCTTTATTTCTTTTCTGTCTCCCTCATCACTTCTGGGACACGGGGCACCCACGCACAGGGTTGGGCTGGTTCCCAACACTGTTTCACAAATGTAAACAGAGAACACCATTTTTTGTTTTTTTTTTTCTGCCCCTCCTTCCTCTGCATTTTTTGTTTTAATAGCAGTATTCCTTGTTATAATAAATATTAAAGTAGCACCATAATAATATCACTAAGTATATAATCTAATTTTGCTGATTTCACAGAGGGTGGAAAACATCACCCCTGAGGTGGGACTGCTGGGTTTATATAATACAAACACCTGAAGGTGGCAGAAACTAGAGGAGACAGAGGAGTTCTTAGCATCAGAATTGATATGTTGTTATTTATCAGATCTTAATAATTTAGAAGCATATAATAAACAATGACAAGGATTCTGATCTTTGTTATAAAGTATAATTGTGTTTCTTATATTTAAAACCAGTAATAGAATCCACATAATTGTAGAAGTAAGTATAACTGTAAGTGGTATGGTACAGCATGGTGTGTGATACAGTATGGTATGGGGAATGTGGAGTAGAGTGTGGTGGGGTGGGGTAGGATATACCATAGATAATAGTCACACTGGGCCAGGCGCAGTGGTTCACGCCTGTTATCCCAGCACTTTGGGAGGCCGAGTCAGGCAGATCACGAGGTCAGGAGATCGAGACCATCCTGGTCAACATGGTGAAACCCCCATCTCTACTAAAAATACAAAAAATCTGCTGGGTGTGGTGGGGTGTGCCTGTAAATCCCAGCTACTTTGGAGGCTGAGGCAGGAGAATCGCTTGGACCCAGGAGGCGGAGATTGTAGTGAGCTGTAGTGTAGTGAGCACCACTGCACTCCAGCCTGGTGACAAAGCAAGACTCTGTCTGGAAAAAAAAAAAGTCACATTGGCACTAGTAGCCCAATTAAAAGCTGAGGGTGGAGGGTGTGAGTAATCCTGGCATTATGAGAAGTGTCCATGACAACCTTGGCTTTAACCTGACTTTGGCCACAGGGTCAACACGTGCCACATCGCATCGCATCGCATCCATTATCCTACAAGGTGCCTGAGGCCCAGAACCCTCAGCCCTGCCACATTCCTCTTGCTCCCAGGGTTCCATATTTTCCAGTGGCTACTCCAGGGGAGGAGGTGGGCAGATGACCACTGACAATGGGGTGCAGGATAGAAATGCTAGGGTAGATGCTGATGGGAGTGACCCCCTGCCTATCGGTCCCCCACTACTGCCCTTTTCCCCATCTACATAGCCTGCCACCATGACCAGGAGGAGGCTAAGTTAGGAGACCTTGTAAACAGTGGGGAATGTAGGTAGGATACTCAGTTGGGCACCACCCTGACATGGAGTTAGAGCTGGGTGTGCTGAACCATGGCGGCTGGCATTAAATCTTGAATTAGAGGACCTGAACCACCCCACCAACTTCCCCATGCATGTAGCCAATCTGTGGGGCATTTGGTCAACCTTGATATTATTGCTATTCATTCATCCAATTAACAAGCTTGTACTGAATGTCTGCTTTGAGCTGGCACCATGCTGGGCGCCTTGGGTACAGCAGAAACAAGACAGATGAAGTCTGGGTCTCATGAGAATGATAGTCCAGTGGGAAAGAGGGATGAAAAACCAAAAAAAGGAATATTGAATCAGGTCAGATAGTAGTATTTGCAATGCAAATACAGTACAAAATAAGGGATCAGGAAGTGACCGCTAGAGATGTGTCACTTCAGTGGCAGGATGAGATAGGGGTGGAGGCACTCCAAAGCTGGGAGAGGAAAGCAAGATGCATGGGCACTGGAGAAGCAGAGTACTCTCGGAACAGTCAGTGCAAAGGCCCAAAGCCAGAAAAGGCATCCTTAATGTTAAAACACCCAGAATTGAGATAAATGTTCACTGTCTCCAACTGTGGGCTCTCTGGACTCTATGGCCTCTTTTATTGTAGTTGTATTTTTTTTTGGGAGTCTCACTCTGTTGCCAGGCTGGAGTGTAGTGATGCAATCTCGCCTCACTACAATCTCTGCCTCCCAGGTTTAAGCAATTCTCCTGCCTCAGTCTTGAGTAGCTGCGACTACAGGCATGTGCCACCAGGCCCAGCTAATTTTTGTATTTTTAGTAGGGATTGGGTTTCACCATGTTGGCCAGGATGGTCTCAATCTCTTGACCTCGTGATCCACCACCTTGGCTTCCTGTGGTTATATCTTTACACTACAAACATTAAATGCAACTAGGTAAAAGTAGAAATAACCAAAATATTATGTGAAAGTTTGATATGTAAAATATAAAAATTATGTAATCATAGATAATAAATATATACTATAAAACAGATACTACTTATATAAAATACAAACTATTTTATTGTAGTAGGGAATATACAGTCATAAATATTACAATATACTATGTAACATACTGTAGACATAATTTACTGTAGCATGTAATGACAGGTACATATAAGATTAAAATATATAAATCTAGTTATTTATATTTATAAATATTTTACCAAATGTAATTCAAGTTATCACATGGTCAAATATAACAGCACTTACGAGATTCATCCATGTTGTAGTAAGTGTCAATACATCATTTTCTTATGTCTGAGCAGCCCTTCGTGGTATCAGTGTACACATTTGTTTCATCATTCATGCACTGATGTACATTTATGCTGTTTCCTAATTTTGGCAATTATACAATTGCTGTGAACGTTTGAGTACAGGTTTCCATGTAAACAGAATTTTTCTTTCATCTAGGGTAACTACTTAAGTGTGGGATTACTTAGCCATAATGATAAATGTACAGTTAAGAGTATAAGAAGCTGCCAAACTTTTGGAGAGTGGACAGACCATTTTACATCGCTACAAGCAAGGCATGAAAATTTCCATTGGTCTGTATTCTTGTCAATTCTCAGTACATTTTCATTTTTAGCCATTCTAAAAGCCATTCTATAGTAGTATCTCATTGTGGTTTAATTTGCATTTTCCTGATAAAGATGTTGAGAATCTTTTCATCACCTTATTTTCCATCTGTATTTCATAGCATGATATGGATGAATCTCAGATACTTCACATTAAATGAAAGCACTCAGACTCAAAAGGAGATATACATATACATACAAAACACGCACACACAATGACACCACTTACACAATATTGTGGAAAAGGTAGAACTATAGAGACAGAAACAGACTGGTGATTGCCAAGGGCTGGGAGTGGAAAAAGGGAACTAGAAAGGGACAGGAAAGAAATGAGGGAAGTGAGGGAACTGTTCTCTATTTTGATTGTGGTGTTTGATTGCATGATTAGATACAACTGTGAAAACTCGGAACGCCACACTAAAAAGTGTGAATATTACTACATGTAAATTATACCTCAATAAATATAACTTTAAAAATATTTCAGTTATGTTCACACAAAAAGCCTGCATACAGGTATTTATAACAGCTTTCCTCATAATTGCCAAAACTTGGAAGCATCCAACAGTCCTTCAGTAGGTGAATAAATAAACATCCAGGCAACAGAACATAATTTGGCACTAAAAAGAAATGCGTTATCAAGCCGTGAAAAGACACGGAGGAAACGTAAATCCACATCACTCAGTGAAAGCAGTCAGTCTGAAAAGGCTACGTACTGTATGATTTCAACTATATAACTGGCCAACATGGTGAAACCCCATCTATCAAAATACAAAAAATTAGCTGGGTGTGGTGGCATGCACCTGTAGTCCCAGCTAGCTATTCGGGAGGCTGAGGCAGGGGAATTGCTTAAACCCAGGAGGCTGAGGTTGCGGTGAGCCAAGATCGCACCACTGCACTCCAACCTGGGTGACAGAGCGAGACTCCATCTCAAAAAAAAAAAAAAACGTTAGCTCCAATAGGGAGAACCAACTTGCCTAAAATACACCAGGCCCTAAACATATGGTGACATTGGTTTTGACCTCCAGTGTTTGCCTTGGCTGTGTCCCTTTCTGCCCCTAAACATATGGTGGTATTGGTTTTCATAGAAGTTATTGATCTGTTATATGAAAGTCACATCATTAAGGCCAAATGCTAAGCTTCAAGTCAGTGACAAATAAAGGGGAAAAAAGGCAACTGAATTGAAAGAACTATGTAAGCAGAAGGGATTTTTAAGTTTTCTCAGATGACCTGAAAATTCTTACCTCAGAAGCTTTCTTGAAGGTGATAGGAGTTCACAAGACACTGTGCTGGAGGTCAAAAGACAATGTGCTGAGGGCTTGCGAGGCTCAGAGACAGTCCTGGCAGATAATGAGGGGGGTTGCAAGTCTTCGTGCTAGATAACAATGGGGACTCAACATAGTTCTGAGGTTTACATCTGTAAACACAAAGGTTTTTTTTTTTTTAATTCTTCCTTGATAGAAATATTGAATGAGGGTTGGATAAGACCAAGTGTGATACATTCAAATGAGAAAGAAAACACCCACAAATCTGTTAGACCATCTGTTCTGCAATGAACAACTCACAGAACTTAGGATTCAAGTTATGTTGTTTTATCATTCAATTTGTTGACACTACACCTATTCCATGGTAAACAAGATTATCATTAACATAATATAATCTTTCTTATGAAGAATTTGGTAACAGTGTTCCATTGTAGTTTTCATGAGAAGACTTTTCCTATGTACCAAATTGACCCAGTTCCTTGTCAGTATGAATGCCCCAAGGTTTGAGGCTGCTGACAAGGTTGGAAGGGTCCCTCGCCTCATTCTATGCCTTCTCAGAGGCCTTCTCCAGAACAGTCACGTGTGACATTCTGATGTGGTCATTTCTATTTACAATAATATACATATTTTTCTGCTGCATGAATGCAACAATGTACGATCAGACCCATCCCTCAGAGAGGTTTTCTCATACTTTTTCTCAAGCGTGAATACTCTGATGGACACTGAGCACTGATTTCTGAACGAACCCTTTCCCACAGATGCCACACTTGTAAGGTTTGTCACCAGTATGTGTTGTCTGATGTTTATTCAAATTTGACCTGTCAGTAAAGGCCTTCCCACATTCAGCACACACATAAGGCTTTTCTCCGGTGTGAATTCGTTGATGCACCTGGAGCTGTGATTTTTTAGTGAAAGACTTCCCACAGTCACTGCACTCATAAGGTTTCTCTCCAGTGTGAATTCTGTGATGTGTAATCAACTCTGACTTCTGTCTGAAGGTCTTCCCACATTCAGAGCAAATGTAGGGCTTTTCTCCAGTATGAGTTTTCTGGTGCTTACTGAGATTTGACCTGCCACTAAAGGCCTTCCCACACTCGGCACACACATAGGGTTTCTCTCCTGTGTGAACTGGCTGATGCACCAGGAGCTGAGACTTGGAGGTAAAGGACTTCCCACAGTCACTGCATTCATAAGGCTTCTCTCCAGTATGAATTCTTTGATGAGTAATAAAGTTTGACTTGCGGATGAAAGCTCTTCCACACTCAGTGCATACGTAGGGTTTCTCTCCTGTGTGAATTTTCTGATGAACAATGAGTATTGATTTCTGGTTGAAGGCTTTCCCACATTCATGGCATTCATACTGTCTCTCTCCAGTATGAATTTTCTGGTGTATATTGAGATGAGACTTCTGGGTAAAGGCTTTTCCACAAGTACTGCATTCATAAGGTTTCTCCCCGGTATGGATTCTCTGATGTGTAATCAAGTCCGACCTCTGGGTGAAGGCCTTTCCACATTTGGAACATAGATAAGATTTCTCTCCTGTATGAGTTTTCTGATGTGTAATGAGATTTGACCGGTTGGTGAATGCCTTCCCACATTTATTGCACATATAGGGCTTTTCTCCTGTGTGAATTCGTTTGTGAACATGAAGTTGTGACTTGGAAGTAAACAATTTCCCACAGTGACCACATTTATAAGGTTTCTCTCCAGTATGAATTATTTGATGTGCAATCAAGTGTGCCTTCTGAATGAAGGCCAGTCCACATTTCATGCATACATATGATTTTTCTCCTGTATGAATTCTCTGATGCACTGTGAGTGCTGATTTCTGAGTGAAGGCTTTTCCACAGTCACTGCATTTATAAGGTTTCTCTCCAGTGTGAATTCTCTGATGTATAATCAACTCTGACCTGTAAGTAAATGCCTTCCCACAGTCAGTACATATAGAAGATTTCTCTCTACTTTGAGCTTTTTTATGTGTAATGAGGTTGGAATTATTGCTGAACACCTTCCCATATTCAGTACATAAATAGGGCTTTACTCTTGAGTGAATGCGTTGATGTACCTGAAGTTGTGACTTGGAAATGAAGGATTTCCCACAGTTACTGCACTCATATGGTTTTTCTCCAGTATGAATTCTTCGGTGTGCAATCAAATGAGTCTTCTGAATGAAGGCCTGTCCGCATTCAATACAAATATAGGATCTCTCACCTGTATGGATTTTCTGATGCATCTTGAGTGTGGATTTCTGTGTGAATGCTTTGCCACATTCAGTGCATTCATGGTGTCTCTCTCCAGTATGAATTTTCTCATGTATGCTGAGATCTGAATTATAAGAGAAGCCTTTCCCACATTGGCTACATTCATAGAGTTTCTCTCCAGTATGAATTCTCTGATGTCTGAAGAGAGAAGATACTTGGAAAAAGGATTTTCCACATTCATTGCATTTAAAGGGTTTCTCTCTCATATGGGTTTTCTGATGTGTAATAAATTCTGGCTTCTGTACAAAAGCCTTCCCGCATTCAATACAGACATAGAGTTTTTCTCCTGCAAAAACTTTCAGGTGTACTTTGAGCTGTGACTTCTGGGTGAATATCTTTTCAAATTCAGCACATTCATAAGGTTTCTCCCTGGGATGCATTTTTTGAGGTTGAGAAGATACTTGTTTATAATTGAGGATTTTTCTACATTGATTATAGTCCCATAATTTCTCTCCTGTTGGAATACACTCATGGTTAGTATTGGAAGAAATTTTATCATTTGGTAATCTTTTTAACATTCTTTGAAGCATTATTTTCATTATGACTGTGTAAATCTAAATTATGCTTTAATCCATTTCCAAATGAGCCACATTGATGGGGTCTTTCGGGAGGATAAGTGATGTTTGGGCTCACATGAATTATTTTTCTTCTATCCTTAAAGTCATAATGCCTCTTTGTTGCAATATTTTCTTGATGAAAGCAACATCATTTTAGTATTTCTTTTCTTTGCTGATAGCTCTCTATTTGTCAGCAATCTGTCATAATTATTCTAGAATAAAATAGAATCTCACATCACTTTTATCATGTCCTTTTCTTTCAATATGTAAAGAAACCTCTTCAGAGATTCCTTGCTATAAGGTCTGAAACCTAAACTTCTCTGCTCAAATGAGAAAGTTTGTTTTAGCTCAAAGAACAGCTAGCAGAGGCTAGAGGGGATGGTACAAATGTCTCATCCAGGCTGAACACAGAGAAAAGGGTGAAGATGAGTAACTTGAAGAGAAAGGTGGTGGGTGATAATATTGATAGGAAACATTCTGGAAAACAATTCAGTAGTTAGAGGAAACAAACCAGATAAAGAGATAACACCACAGACTGATGGGGAAAAAGTAAGGCAAAAAACGCTATATATACCACAGTATCATTCATATAAACTAATTATCCAAACTCTTAATTCACTTACAACATGCATGAAATAAAAAATGTTTCCATCATATGAAACAGTGGCTTATGACAAGCAGGAAAATGGATGTGGGAGAAAGAGAAAAAAAAAAAAAATACATAAGAGAGAATCCTCACCCAGGCTCTTGATGATAGTGTGTCTTAAACTGAGGACCATGATTAAACTCAAACCTCATCAGCTAAACTATAAAAATAATGCAATCAAAAACAACAACAACAAAAACGAACCCTGGTCAACGTGGAATCACTCAAGCAACATCAGGAAAAAAGGTCAGGAAGGGTGATTAATCATGTTAAAGACAGCAGAAAGAAAATCCCAAAGATGAAGTAACAGTGACCCCCAAGTCATCAGCTGGATAAAAGGCATGAAGGACTGGGAAAAATTAAGAATTTCACAGCCATTCCCTCCACAGCCATTTCCTCCATTTCCCTGTTTTGTTGAGAAAAAAAGAGAGGCTGATTGGAGGAAAAGGTTCTGAGGCATCTCACAGTGGCATGGTGGCTCACACCTATAATCCTAGCACTTTGGGAGGCTGAGGCGGGTGGATCAAAAGGTCAAGAGATTGAGACCATCCTGGTCAACAAGGTGAAACCCCGTCTCTACTAAAAAACACAAAAATTAGCTGGGCATGGTGGCACGCGCCTATAGTCCCAGCTACTTGGGAGGCTAAGGCAGGAGAATTGCCTGAACCCAGGAGGCAGACGTTGCAGTGAGCTGAGATCGTGCCATTGCACTCCAGCCTAGGTAACAACTCCGTCTCAAAAAAAAAAAAAAAAAAGAAAAGAAAGAGAGAGAAAGAAAAGAAATAAAGGTGACTAGCAGGAGTGGGAGTGTGTGTGACACAGAGTAACTTTGAAAGAAAGCAGATCCATGAATGTCTGAATATAAAAGAAAGACTCTAGGACTATGGGGTAAGTCGGAGAAAAAAAGAATGTTAGAGAAAATGAGCATAACCAAGAAAGAAAGATCTTTAAGGAGGCAGAGTGGCACATGATTCAGAATCCACAAAGCCAAAGAAGAACAAAGGTGGCTCATGCCTGTAATCCCAGCACTTTGGGAGGCCAGAGTGGGTGGATCACTTGAGGTCAAGTGTTTGGGACCAGCCTGGCCAACATGGTGAAACCCTGTCTCTACTAAAAATACAAAAATTAGCTGGGCATGGTGGCTGGCACATACCTGTAATCCTGGCTATTCAGGAGGCTGAGGCACAAGAATCACTTGAACCTGGGAGGCGGAGGTTGCAGTGAGCTGAGATCACACCACTGAACTCCAGCCTGGCCAACACAGCCCAGGCTGTGACAAAAAAGAAGTGACAAAGGTCATGTAGGGGGAAGGCATTCAGTGATCTGAGAGGCCAAGGGGCATTAAGCAATATAAAAAAATTCAGAATATTCCAGAAAAAGCATCTTAATAGTATTCCAAGGGTGTCAGTGTTTCTCAAGACAGCTGAGATTTCCTCCCGTCTCCCATCTATCTGAGTCGTACTTCACTCACCTGGGCAGCTCTGATGTGGCCTCTCACCCTGCAATGCCCATGGTTCATTTCCTTGCTCCAACATGACCACCTCTGCTTCAGGAACTTGATACCCTGTTCATGAGAAATGATAAAGGTCTGGGTCCAGCTACTTATGTTTCAGGGACTAATCAATAAAGTCTTATTCTTTGATGAGGATTTTTTCTTCAGTAAAGTAACTATAACTTTTCAGAGTAATATTCCGTGTGCCCTAAACAAATTAAGGACAAAACCATCAGCTATTTTAGATGCTGACGGCATTCAAAATGGAATGGAATGAGAATGAAGCACTCTCAGTGAGGCCTCCTTTCAGATACCAAGGTGACTGCACTTACCGACTGAGAGCAGGTGGCTGTAGGTCTCCAGCATCACATCCCGGTACAGGTTTCTCTGAGATGGGTCCAGGTGCCGCCATTCCTCTCTGCTGAAATCTATAGCCACATCCCTGAAGGACACTGATCCCTGTAAGGGCACATGCCTATTCAATGTGCATAGTCAGCTTAGGGGGTTAGAGAGACTATATTTAGGAATATGGAATACAGGTCTTGGTGTTTTAAATTTACATCCTCTTTTTAAAAACTCACTCCCATTTCTCTAATATTTTATTATGAAAATTTTCAAACATACAGTACAGTAAGAACTGTATACCTATCACCTAAGCTCTATAATTAACACTTTACTTGCCTTATCATAAATCTAAGCCATTCTTTTATCCATCCATCTTGCTCTTTTGTACATTTGAAAGTAAGTTGTGGTGGCTCAAGCCTGTAATCCCAGCACTTTGGGAGGCCGAGGCGGGTGGATCACGAGGTCAAGAGATCGAGACCATCCTGGTCAACATGGTGAAACCCCGTCTCTACTAAAAATACAAAAAATTAGCTGGGCATGGTGGCACGTGCCTGTAATCCCAGCTACTCGGGAGGCTGAGGCAGGAGAATTGCCTGAACCCAGTAGGCGGAGGTTGCGGTGAGCCGAGATCACGCCATTGCACTCCAGCCTGGGTAACGAGCGAAACTCTGTCTCAAAAAAAAAAAAAAGAAAGTACGTTGCAGATGACACCACACTTCCTCGTAACACTACTTTTTGTTTTTTGTTTTTTTGGAAACAGAGTCTCGCTCTGTTGCCCAGGCTGGAGTGCAATGCCATGATTTCGGCTCACTGCAACCTCTGCATCCCAGGTTCAAGCGATTCTCCTACCTGAGCCTCCAGAGTAGCTGGGATTACGGGCATGAGCCACCACACCTGGCTTATTTTTGTATTTGTAGTAAAGAAAGGGTTTCACCATATTGGTCAGGCTGGTCTCGAACTGCTGACCTCAGGTGATCACCAGCGTTGGCCTCCCAAAGTGCTGGTATTACAGGTGTGAGCCACCGCTCCTGGCCTCTCCTAATACTTCAAAATGCAAATCATGAAGTAGAGTGTAAAACTTGTTGACCTTTTTTAGGCAAAATTTAAATACAATTAAACGCACCAATCTTTAATTTACCATTTAAAATTTTGACAAATGTATACACCTGTATAATGCAGGAATTTCTAAGCAATATTATATATATGTGCATATTAAATATCTAGTTTTCCATATTTTGTGGAACACGGAAATCCAATCAAGAATTTCTGCTGTTTGTTCTGTACTATAGTCAATTACTCATTTTTCAAAACTGGCAATTGAAATATGCTGTGTTTTAGTTTTCTAGCAACTAGATGCATGACTGCGATATACCTTCCGTTTAGGACTAACCCTTAGACTAGCCCTGGGAACACATAAATAATTATTTTTCCAATCTTCTAGCAACTTAAAAGGCTTGGAAAATAAATTAGACTTAAGTTGTTTTTTTTTTTTTAAAAAAAAAAGACATAAAAAATCCATTAAGATGTTGCAAAGCAAATACTTTATGTGGAATACACTGAAGGCCCAAAGAAACAAAAAGTACATTTTACATGAGGGAGTAAGTTTACATTCCACAGAATTGAGGGATTTAACTTGGAAGATACAAAGGGATAACACAGAATATGGGGTGAGGGGGACAATGCCCAGAAAAGACAAGAATAAAGGTTGTAGAGATCAGAAAATACACGACGAGTTTACAGAACAGCAAATGGGTTTATATAAATGGAGAGAAGTCTGTCTAATGTGCCAGAAAAGACGTATAGGAAAAACAGTTTGGTCAAAGTATGGAATTTTTACTTTCAGTAATGGTAATTAAGGTAATCACAAAAAGTTCTGTGTTACAGGATAACCAAACAACTGGTGAAGAAAAGTTCTTTATAGAATGATTCTAGCTAATAAATAAAGAAGTTATGATAAAATTAAAATACCATCATGGGGCCAGGCGCGGTGGCTCACGCCTGTAATCCCAGCACTTTGGGAGGCCGAGGCGGGTGGATCACGAGGTCAAGAGATCGAGACTATCCTGGTCAACATGGTGAAACCCCGTCTCTACTAAAAATACAAAAAATTAGCTGGGCACGGTGGCGCGTGCCTGTAATCCCAGCTACTCAGGAGGCTGAGGCAGGAGAATTGCCTGAACCCAGGAGGCGGAGGTTGCAGTGAGCCAAGATTGCACCACTGCACTCCAGCCTGGGTGACAAGGGCGAAACTCCATCTCAAAAAATAAATAAAATAAAATACCATCATGTATAACTACTAATGAAATAATGGACTTAGACAGTAATCATTAATGGCTGCTGGAATGTTTCAGTTGAAATGCTGAAGGGAAATGTACAGTGGATAGATCAGCTAGTAACATCTGCATCCACGAACCAGCTCTCATGTGCCTGCTGACATGACTTAGTAATTAATTTCATTATACTACTTATGAAGTATTCTTGCCAAAAAATAAAATTCAAATCTGAATCTTATCAAGCCCCCAGATCTAACAAGCCATTCACAGGAGTGGGAAGGAGAGTGAAACATTCTGAACAATATGAAAACTAAGACATCAGCTAAATTCAGAAGGTAGCAAATGACCCACTTCTTCAAAAAGTTACAAAAGAATGGACATGAAAGGAATCTTTTCTTTACTAATAGAGACTTAAGAGCCATACTAACCCAAATGCATCTTGTGAACTTTGGCTCTTAATTCAAATGAACCAATCTTAAAAGGATTTTTTCTTTTTTTTTTTTTGAGACGGAGTTTCGCTCTTGTTACCCAGGCTGGAGTGCAATGGCCCGATCTCAGCTCACCACAACCTCCGCCTCCTGGGTTCAGGCAATTCTCCTGCCTCAGCCTCCTGAGTAGCTGGGATTACAGGCACGCGCCACCGTGCCCAGCTAATTTTTTGTATTTTTAGTAGAGACGGGGTTTCACCATGTTGACCAGGATAGTCTCGATCTCTTGACCTCGTGATCCACCCGCCTCGGCCTCCCAAAGTGCTGGGATTACAGGCTTGAGCCACCGCGCCCGGCCCTTAAAAAGATATGACAATTTAGAGAAATGCAAATGATTGGTATTATGTGATATCAAAGAATTACTGTTATTTTGTTGTGTGATATTGGCTTACTGGTTATGCTAAACAAAAAGGAAAAAAGGAATGCATATCTCTTTGAGATATATAGCAAAATATTTTTAGATAAAACATGGTGTTTGAGATTTGCTTTAAAATAACCCAGCCGCTGAATGGAAAGCAGTTTCAGATAAAATAAGAATGGCAGAATGGGCTAGGCATGGTGGCTCACACCTGTAATCCCAGCACTTTGAGAGGCCAAGGCAGGTGGATCAGGAGGTAAACAGGTCGAGACCATCCTAGCCAACATGGTGAAACCCTGTCTCTACTAAAAATACAAAAATTAGCTGGGCGTGGTGGCACATGCCTGTAGTCCTAGCTACTCAGGAGGCTGAGACAGGAGATTGCTTGAATCTGGGAGGTGGAGAATGAAGTGAGCCGAGATCGCGCCACTGCATTCCAGCCTGGCGACAGAGCAAGACCCCATCTCAAAAAAAAAAGTAGGAATCAATAAAACTGAAAATAAAAAATAGAGAAGTCATTGTAAGACAATACAGTTATTAGAGAACAAAAGAACAAAACCGATAAATTCACTGATTGGTCTATTAGTCAACCAGACTGGCAAAGATAAAAAGACACACATCATCAATATTAGGAATAAAACAGTAAATATCATTGTAGATGCAGCAGCTGTTTAAAATAAAGTGAGAAAAATAAATCCTCCAAGCTAATAAATTCAATAACTTAGAAAAAATAGGCCAATTCCTCAAACATCACAAACCACCAAAATGCAAATCTTTCAAAATAGATAAGATGAATAATCTTATGACATTAAATTAGTTTAAAGCCATAATTTAAAAACTCTTAAAAAAGAAATCTCTAGGCCCAGATAGTTTCACCAGATAATTCTTTTTTTTTTTTTCCTTCTTTTTAATTTTTTTGAGACAGAGTATTGCTCTGTCATCCAGGCTGGAGTGCAGTGATATGGTCATAGCTCTCTGCAGGCTTGAACTCCTGGGCTCAAGCAGTCCTCCTGCCTCAGCCTCCCAAGTAGCTGGGACTACAGGCACATGCCACCATGCCCAGCTTTTACCAGAGAATTCTATCGAACTTATAAAGAAGAATGTGTCATTTTTACATAATCTCTTCCAGAAAATAAAAGAGGAGAAACACTTCCCAACTAATATAAGCCCAGTATTCCTCCAATGTCAAAATCAAAGTACCAAAAACAAACAAAGACTACAGGCCAATATCTCTCATGAATTTCAATGCAAACATTCCCAACAAAATGTCAGCAAATTGAACTCAAGAATCAATTAAAATAATCATCTACCACAATAAACTGAAATTTATGGGGAAACTCTATACTATATTTTCTAACTCCTGTGAATCTATAATAATTTCTTTTTTTTTTTAAAAATAATTTCAAAATAAAAATTTAAATATACATATTACTTAAGAAGGATTATTTTCAAAACATACATGACATATGGGAATGGGCAAGACTGGAAGATCAGACACTCACTGCACAATTGATGAGAGAGAATATACATTGCAGCTGACCCTAAACAACACAGGTTTGAACTACGCAAGTCCACATATACATGAATTTTTTCAGTAACTGTCAACACCTAGTGTGCATGTCTCTCCTCCCTCCCCCTCCACCTTTTCTACCTCTTCCATCTCTGCCACCCGAGCCAGCAAAACCAAACCTTCCTTTTCCTCCTCCTCCTCAGTCTGCTCAGTGTAATAAAGACAAGGATAAAGACCTTTATGATGATCCACTTTCACTTAATGAATATTAAATATAAATATCTTCCTTTTGATTTTCTTAATTTTTTTCTCTAGCTTACTTTATCTAAGAATATATATAATACATATAATGGTAAAATAGATTTTAACCTATTAATCTATTAAAATCTAGGTTTTAATTTAACTTACATGTTATCAGTAAGGCTCTTGGTCAATAATAAGCTATTAATTAGTAGGTAAGCTTTGGGAGAGTCAAAGTTATATGCAGATTTTCAGCAGTGCCAGGGTTGACACCCCTAATCTCCATGTTGATCAAGGGTCAACCGTACTTATCAACCTAAAGTAAGGCCAAAGTTAACAGGATTGCAGACAGGAAGTGGTATTATTAAGGAAGTACACCGGCTGGGTGCAGTGGCTCACATCTATAATCCCGGCACTTTGGGAGGCCGAAGACAGAACACCTGAAGTCGGGAGTTAGAGACCAGCCTGACCAACATGGAGAAACCCCGTCTCTACTAAAAAAAAAAAAACAAATTACAAAATTAGCCAGGTGTGGTGGCATATGCCTGTAATCCTAGCTATTCAGGAGGCTGAGGCAAGAGAATCGCTTGAACCCAGGAGACGGAGGTTGCAGTGAGCTGAGATCATGCCATTGCACTCCAGCCTGGGCAAGAGCAAAACTCCGTCTCAGAAAAAAAAAAGGAAGTGCACTGACACTGAATGTAAAGGTGAGAAGAATTCAGAAATAATTCTTAGTTCTCAGTTTTGTGCCACTGTGTAGATGTTGGTGCAACCATGTAGATTCTGATGCCACAGATTTAAGGACTAGAGGAAGAGGCTGGGGAAGGAAGACAAGAAAAAATGATTTAAATTCTATATATATTGAGGTTTAGGTGATGGGATATATATGGGGATGTATTCTAGGCAGCTGGGACAGACAGCTACTATGGCAGTGGAGATTCAGAAGTCGTATGTAGACCAGGTGCGATGGATCATGCCTGTAATCCCAGCACTTTGGGAGGACAAGGTGGGCAGATCACTTGAGGTCAAAAGTTCAAGACCACCCCGGACAACATGGTGAAACCCTGTCTCTGCTAAAAACACACAAAAAATTAGCCAGGCATTGTGGTGCATGCCTGCAGTCTCAATTACTTGGGAGGCCGAGGCAGGAGAATCACTTGAACCCAGGAGGCAGAGGCTGCAGTGAGCTGAGATCATGCCACTGCACTCCAGCCTGGGTGACAGAGCCAGACTCCATCTCAAAAAAAAAAAAAGTCATAGGTATGAGCAGGTCACTGAATTCAGGAGTGGGCATGAGCACACAGGAAGAACTTGGAGAGAAAAATCTATTAAAGATACTTGTGATCATTAATATCTGAAAGCTTGATTTTTTTTTTTTTTTTCTTGAGACAGATTCTCACTCTGTCACCCAGGCTGGAGTGCAGTGGTGCAATCTTCGCTTACTACAACCCCTGCCTCCCAGGTTCAAGCGATTCTCCTGCCTAAGCCTCCCGAGTAGCTGCAACTACAGGTGCCCACCACCATGCCTGGCTAATTTTTCTATTTTTAGTTAAAATGAAGTTTCCTTTGGAGGCCAGGGCGGGCGGATCACCTTAGGTTGGGAGTTCAAGACCAGCCTGACCAACATGGTGAAACCCCATGTTTATTAAAAAAAAAAATTCTGTTTTTCAGTGTTGTTTACAGAAATTTAGGTCTTGTCTAATCTGCTAAATATGTTAATCAGTGTCAGATGCTGGATTCCAATTCATTTTTAGTGTGCCTGTATGACTTTTCTCCACATCCTTTAATTAAATTTATATTACTTGTTAAATAAATAAATAAATAAAATGAGGTTTCACTATGTTGGCCAGGCTGGTCTTAAACGCCTGACCTCAGGTGATCTGCCTGTCCCAGCCCCCAAAAGTGGTGGGATTACAGGCATGAGTCACCATGCCTAGCCTAAAAGTATGATTCTTAAAAGCTACCTTTTTTTAAATTTCTTCATTTAATTGTGTTCAGAGATTACAATTTATTTCTTTGTGATGTGTGTTGATTCTGTTTATAAGGCTTACATCATTGTCATTTCTTAAAGAAATGCTTATACACTGTTGGTGAGAGTATAAATTAGTTCAGGCATTGTAGAAGACAGTGTGGCAATTCCTCAAAGACCTAAAGACAGAAATACTGTTTGACCCAGCAATCCTATTATTGGGTATATACACGAAGGAATATAAATTATTCTCTTATAAAGACACATACCCACATATGTTCATTGCAGCACTATTCATAATAGCAAAGATATGGAATCAACCTAAATGCCCATCCGTGATAAACTGGATAAAGAAAATGTGGTATATATACACCATGGACTACTAAGCAGCCATAAAAAGGAATGAGATCATGTCTTCTGCAGGAACATGGATGGAGCTGGAGGAGATTATACTTAGCAAACTAATGCAGGAACATAAACCAAATACCACATATTCTAACTTATAAATGGGAGCTAAATGGTAAGAACACATAGACACAAAGAGGGGAACAACACACAATGGGGCCTTTTGGAAGGTGGAGGGTGAGAGGAGGGAAAGGATCAGAAAAAAATAACGAATGGGTACTAGGCTTAATATCTGGGTGATGAAAGTCTACAATAAACCTCCATGATACAAATTATATAACAAACCTGTCCTTGTGCCCATAAACTTGAAATAGGTTAAAAAGAAAAAAGTTCCCCATATATCTGAAAAAAATACACATGCTCTAATTTTCTTTTCATCATATACTTGTGTATTCACACCCTACACACACTTAACTTCCAGTCCGCAAAACTCACATTATCAAAAAATTTAATGGGGAATCAAGGCAATGTCATGTTACGCTGGAATGCAGTTTTGACACCTCACCAAATATCTTCTTATAGACAGTTTGTCAGGAAGAAATCTCCTCATTCAAAGATAGTAATAAACATCTCCTGATGTACAAAGATACTATGAGTAAAAGAATGAAAAAACAGATTAAGAGGAATACACTAGAAGTAAATTGACATACAACAGAAGAAATCATATCCTTCATATTCACTAAAACAATGAACTACTTATGGAAAATGATAGACTAGGAATACAGTAATATAAATTTTTGAAAATGAAAAGACCCTGCAAATCACAAAAGGTGGCAAAGAGCAGATTAAGACAAGAGAGCAACATGAGAGGGAAATAAAGAATTTTTTTTAAAGAAAAACAATAAAAATAAAAGGAGTTTAATAAAAATATCCAATGAACAAAAGAATCCTTGGGTGGCAGTACAGAACTGTTAATCATTATTCACAGCACAAATTTAATAAATACTGTCTTAGAGAGTAGATTAGAATATCTGGTTCAAGAAGTTAACATTATAAAGAACACACACACAGAATCCAAACTTTCCAAATTACATGGAAGGGACACAGAAAGAAAGCAAACATATAGAGTATATAGGAAAAGATTTAGAAAAGAAATAGCCACGTCAGAAGCATAACATAAAATGCATCTTCCCACAGAAAAAAAAAAGCACAGGAACTCCAAAGGATGACATTAAAAACATGAGCAAAGGCATATCTGGAATTGCCAACAGAAAGGAAATAAGAGCCTCCACCTTAATATTAGATAGGGCTGAATTCTAGGGGGAAAAATATTAAGCAAGGACCCAGTATGAAATGAGTTTCAGATGCTGTTACTGTCAGTGCCCCAAACTACATAGCATCAAAATGGATTATAAAAAACCATAGGAAAATACAGACAAAAATACATTTGTGGTGGGAAACTTGAAATAATATCTCTCAGCTCCACAAGACAAAGTAGAAAAACATGAGTAATACCACAAAACAAATTTTTTTAAAAATGAGTAATACTATAAAAACCTCATAGCTATATAAAATACCTTATTGATAAGTTAGCAAATTCTATATTTTGGGAACAGATTTCTTTTCAAGTGCCTATGTGACAATCCTAAAAACAAAACAAACAAACAAATAAAAAATAGCCTTAATAATCTCTTAAAAGTAAATTTCTCCAATGCTGCAATCCTAATCTTATTAAAAGTAAAGTTTTTCTTTCTTGAAGTAGTTGCTGGTGCCAGGAAAAAAATAAAGAAAGAAAGAAAGAAAAAATAAAATTTTTTGTTTTCGAAGACAGGGTCTCACCATCACCTAGGCTGGATGTAGTGGCGATGTCCTGGCTCACTGCAGCCTTGACCTCCCAGACTCAAGCAATCCTCCAATCTCAGCCTCCCAAGTAGCATCTCCACCACACTCAGTTAATTTTGGTTCTTGTTGTAGAGATAGGGTCTCACTATATTGCCCAGGCTAGTCTCAAACTCATGGGCTCAAGCAATCCTCTGGCCTCAGTCTCCCAAAGTGCTGTAATTACAAGTGTGAACCACCACACCTGGCCAAAAGTAAAGTTAAAAAATGAAAATCTTAAAACCTAGAAATAAAATGTGGTAAATGGTAATTAAAAGATTTGGTGGGGTAGTTAATATTCTAGAAATTCATCCTTTTCTGCTGAGTATGGTGGCTAACGCCTGTAATCCCAGCGCTTTGGAAGTCTGAGGTGGGTGGATCATGAGTTCAAGAGATCAAAATCATCCTGGCCAACATGGTCAAACCCTATCTCTACTAAAAAAAATACAAAAAAAATTAGCTGGGCATGGTGGCATGTACCTGTAGTCCCAGTTACTCGGGAGGCTGAGGCAGGAGAATCACTTGAACCCAGGAGGTGGAGGTTGCAGTGAGCTAGGATCACACCATTGCACTCCCGCCTGGTAACAGAGCGAGACACTGACTCGAAAAAAAAAGGAATTCATCTTTTTCATTTAGATTTTTTAATTCATATGCATGAGATAAATTATTTTTCTAAATAATATTTAGTATAGTTCTGCTGTATACCAGAGCCTCTGATATACAGATAGCATTTTTATTGTTTTTGAGATCTTTGCAATTTAAGTTTTTGACTTTGGAGAGGGGTGCTGAGAAAAGAGCAGTTGTTTCACTAGTCCCAGTGAAAACCTACTAGGCTATTGTTTTCTTCTACTCTTCAATGCAGTTAGTTAACATATTTGACTTCTGAATCTATCTTCATAATTTCCAGGTCTTTCGGGCATCAAGGTTAACACTGTAAACAAAATAAAACAAAAACCGAAAGCGAGGTTGAGAATAATTTTAGATATTATTTTTTACCCAAAACTTTGGCATAACCATCAACTATAAAAGTGCATGACTTTTCCATTATTTTTTACTGTGTTGCAAACGCTGAATCAATTTTCAAGGATTTCTGAACCATTTGTTCCTACCAATTATATCTATTTTTTGTAAACCTTTATCCTTTTGTTTATACTTTCATATTTTTTGCATAATTTTATATACTATTCATTCATGACTGTTTAAATCTTAGGTATCGAAGTAACTGTTTCTCCTGTTTTGTTACTTTTTTTTTTTTTTTTTTTTTTTTTTCAGAATCTAGCTTTGTTGCCCAGGCTGGAGTGCAGTGGCATGATCTCGGCTCAGTGCAACCTCTGCCTCTCAGGTTCAAGTGATTCTCCTGCCTCACCCTCCCAAGTACCTGAAACTACAGGCCTGCACTGTGGCACTCCACTAATTTTTGTATTTTTAGTAGAGATGGGGTTTTGCCACATTGGCTAGGCTGGTCTTGAACTCTCAGCCTCAGGTGACCCACCCACCTCAGCCTCCCAAAGTGCTGGGGTTACAGGTGTGAGCCACAATGCCAGTCCAGTCTTTTTGTGTTTTTTTTAACACAGAGTCTGTCTCTGTCACCCAGGCTAGAGTGCAGTGGCGCGATCTCAGCCACTGCAAGCAACCTCTGCCTCCCAGATTCAAGCGATTCTTCTGCCTCAGCCACACCACCACACCCAGCTAATTTTTGTATTTTTTTTAGTAGAGGCGAATGGTCTCGATCTCCTGACTTCGTGATCCATCCGCCTCGGCCTCCCAGAGTGTTGGAATTACAGGTATGAGCCATCATGGGCCTGGCCACCCAGTCTTTGATTATATAGACATTTACTCCTTTTTCTTGATCATTTACACATAGATGCAACTTGTGTTTCTGTCAAACTCATACCTTAGGTCTTTTTTTTTTCTCCCAAACTTCCAGGATTCCAAAAAAGAAGCAATTAAATCTGTAGTTTTTCCCCTCTATCTGCAGGTTACCTTTAGCACACAAACATACTGTATTTATTTATGTTGAGACAGGGTCTCACTGTGTCATCCAGACTGGAATACAGTGGCATGATCTTAGCTCACTGCAACCTCCACTTCCCAGGTTCAAGTGATCCTCCCATCTCCTGAGTAGCTGGGACTACAGGCCAGCACACCACCACACCCAGCTAATTTTTGTATTTTTGGTTGAGACGGAGTTTCACCATGCTACCCAGGCTGATCTCTAACTCCTGAGCTCAAGCAGTCCACCCACCTCAGCCTCCCAAAGTGCTGGGAGTATAGGCATGACCCACCACACCCAGCCTACTACACAAACTTTAAAAGGTACTACTTTATTCAAATGTTTTTTTAATTGTGGTAAAAATATACATAACATAAAATTTGCCATTTAAATTTTTTTTTTTTTTGAGACAAAGTATCACTCTGTTACCAGGCTGAAGTACAGTGGCCCGATCTCAGCTCACTGCAACCTCCGCCTCCTGGGTTCGAGCAATTCTCCTGCCTCAGCCTGCCGAGTAGCTGGGATTACAGGTGTGCACCACTACACCTCGCTAATTTTTGTATTTTTAGTAGAGACGGAGTTTCACCATGTTGGTCAGGATGGTCTCAATCTCTTGACCTTGTGATCTGCCCGCCTTGGCCTCCCAAAGTGCTGGGATTAGTGTGAGCCACTGTGCCCAGTGCCATTTTAATATTTTTAAAGTGACCAGTTCACTGGCATGAAGTATATTCACAATGTTGTATAAGAGCCTTCTACTTTTTATTTTTATTTATTTTTGAGACAGAGTCTTGCCCTGTCGCCCAGGCTGGAGTGCAATGGTGTGATCTCAGCTCACTGTAACCTCCACCTCCTGGGTTCAAGCAATTCTCCTGCCTCAGCCTCCCGAGTAGCTGGCATTACAGCTGCATACCACCATGCCTGGCTTATTTTTTGTATCTTTAATGGAAACGGGGTTTCACTATGTTGGCCAGGCTGGTCTCGAACTCCTGACTTCGTGATCCACCCACTTCAGCCTCCCAAAGTGCTGGGATTACAGGTGTGAGCCACCTTGCCCGGTGTTACTTTTTATTTCTAATTTAATGTTCTTAGAAAACAGAATCGGTATGACAGCAAAGGTTTCTAGTCTTTGTCTGTCTTGAGTGTAGTGTACTAAAGTGACCAAGGGTACACATAATGATTTCTGGTCATTTTTACTTAATATAGTTCAAAGATATATTATTAGTTAACAAATGTTGATACCTTTTATAATTATTTGTATATGATTCCTAAGTATGAACTATTCTTTTCATCCCTTTAAGTGATTAATTTTCATCTTAAATTCCTTTTGATCTGTTCCTAAATTGTATCCCTAGCTTTCTTTTGGTTCATTCCTTTATTTTTAAAAGAGGATAAAAGCAGCCCCTGACTGCTGACGGTTAGCCTGGTACTATCAGTTAAGCCTCAGTTTTGCTAGAGGACAGCCTGGCAAGGACCAACTAACTCATGGTGTTCTCTGTGGCACTACACAAAAACAATCTCTTGGAATACCAACAGCAAACAAGACCAATCTCTGACCACCATGGTGGAAGACAAAACCAAGACCATTCTGTCATTATATTTGAGCACAGACAAAAATCAGAATCTTCTTCAAACCACAAAAGTGAATAAAAGTCTCCTTATTCTGACTAAGAAAAGTGACTGCCAATTATACCTTTACCATTAGAGCTTTTGCTTCCATCTACCCTTCCTATCTTCTAGATAAAGATGATTAAGATACCCAATCATAAAATTACCCAACAGGAACAGAAGTACAGGTTCAGTGAAATTCAGCTAAACCAAAACCCTGAAATGAAATTTTACTACTACTTATACATGCAACAGAAGGGAAAGACATGAAAAGAATGTCTACTGCTACATAATTCATAACATCATCTGTATTTTACCAAATAAATATTTAAAGACCAATGTGTGAAGTTAGTCTACTATGGCACCTTCTGTGAATTAGTAATAAAAAAAAAAAATGTGTGGTTGTTATTACTTGTTTACAGAATTAAGCAATCAAAGGAAATGAATAAAATTGGTCATCTATGTTGAGAAACACAGGGGAGGTGGAGAACAGAGGTGGATGAACCATAAATCCATCTTTCCCCTGAATTTGTTTCCTATAACACTTTTCAGGGTGTGTTGCCTTTATATATATATTTCTAAGTGCTTTTAATTTTTATTTTTTACTATTATTCCCATTTTACCGATTATACTATTTTTGTACTAAGTGTATATACTCCCTATTCAGAAAACTGAAGTTTCCTAAAACACTATCACAGTATCTCTAGAGGTATAAGAAATAAAATTATACTCATGAAATAAGAACAAGATGCTAATCAAAAAGAATATTTTGAAAACAAACTACAGTTATTCACAATTAAAACGTTGAATTAAAATGTCGATAGTGGTAACGAGAAACTCAAAAGAAGGGCTGCAATGCAAACGTGGCAAAGCTTCCCCAAAAAGAGAGCAGCAAAGAAATAGAAAGCAGTAAAGGGGGAAAAATGGAGAACATCTGAAAAACAGAAATTAAAAAAAAAATAGAAAAGAAAGAAAATATATGTGTTGGAGGAGGCAGTTTAGGAAGAAACAGAGAAATACTTTCAAAATCCCACAGAAAAGTGACTTCTAACCAGGAAAATCTATCCACAGCCCAAAGATCAATGTAGTGTCATGACAAAATAAACAAGTTTTCCTTGACAGTCCACCTCTCCACTGTCATACAGGTGGCCTCCAGACAATGAGACATTACCCACATGTTGCTCATTCCCTACAGGAAAATCAAGATTTGTTTCAGGAGCACCAGGTCTAGAGTCCAGCTGCTTCCTGTGGTCCAGCTGTCTCCCTCTATCCTGAGATTCTAGTGACAGATCAGAGATATCTACTCCTGGATTGAATTCCCATCCTCTGGGACTCCTCCTCACCTCATAGGAGTTGCCATGATCCTCTAGAGCCAGGGCCGGGGATTTCTGGGGTGAAGAAGTCCAGCTGGCTGGCATGGCCATAATGGATCTCAATCCTTTTTCTCTAGGATGCCTGAAGTTTAGTGGTCATCTGTGAACTCAAGCAGAGCTGCTCTGAAGAGGTAGGCTGGAGTCTGGAGGAAGATCTGACCATGGGGCTCCCCAGAGAAACCTGGAAAGACAATGTTCTCATAGTCAGTCATTTAACATTCACCACATAAACACATCCTGGATACATAAAGGTGCAGGTCCCTGAGCTAGAAACGAAAGCAGTGGTTCTCAAACGGATATGCATTCAAGTTCCCTGAAGGAGGCCGGGCGTGGTGGCTCACGCCTATAATCCCAGCACTCTGGGAGGCCAGGACCGGTGGATCACAAGGTCAAGAGATCGAGACCATCCTGGTTAACATAGTGAAACCCCGTCTCTACTAAAAATACAAAAATTAGCTGGGCATGGTGGTGCACGCCTGTAGCCCAGCTACTTGGGAGGCTGAGGCAGGAGAATTGCTTGAACCCAGGAGACCGAGGTTGCGATGAGCCAAGATTGCGCCATTGCACTCCAGCCTGGGTAACAAGAGCGAAACTCCGTATCAAAAAAAAAAAAAAGTTACCTGAAGGACTTGTTAAATAAAACACTTAAAAATTCTCAGCCCTGGCGGAGCGCGGTTGTTCACACCAACACTTCGTTGGGCCTAGGTGGGTGAATCACCTGAGGTTGGGAGTTTGAGAGCTCTGTCGCCAGGCTGGAGTGCTGTGGCACGATCTTGGCTCACTGCAACCTCCGCCTCCTGAGTTCAAGCGATTCTCCTGCCTCAGCCTCCCAAGTAACTGGGATTACAGGCATGCACGACCACGCCCAGCTAATTTTTTATTTTTAGTAGAGATGGGGTTTCACCATGTTGGCCAGGATGGTCTCGATCTCCTGACCTCATGATCCGCCCACTTCAGTCTCCCAAAGTGCTGGGATTACAGGCGTAAGCCACCACGCCCGGCTGTTTCTTCACTTTCAGTTTCAAAAATGAGGATGAAAATGCTTATCTCAAAGCTACAAAAATTAAATGTGGTAATACTTGTAAAGTGCTCAACACCTCCCTGGCACACAGAAATCATACAATAAATATAAGCAATTAGCACGCATTATCAGGTATTAAAACAATATAAAAACAACATAATAAAAACAAGTCAAACAATAAATATACCAGACTATTGATCTATATATGTGATAAAAGTTGTATTCAGTTGAGTGTACATAAGACAGTCACTGCATAAATGGCAATGATATAACTGCCATCCACCTGGAAAAAAACAAACTAGAGCTCCATCATACACTATTCAGTAGGCAAAGGCCAGCAGGACCGATCACTTAATTATGTGTATTTGTTAAATCCCGAAGAATATTAAAATAAATTTTAGAAGTACATATGTGTATAACACTGTGGTGTGTGTCCTCTTATTACACATGAGTGGAAACACTGACGCTATAGCAGAAAAATCAGGTATTTTTTATTGGATGATATTTCCTAATTTTACATTAAAATATATCGCCAAAAAAAAGAGATGGACAAAGGATATAAAAATTCACAGAAAAGGAAACAAATGGCAATTAACCAAAAAGATGCCAACTTTTGGTAACTGGAAATGCCTCAGGGCAATCAGATATAATTTTCCCTCAAAATTTTAAAAACGTTTCGTGGTGAAACCCTGTCTCTACTAAAAAAAATTAGCTGGGCATGGTGGCACGTGCCTGTAATCCCAGCTACTCAGGAGGCTGAGGCAGGAGAATTGCCTGAACCCAGGAGGCAGAGGTTGCGGTGAGCGGAGATCGCGCCATTGCACTCCAGCCTGGGTAACAAGAGCGAAACTCGGTCTCAAAAAAAAAAAAAAAAAAAAAAACGTTTAAAATGCAACAATATCCACTGCAGGAAAAGCATTTGGGAAAATGAGTTATTTTATAGATTGTTGGTAGGAACTTGAATTGTTATATTTTGAGCTACTTAGTTATATGTATAACGTATTAAAAATGCACACAATTGCTCCTAATATAATTTCACATATATAAAGCAGAAAAAGAAGGAAGATAACAAATGGACAGTGTGAGTAGTTTACCTTCCTCTCTAATTAAGCAGACTAAATCTGTGAGGAGACATATATTTTTGAATATATGCTTAATTAATATCTATAACAATACAATTAATTAGAGAACACTATATACCATTTTTGTGAATAGATGTGACATTCATGAAAACTGACCACGAACTAGGTCATAAAGCAATTTTTCAATTTGAGCATTAACCAGACATATTTAAAACAAAAAAGAGGCCGGGCATGGTGGCTCACGCCTGTAATCCCAGAACTTGGGGAGGCCATGGCAGGCAGATTACAAGGTCAGGAGTTTGAGACTAGCCTGACCAACATCGTGAAACCCCGTCTCTACTAAAAATAAAAAATTAGCTGGGCACAATGGTTTGCGCCTGTAATCCCAGCTACTTAGGAGGCTGAGGCAGGAGAATCGCTTGAACCTGAGAGATGGAGGTTGCAGTAAGCCGAGATCGCACCACTGCACTTCAGCCTGGGCAACAGCGAGGCACGGTCTCAAAATTAATTAATTAATTAATTGTAAAAAGGAACTTCTCAATAATTTATGGATCAAAGAAAAAAAAAACCCTTAGACTTGAACAATTTTTAATACAAAGATTTACCAAAACGTGATATTTTATATTAAAGAAGACTGAAAATTAATAAGCTGAACTTTCAACTCAGGTTAGAAAGCAAGCTGATTACAGTCCTCACCGATCACCATAGCTGACCCTACAGGCTCTGTCACTGACCACAGACTCCCATCACTGACTCCCAAACGCCAATCACTCATCCCAAAGAGCGCCATTAAGGACCCGAGAAATCCGTCACAGACAACCAACAACAGACGCCACAGAAACCCATCGCCGAACCCCGAAACCACCATCACTAACTCCACAGGCAACCTCGACACCCCCTATTACTGGCTCCACGGAAACCCCAGTCGTGACCAACCAAAATCACCTCAAAGACTTCTCAGTATTGAAATATGAAAATTCTGACACCAGCGGCAAAAAAGCCTTAGAGGAACACTTCCACTTCCGGTCCGACTTCTAGCCCCTCCCCTTTGCAGGCTGTTGATATTGCGCATGCTCTGAATTAACTTGGACTCCAATTTCACCAGCCAACGAGGCGCAGACAGCGCACACTTTCCGTAATCTGGCACCGTCGGGCAGAGAATATGGCCGCGCCTTCATGGTGTTATTCGTGTGGGCCGCCATCTTGGGAGCGTAGCCGTTCCAGAGAGCGGAGGAATTGGCAGCGGGCAGGATTCCTAGAGCAAAGCAGGTAAGGATGCTGAAATATGACCCTTGTCTGACTAGGCTTCTATTCTGGAGGAGAAAGTTACTGGAGATGGGGTCTGGCGCTGTATGTTACATTTAGAAAAGCTAAGTTGCCCTTCTGAATACAGGACACTGAGGATAATAATTACCTGCTGGGAGAAACCACCAAGGAAGAGAAGAGCCAGAGAAAAAAACACCAAGTTAAGGGGATCCTGGGAGAAACCACAGGCAGATGATAGGAGGAATCAGGATTAGAACAGTCCACTTTTTAGAGACGCCATTCAAGGAAAAGTTGGACAGGTCACTATGGGAGTCATCTCTTGAGTGAAACCACCCTGAAAGTCTGAGAGACATCTGAAGGAGTAGTAGGCTGCAGGAAGGGAGTAAGCCACCTTGGGAAATAGGGTGGAAGTCCGATGGTTTTAACACAATCTTCTCCTGGAAGATACCACCAGAGTTGGGAGGAGAGGTCCAGGCGTCCCCTTCTGAAGGGCTGGGTGGTGTGAGAAGGTGAATAGAGATTTGAATACCAATTAATATCCCTTACCCTTCATACTGACTACCTCAAGTGCAACTCTAGTAGGCAATGGTAATAACACTAATAGTCTTTAGTATGGCCAACGTGTGACTACACCTAAAAAAAACTATTTTCATTTACCTTGAAGTTAAAATATAATTATTAGCCATCGCCTTACTATATCAGTGAAGCTTTAAGTGCAGTCTCTGACCCTTGGCTTCTCTGTGGAAATTCTGAAGCCACGTAACACCTCCTTATTCCCCTTTTTGGGGGGTATGGGTGAGGAGTTATGAAGATACAATTCCTTTCACTTGGTGAACTCCTAAACATTACTCACAGCTCAGCTTCTGACAGGAAGTTCTACCTGACAGTGGTGGTAGGTTCTTTACCCAATAAGTTCAGTTCCAGCAGGTGGGAAAATTGTTTTCAGGGAATTGAACCTACACTCTGATGTGGGCATGCTAGATGCCTTCAGGCCAGTTATGTCTCTCTCTGAGACTCAGCTTAAAAATATGTTTAGAGAGGCCGGGCGCGGTGGCTCATGCCTATAATCCCAGCACTTTGGGAGGCCGAGGCGGGTGGATCACAAGGTCAAGAGATCGAGATCATCCTGGTCAACAAGGTGAAACCCCGTCTCTACTAAAAATACAAAAATTAGCTGGGCATGGTGGCGAGCACCTGTAGTCCCAGCTACTCGGGAGGCTGAGGCAGGAGAATTGCTTGAACCCAGAAGGCAGAGGTTGCAGTGAGCCGAGATCGTGCCATTGCACTCCAGCCTGGGTAACAACAGCAAAACTCCGTCTCAAAAAATATATATATGTATATATATGTTTAGAGAATTAGACTCTGCTGATCTCATTCTGTTTCTTCTCCTAAAGGATAGTCTAAGGAAACATCTGTGAAGTCCATTAGTGAACACACATTTCTACTAGAGGCCTAAGAATCACTGTTAATTTTGTCAGTAATACAGTTCTGTTAAAAAGAATATGACTTGGCCAGCTGCAGTGGGTCACACCTGTAATCCCAGCACTTTGGGAGGCTGAGGCTGATGGATCACAAGGTCAGGAGTTCAAGACCAGACTGGCCAACATGGTGAAACCCCATCTCTACTAAAAACACAAAAAATTAGCCAGGCATGGTGGCACACGCCTGTAGTCCCAGTTTCTCGGGAGTCTGAGGCAGGAGAATCCCTTTAACCCAGGAGGCAGAGGTTGTGGTGAGCCGAGATCATGCCACTGCACTCCAGCCTGGGCAACAGAGCAAGACTCCATCTCAAAAAAAAAAAAAAAAGGCAATAATATTAGCTTTAAAAACTCCACTGAGAAGGGGCATATGGTACTGCAAAAGAAAATGTTGATAAATGTTGAAGCAGGTTGGTAAGTAGACAGAAGTCATTATCATGGTCTCTTCCTAGTATTTGTGTGAAAATTTCATAGTAAAATTTTAATTTAAAACATTTACAAGGAAATATCGAGAAGACAGCAGGTGTGGTCATAGTATTAGGGAACAGAAACCTAGGAGAGCCAGAGTGACCCCATTTTAAGTTCAGCTCCATCTTGAGACTAGCAAGGCACATTCATTGTCAGTCACAACTCACGGTCCTAAGATGTTTACAGTGAAGGAAGCAACTTGGTGATGCCTTCAAGGACCGCCTCCTAGAACAATAGAAAATCCAGATGTCCAGTACTCCTAACAATAAATGCTTTCAAGATAATTAGTTATACCTTGATGTACATACACACTAAAATGTCAAGGATAGTATTCTTTTTCTTTCTTTTTTTTTTTTTGAGACAGAGAATCATCCTGTTGTCAAGGCTGGAGTACAGTGGCGCAACCTTGGCTCACTGCAACCTCTACCTCCCAGGTTGAAATAATTCTCCTGCCTCAGCCCCCCCGAGTAGCTGGGATTACAGGCTCCCACCACCACGTCCAGCTAATTTTTGTATTGTTAATAGAGAAGGGGTTTCACCATGTTGGCCAGGATAGTTTTGTTTAAATCAATAGAATAATAAATTTTGTCATAATGTCAGGCCATAACGTAGGCACAGCTTGCTTTAGCCTTTACATAGACAAGATCCCTACGTAAGAAAAACTTAAAGGGTGTTTCCTCACTTACTTTCTGAGGACACTCTACTCTGTAGTGGAGTAACTTTCAATAAACTATCTCTTCTCACTGCAGTCTGCGACTCACCTTGAATTCTTTCCTGCATGAGATCAAGAACCCTCTCTTGGAGTCTGGATTGTGACCCTTTTATTTCCATAACAATAGTATTATACAAACACAGGCATACCTCGAGATATTTAGGGTTTGGTTCCAGGCCACTACAATAAAACAAGTCACACAATTTGTTTAGTTTCCCAGTGCAGCACACACTGGGGCCTGCTGGGGATAGGGTGGGGAAAGGGAGAGCCTTAGGAAAAATGGCTAATGCATGCTGGGCTTAATACTTAGGTGATGGTTTGATGGGTGCAGCAAACCACCATGACACATGTTTACCTATGTGACAAACCTGTACATCCTGCACGTGTACTCCAGAACTAGGATGAAAATTAAAATAAAGAAAGTCTATTTTGAAAAATAGAGAAGATACAAGAAAACAACATGAGAAAGATTTAAAACTCCATAATTCTCAGGGTATTTTGAGTAATCCATTAGAAAATTTAATAAAATAGAAAGTTTTCCAAGAAAACACAGATGAAAATTGTCACGCAAAGGAAGAAAATATGGAGAGGCCAAAAACAATAAAAGAAATCTGAGGCTAAGTGAAGTGGCTCATGCCTGTAATCCCAACACTTTGGGAGGCCAAGGCAGGCAGATCACAAGGTTAAGAGAATTGAGACCAGCCTGGCCCTCATGGTGAAACCCCGTCTCTACTAAAAATAAAAAAATTAGCTGGGCGTGGTGGTGCACACCTGTAGTCCCAGCTACTCGTGAGGCTGAGGCAGGAGAATCACTTGAACCCGGGAAGTGAAGGCTGCAGTGAGATGAGATCATGCCACTGCACTCCAGCCTGGTGACAGAGCAAGACTCCAACTCAAAAAAAAAAGAAAAAGAAGAAAAAGAAAAGAAAAGAAAAAAGAAATTGAATTGAATTGGCAGCATATACAAAAACCAATCCTACGTGTATTAATGATTCAAATGTTAAAAACATAATTTTAATACTTTCAGTAAAAATATCAGTAAATGTTTTTTACACTTCATGAGAATAGAAAGATCTCTTAAACAGAACACCAAAAAAAAAAAAAAAGACTAACCATAAAAAGGTTGATAAAACAGACTATATTAAAATAATAATTTTTGTTCATCAAGTGATAGGAAAGAGAATAAAAAGACAAGGTATAAACTGATGCAGGTACACACAGAACACAGGCTACCCAAGATTGGTGGCAGGAATATACTTTTTAAAAAATCCTCCAAATCAATAAAGAAAGCTTAACAAACCCAATGCAAATATGGTAGGAGGCATGCACAGGTATTTCACAGAAGAAGAAATGCATGTAGCAAGTAGATATATGAGAAGATTTTCAGCATCCTTAGGATCAGCGAAATGTAAGTCAAGATAACAATATAATTTTACATAGGTTTGGCAAAATTAAAAAGTTTGTCAGGTTGGGCGCAGTGGCTCACATCTGTAATCTCAGCACTTTGGGAGGCCGAGGCTGGTGGATCATGAGGTCAGGAGTTCAAACCCAGCCTGGCCAAGATGGTGAAACCTCATCTCTACTAAAAATACAAAAATTAGCTGAGCGTGGTGGTGGGCGCCTGTAGTCTCAGCTACTCGGGAAGCTGAGGCAGGAGAATCACTTGAATCCAGGAAGCAAGGTTGCAGTGAGCCAAGATTGTGCCATTGCACTCCAGCCTGGCGACAGAGCAAGGTACCATCTCAAAGAAAAAAGAAAAAAATATCATAGCAATTAGAACATAATTTATTTTTCAAGTGTAGGAGCGTGTGACTTAACTGGCATGGCCTTTGGTCCTGTATCTTATTGCCACAAAGATTTTCTGTCACTCTCATAATGTGTGTTTTAACATAAATGTTGATCAGTTGTGTCTAAACCACAAAAGAGATTGGGTATAATGAAGCATGTCTGACCTTCCATCTTGCCTTGGCTGAGAACTAAGTTTTTACATTTTTTTCTGGGGTCCTCTCGGTCAAGGGGGGAGTCCATTAAGTCAGTTGGGAGCCTTAACCTCTAAACTGCCTCTGACCCTGAACTTCGACCCTCTCTGCCTCAGAATGACCATCTAATTCACACGTGCATTTTCTCCAGGGCACCAGTACTTGCGACTTCTTTGTGAAGCAGGAAGGCAGCATTAGAACCTCCCTCTTTTGCACCTGCAGGAGGTAAAATACATTAAAATGACTCTGCTGAGTTTGTGTGTAAGGCAGGTGGAAGAGTCCTTGATCGTGAACAGGAGTTTATAGTTCTGGAAATTGGCAGTCAGCTGCAGTCGCTCAATGGAAGGCCACAATGCAAATGTTGGGAATATGGGGTAAGCCTCCTAGGGCTCAGCCAGGTGCTATAGTTTAAAGCTGTCTTTCCTGGCTTTGGAATGATACTGCGGAAGAATAAAAGTGATTCTGTGAAATCTCCAGCTTGGCCAAGAAGAAAATTGATTCTGTATTTGGAAGGAGGATCTCTCCCAATGGGAAGTGAAACATGCAAAGTGGGAAATCAGGAAGCTTCCAGAACCAAGGGCAACTCTAGACTGAAGCTGTAGTCGGAGACACTCTTCACCCCTTGTTGGTTGTGGTTAACATCACATACGTCAAAGGAGAAGAGTGTCCACTGGAGGGTGCTATGGCCTGAATTGTGTCCCACTAGCCCCAAATTCATACATTGAAACCCTAATCCCCAATGTGCCAAATCTGGAGATAGGGCTTTTAGGAGATAATTAAGATTACATGAGGTAATAAGGAATGGATTCTAAACTGATAACTGGTCCTACAGGAAGGAGAATAGAGAGAGATGTTATCTCCCTGTGTGTATCTCTCCCTCTCTATTGTGCATGCATTTATTTTCTTTTTTTTTTTTGATGGAATTTTGCTCTATGTCACCCAGGCTGGAGTGCAGTGACATGATCTCGGTTCACTGCAACCTCTGCCTCCCAGGTTCAAGTGATTCTGCTGCCTCAGCCTCCTGAGTAGCTGGGATTACAGGCGCCCACCACCATGCCTGGCTAATTTTTATATTTTTAGTAGAGATGAGATTTCACCAGGTTAGCAAGGCTGATCTCAAACTTCTGACCTCAGGTGATCCACCCACCTCAGCCTCAAGACTGAGGAATTTATAAACAAGAGACATGCTTATAGTTGTGGTAGCTGAGAGGTCCAAGATCAAGATGCCAGAACATTCAGTGTCTGGTGAGCACTTGCCGCTTCATAGATTGTGCCATCTTGCTATGTCCTCACATGGTGGAAAGGGCAAACAAGCTCCCTTAGGTGACTTTTTTTTTGTTTTAATCTCACCTTGAATTGTAACCTTAGGTGACTTTTATAAGGTACTAATCTAATTCATATGAGCAAAGTCCTCATGACCAAATAATCTACCAAAGGCCTCATCTCTTAATATTATCCCACTGGTGATTAGGCTTTAATATGAATTTTGAAGGGACACAGACATTTAGACCATAGCAATAGGCAACACTGCATTATAAATGGGCCCGTTTTCCAGAGTATAATGTTGGGAACCAGCCCAACACTGTGCATGGGTGCTTCGTGTCCCGCCAGTGACAAGGGAGTGAGAAAAGAAAGACAAAGACAAACACAAGAATAGAATTTTACAGCACGGTTCTAGGGGTCCAACAGACTCACGCAGGGTGATCCGTGCTGGCATTCAGCTCTGGGCTCCGGGCGCTTTTATTAGGTGTATTATCTTGTTAATCTTGCAGGCTGTGGGGATAGGGGCTGAGGAGGAAGATAGCTGGAAGAAGAACACGTGTCTGCAGCATTCAATAGCAAACATGGTTCTTCTAAGAAGCTAACTAAGGACACTGAGATTTAACCACCCATTGTCTATCCAGGTGTTTTGGCAACAGAGGTGCAGCCATAAGGTCTGACCACACACCTTGTATCCAGGGGCTTTTATCTCCCGAGCATTGTGGACACAGAGCAATCGGAATTGCTCTGTATTCTGAGAACATAGGCAGAGCCTGTGGCCTTCTGGTGTCTCTGCCCTGCAAGGCTCCTGCCTTACCAGCACCCATCTGCGAAGACCCTCCCAAGTCTTGTGAGCAGAGATTGCATTACCTCCCTAAGTCTTTTGCATAAGCTCCCTTCACAAAATCCTTACACAAACTCTACATTGGGAAGAGTTGTGGGACCAAAGCAGTTTCTCTTCTGCTCTGCAGCCACACCGCAGTGTTCCGCGGTTACAGACGCTCTCAGATGGTCCTTACCACAGGCCTCCTGATACTGCTTGATCTCTGCTTTTATTTTACTGCACCATAGTGTGGATATGATCTGCGGCACACATCTCAGCGTATAAAAAGCAAAGCAAGCTTGTAATCATTTAACTGTAAGTAACACAGGTCTGCCCCTGGCCGTCTCTTCCCACATATAATAGAACACACCATGGGTTCTCAGGATTGGCATTTATTATAGTCACAAACTTAGTATAACTCAAACGCTTGTATTAAGGTGGTGCTTACATTACCCTACTTCACAGATGGAAACAGAAAACAGCTTTTGTTTTAGTAGCAATATCTATTATTATAATAAATATTGAAATAACACCATAATAATATCATAAAGGAAGTAATCTAATTGTGTTGATTTTACAGAGGCAGAAAAACATTCCCCCTAGAGCCGTGGCTATTGTGTTCATGTAAACTCCAATCTGAAGGTGGCAGAAACTAGAACGGACAGGATTTCTTAGCATCAGAGTTCATATGTCATTCATGGTATCTTAATAATTAAAGGCATGTAATAAGTAGTGACAAAGATTCTGATATTAGTTATAAATTATGATAATTATACTTAAAACCAATAATAGAGCCAGGCATGGTGGCTCACCCCTGTAATCCTAGCACTTTGGGAAGCAGGGTGGGCAGATGACCTGAGGTCAGGAGTTCAAGACCAGCCTGACCAACATGGAGAAAATTCCATCTCTACTAAAAATATAAAATTAGCCAGGCATAGTGGTGCATGCCTGTACTCCCAGCTATTCGGGAGGCTGAGACAGGAGAATCACTTGAACCTGGGAGGCAGAGGTGAGCTGAGATCAAGTCATTGCACTCCCGCCTGGGCAACAAGAGTGAAACTCCATCTCAAAAAAACCACAAAAAACAAAAACAAAACCAATAATAGAATCAACATAATGGTAGATTAAGTATTGTAGTTAATAAGTGGTGTGATCTGGGGAGTGGGGAGTAGAGCAGCATAGGGTGGGATAGGATATAATATAGATAAGAGTCACATAGGCACAGCAGCCTGACTGAAGCTGAGGATGGAGGGCTCAATTCATTCTGACATTAGGGCAAGTGTGCATGACAATCATGGCTTTAACCTGACTTTGGCCACAGGGTCAACATCTGCCACACTGCATCACATTCACTTTCCAATCAAGTGCCTGAGGCCCAGAACCCTCAGCCCTGCCACATTCCTCTTGCTTCCTGGGTTATATTTGCTGGTGGCTGCTCCAGTGAATGGGGTGGAGCATATGGAACTGATGATGGGGGATGGGATTGAAAGTGCTAGGGTGGATGCCAATGGTAATAGACCTCTGCCTCTGGGTTCCTCACCACTGTCCCCCACCAACAGGGTATGCCACTGTGACCAAGAGGAGGCTGAGTTAGGAGACCCCATGGAATGCTGGGGGAAGATGTAGGTAAGCTACTTAGGAGAGTGGCAGGGTGGTTGGGGACAACCTGTACATGGAATTAGAGCTGAGGTATGCTGAAGCATGGGGAGGGGCATTAGTTTTTCGTTTTTTGTTTTTTGTTCTGTTACTCAGGCTGGAGTGCAGTGGCATGATCTCGGCTCACTGCAACCTCTGCCTCCTAGGTTCAAGTGATTCTCCTGCCTCAGCCTCCCGAGTAGCTGGGATTACAGGTACATGCCACCATGCCCAGCTAATTTTTGTATTTTTAGTGGAGATGGGGTTTCACCATGTTGGTCAGGCTGGTCTCAAACTCCTGACCTCATGATCCGCCCGCCTTGGCCTCCCAAAATGCTGAGCCAGCACGCCTGGCCCTCTAATTTAAAATCTAGATTAATTTTTTAAAAATTAGAGAACCTGGAACCAACCCTACCACTTCCCCATTCATTTAGCCAATCTGTGTGGGGCATTGGCTCAACGTCAGTACTACTGCTATTATTCATTCATTCATTCATTCACTCATTTAACAAGCTTGTACTGAGTGTCTGCTTTGTGCTGGCACCATGTTGGGTGCCTTGGACACAGCAATATCAAGACAGACAAAGACCAGGCCTCATGAGGTCTAGTGGAAAGGTTGGATGAAAAACCAAAAAAAGAAATATTTAATGTCAAGTCAGATGGTGATGCCTGCAACACAAATATATACGAAATAATACAGCAGAAAGGTGACCCCAAGGGCTGTATTCCTTCAGATACAATGGTGGGGCAAGGTGGGGGTGGATGCTTTTCAAAGATGGGAGAAGAAAGCCAGATATATGGGCACTGGGGAAGCAGAGTATCCTCAGAGAACATGGTTGGTGCAAAAGCCCAAAGCTGGAGAAAGCTTCCTTGATGTTAAACAGCCAGAATTGAGATTCTTGAGAAATAACAAAAATATTGACCACCTCCATCTGTGGGGTCTCTGAACCCTATGATCTAGTTTATTATAGTTAATAACTTTTTATTATAAACATTAAATGTGATTATATAAAAGTAAAAACTAAAATGTCATATAAAAGTTTGATATGCAACATATAAAAATTATATACTCATACACTAGATATTATATGTATTATATAAAATGGAAACTAGTGTAGTAAGTATAATAATAAATATTATAATGTGCTATAACATACAGTAAAACACAGTATATAGTGTATGATATCCACACATAAAATTTAAATATATAAATCTATAGTCTAGTATCTAATAGTTTTTCAAATGTCATTTTTTTTTTTGAGACGGAGTTTCGCTCTTGTTACCCAGGCTGGAGTGCAACGGCGCGATCTCGGCTCACCCCCACCTCCACTCCTGGGTTCAGGCAATTCTCCTGCCTCAGCCTCCTGAGTAGCTGGGATTACAGGCATGCGCCACCATGCCCAGCTAATTTTTTGTATTTTTAGTAGAGACGGGGTTTCACCATGTTGACCAGGATGGTCTCGATCTCTTGACCTTGTGATCCACCCGCCTCAGCCTCCCAAAGTGCTGGGATTATAGGCGTGAGCCACCGTGCCCGGCCTCAAATGTCATTTAAATTATCACACAGTAAAAAAAAATACAGTACTTCTGAGATTCATCCATGTTGCAGCCAGTGTCAATAAAATCTTTTCTTTTCTTTTCTTTTTTTTTTTTTTTGAGATGGAGTTTCCCTCTTGTTACCCAGGCTGGAGTGCAATGGCACCATCTCGGCTCACGGTGACCTCTGCCTCCTGGGTTCAAGCAATTCTCCTGCTTCAGCCTCCCGAGTAGCTGGGACTACAGGCATGCGCTACCATGCCCAGCTAATTTTTTTTTTATTTTTAGTAGAGACGGGGTTTCACCATGTTGACCAGGATGGTCTCGATCTCTTGACCTCGTGATCCACCCGCCTCAGCCTCCCAAAGTGCTGGGATTATAGGCGTGAGCCACTGCGCCCAGCTAAATCATTTCTTTTCATGTTGGGGTAGTATTTTATTGTATAGAAGCCCTACAATGTGTTTAATTATTCACCCACTGTTACATTTGGGTTGGCTTCTACTTTTGGCAATTATACAGTTCCTGTGAAATTTGAGTACATGTTTTCATATAAACAATTAGGGTAAATACCTAGGAGTTGGATTGGTGAGTCATATGATAAGTATATGTTTAACAGTATAAGAAGCTGCCAGCTGGGTGCAATGGCTCACGCCTGTAATCCCAACACTTTTGGAGGCCAAGGTGGGTGGATCATCTGAGGTCAGGAATTTGAGACCAGCCTGGACAACATGGTGAAACCCTGTCTTTACTAAAAACACAAAAATTAGCCAGGTGTATTGGCGGATGCCTGTAATTTTGGCTACTCTGGAGGTTGAGGCATGAGAATCACTTGAACCTGGGGAGCGGAGGTTGCAGTGAGTTGAGATTGTGCCACTGCACTCTAGTCTGGGCGACAGAGTGAGACTTTGTCTCAAATAAAAAGAAGCTCCAAAACTTTTCGCCCAAAGTGGATATATCATATATGTATCATTTTACGTTTCTACCCGCAGTGCATGAAAGTTTCCATTGCTCTGCATTGTTGCCAACTCTCAGCATTATGTCTTGATTTTTAGGCATGCTAAAAGGTGTGTATGGGTACCTCATTGTGGTTTCAATTTTCATTCTCTTGATAATCAAAGATATCAAGCATCTTTTCAACACCTTATTTTCCATTTCTATCTCATATAGCCATATGGATGGATCTCAAATACATCACATGAAATGAAACAAATCACATTCAAAAGGATACAAACACACAGACATAGACACACACAGTAGGTCTCCATTTACACAACATGTGGAAAAGGCAAAATTATACACACAGAAAGTAGGCTTGTGATTGTCGGGGGTAGGGAAGAGGGATGGACTAAAAACAGGAGGAAGTGCAGGGAAGTGACGGAACAGTTCTCTGTCCTGACTGTGGTATTGACTGCACGATTAGATATACTTGTCAAAGCTTTGAGAATTCTACACTTAAAAGGGTGAATATAACTCTATGTAAATTATACCTCAATAAATATGACCTTAAAAAAAAAAGCTGTAAGGGCCAGATGTGGTGGCTCATGCCCATAATTCCAGCACTTTGGGAGGCCAAGGCGGGTGGATAAGGTTAGGAGTTCAAGACCAGCCTAGCCAAGATGCTGAAACCCCATCTCCACTAAAAATACTAAAATTAGCCAGGTGTGGTGGTGGGGGCCACTCTGCCTCAAAACAAAGCAAAAATTAGCCAGGCATGGTGACACACACCTGTAATCCCAGCTACTCAAGAGGTTGGAACAGGAGAATCACTCAAACCCAAGAGGTGGAGGTTGCAGTGAGCTGAGATTGCACCACTGCACTCCAGTCTGGAGACAGAGCGAGACTCCATCTCAAGAAAAAAAAAAAATTATAGTCGTGTTCATACAAAAACCTGCACACAGGTGTTTACAGCAGCTTCATTCATAATCAGTAAAACTTGGATGCAACTAAGACGTTCTTCAGTAGGTGATTAGACAAATAAATCATAGTACATCCAGACAACAGCATATTATTCAGTGCAAAAAAAAAAGAAGAGCTAGCAAGCCATGAAAAGACATGAAACTTAAATCCACATTACTAAGTGAAACAAGTCAGTCTGAAAAGGCTGCATACTTTATGGTTCAAAGGCAAAACTATGGAGACAAAATAGCCAGGGGTGTAGGGTAGGAAGGCATGACTAGGCAAAACCCAGAGGTTTATTAGGACAGCGAAACTGCTCTTTACCCTTCTGTAATAATGCATACATGTCATTATTCGTTTGTCTCAACCCATAGAAAGTACATCAAGGCCAGGCATGGTGACTTATACCTGTAATCGCAGCATTTTGGGAGGCTGAGGCAGGTGAATCATGAGGTCAGGGGATCGAGACCATTCTGGTTAACATGGTGAAACCCCGTCTCTACTAAAAATACAAAAAATTAGCTGGATGTGGTGGCACACACCTACTACTCAGGAGGCTGAGGCAGGAGAATTGCTTGAACCCGGGAGGCAGAGGTTGCAGTGAGCCGTGATTACGCCACTGCACTCCAGCCTGGGCCACAGAGCAAGACTCCGTCTGAAAACAAAAAAACCAGAATGCACATCAAGACTGAACCCTAATTAAACCATGGACTTTGGCTGATAGTGTCAATGTAGTTTCATCAACTGTAACAAATGTACCACTGTGAAGGGGGATGTTGATGATGGGGGACGTTGTGTACGCATGAGGGTAGGGGATATATAGGAAATCTCTGTACCTTAGGCGCATTTTGCTGTGAACCTAAAACTGATCTAAAAAAGTCTTTTATATAAATGGGTATACCTATACACATAGGTCAGTACTAAAATATTATGTCACAGTAAGTACAAAGGAGAAATAATTGAAAGTCATGTACAGTGAAATGTGTTTTTCTCCGTATTTCCTGAAATTCAAGTGATACACTTAGGAGTAAGGTAAAATGGGAATAATGAAGGGTGACCAGACCTTGTTCTAGGGGATAAGAAGGAAAAGGTGATCTCCAGACATCCTCCTGAGGGTCAGCAGACATTGTCCTAAGTTGGGAATAATGGTGTATCACAAAGTATCTGAAATTGAAGGCAGAACAGTAAAGCTTCAGATATAGTGCTGGATGAGGTGAAGGGAGTAAGGGGTCATCAGACATTGGTCTAAGATGTTGAACACGTGATGGGCCATCAGATTCTGTGAAGAACTGAGGAAGCAGAGCTAATGATGGCTCAGTAGACACTGATCTAGGGTGGGGTAATGGATGTGTCACCAAGCACTCCCCAACTAGGGCTTGGGAATTAAAGGGGCATTGTGGCTGCCCCTTTGACTATGTTCTATCCTTGGGCCCCATCTTCACCTCCCCATACTGCCCTTCCAAAAGGTGAAAACATCTCTGCAGGCCCCAAATATTTCCCACTCCCAGAAGTGCCAACAGACTGGCCCCAGACAAGCCATTCTGCAAGTTCCAGAAGGGCCACCCAGCAACTGTGCATCCAATCAGATCATCTGCCAGCATCTCTAAGGTCACTGCTGCCTGTCTAGGGCAGGATACCTAATATTCAATGAAGATCTACCCTTGTCTGCTCTAGTTCCCTGTACTGGCTTCAGGCAATCCTCTTCTGGCAGGATGAGCAGGTGTGTGGGTTGGGTTCTGGAGTAGGTGGGGCTATGTCAAGTTGCAGGTGAGACAGGGCATAGCTGTGCATGCTGAGGATGAATGAGCAGGGAGTCTTTTGCAATCACGTTGGAGCTGTGGGATTCTGGAATCATGGCAGGGAATACTGGAAGCAAGTATCCACATGGGATCTCCTGTACCTCCCTTCTTTAGCATCAGACCAAAAAGTTTACAATGACTTTTTAGCTTTAGGGTTGAGAAGGGATACAACCTAGGTAGAGACTGAAGGTGAAAAGGTCTGGGTGTTTTAGGGAAGTTGGTTCTCCCTATTAGAGCTTCTTATGCTACAACAAAGAAAAAAATCAGAAGTCGTGCAGCAAACACTGGTCAACTCTCCACAGGTGCATTTATGGAATCCCTGCTGTATGGCAGTCATGGGGCTAGACTCATAGGGGTGAACAAAAGGGAAATATTTTCTAGTGTAGAAGCCATAGAGAAATGAGCAAAAGATGCCAGGCAGGGTGGTGGAAAGTGCTAGGGAGAAGAGTAAAGGAGGAAGGGTGAGGGGCTGGAATTTTAAACCAGGCAGATAGGGAAGGCCTGTAAGGAGGTGTCATGGAAAAAAACAAACAAACATGAGGAACAAGCCACAGATAAAGAATTGTGCTTTTTGCAATGGGCACTGCAAATACAAAGGCCCTGAGTCAGGGACTGAACTTATGTCTGAGGCATATAGCAGGAAGGGTCCTTGTGGGGTGCATGGAATGAACATGGACACAAGTAGACAGTGAACATATGGTGCTGTTAGTTTTCATGAGTTCATTGATTTTACATGATTCATGAGTTATCTCCTATCGCATATAATATATTGATTTCATGAGTTATCAACTTATGAAAGTCACATTATGAAGGAAAGCAAAATGCTGGGCTTCAACTCAGCAACAGGTAAATTAACAAAAAACAAGAGGCTGAATGGGAAGAATTCTAATAGCAGAAGGAAGAATTTAAATTGTCCCAGATAACCTGAAAATTCTAACCACAGAGGCTTTCTTGAGACTGGTGGAAGTATACAAAACTCTGTGCTGGGCTGGGCATGGTGGCTCACATCTGTAATTCCAGCATGTTGGGAGGCCAAGGCGGGTGGATCAACAGGTCAGGAGTTTGAGAACAGCTTGGCCAGCATGGTGAATGCTATCTCTACTAAAAATACAAAAACTAGCCTGGCCTGGTGCCACTCACCTGTAATCCCAGATACTTAGGAGGCTGAGGCAGGAGAATTGCTTGACCCTGGGAGACAGAGGTTGCAGTGAGCCAAGATCATGCCACTGCACTCCAGCCTGGCTGACAGAGCAAGACTCTGTCTCAAAACAACAAAAACAAACAAACAAACAAACAAAACACGGTACTGGGGGTCCGACTCATTGTGCTGAGGACCTGTGGGCTCAGAGAGGGTCCTGGCAAGTAATGAAGGGGGCTGCAGTAACAATGGGGACTATCACAATGGGGACTCAGACACTCTGAGGTCTGTGTCTGAATACATAGAGAATTTGTCTTATTGCAGTATCTCTTGCTTGATAGAAATACTCAATGGGGCACTGGATATGTACAACTGTGTTGGATTCAAAAGAAGAATGAGAAAACACCCATAATTCTGCTCAACAGTGTGCTCTGGAACAGACAACAACAGAAGGATTTATCCTGTTATATATATATATAATATAACATATATATTATGTTGTCTTACCATTCAAACTGTTGGCACTATACCCCGTCCACAGTAAACAGGATTATCGTTCCCATAATATAATCCTTTCTATGAAGAATCTGGTAACAGTGTTCCATTGTAGTTTTCATGAGAAGGCTTTTCCTATTCACCAAATTGACTCAGTTCCTTCTAAGTATGAATAATGCCCCAAGGTTTAATGAGGCTGATGACAAGGTTGGAAGGGTCCCTTGCCTCATTCAGTGCCTTCTGAGAGACCCTCTCCAGAACAGTCTTACATGACATGCTGATGTGGTCATTTCTACTTATGATATTATACATTTTTCTGCTGCATGAATGCAACAGTGTACAATCAGACCCATCCTCAGTGGGGTTTTCTCACAGTTTCTCTCAAGCGTGAATGCTCTGATGGACACTGAGCACTGATTTCTGAACGAACCCTTTCCCACAGATGCCACACTTGTAGGGTTTGTTTCCAGTGTGTGTGGTCTGGTGTTTATTCAAATTTGACCTGTTGCTAAAGGCCTTCCCACACTCAGCACACACATAAGGCTTTTCTCCGGTGTGAATTCGTTGATGCACCTGGAGCTGTGATTTTTTAGTGAAAGACTTCCCACAGTCACTGCACTCATAAGGTTTCTCTCCAGTGTGAATTCTGTGATGTGTAATCAACTCTGACTTCTGTCTGAAGGTCTTCCCACATTCAGAGCAAATGTAGGGCTTTTCTCCAGTATGAGTTTTCTGGTGCTTACTGAGATTTGACCTGCCACTAAAGGCCTTCCCACACTCGGCACACACATAGGGTTTCTCTCCTGTGTGAACTGGCTGATGCACCAGGAGCTGAGACTTGGAGGTAAAGGACTTCCCACAGTCACTGCATTCATAAGGCTTCTCTCCAGTATGAATTCTTTGATGAGTGATAAAGTTTGACTTGCGGATGAAAGCTCTTCCACACTCAGTGCATACGTAGGGTTTCTCTCCTGTGTGAATTTTCTGATGAACAATGAGTATTGATTTCTGGTTGAAGGCTTTCCCACATTCATGGCATTCATACTGTCTCTCTCCAGTATGAATTTTCTGGTGTATATTGAGATTTGACTTCTGGGTAAAGGCTTTTCCACAAGTACTGCATTCATAAGGTTTCTCCCCAGTATGGATTCTCTGATGTGTAATCAAGTCCGACCTCTGGGTGAAGGCCTTTCCACATTTGGAACATAGATAAGATTTCTCTCCTGTATGCGTTTTCTGATGTGTAATGAGATTTGACCGGTTGGTGAATGCCTTCCCACATTTATTGCACATATAGGGCTTTTCTCCTGTGTGAATTCGTTTGTGAACATGAAGTTGTGACTTGGAGGTGAACAATTTCCCACAGTGACCACATTTATAAGGTTTCTCTCCAGTATGAATTATTTGATGTGTAACCAAATGTGCCTTCCGGATGAAGGCCAGTCCACATTTCATGCATACATATGATTTTTCTCCTGTATGAATTCTCTGATGCACTGTGAGTGTTGATTTCTGAGTGAAGGCTTTTCCACAGTCACTACATTTATAAGGTTTCTCTCCAGTGTGAATTCTTTGATGTATAATCAACTCCGACCTGTAGGTAAAGGCCTTCCCACATTCAGGACATATGGAAGATTTCTCTCTACTTTGAATTTTCTCATGTGTAATGAGGTTGGAATTATTGCTAAAGACTTTCCCATATTCAGTACATAAATAGGGCTTTACTCTTGTGTGAATGCGTTGATGTACCTGAAGTTGTGACTTGGAAATGAAGGATTTCCCACAGTTACTGCACTCATATGGTTTTTCTCCAGTATGAATTCTTCGGTGTGCAATCAATTGTGTCTTCTGAATGAAGGCCTGTCCGCATTCGATACAGATATAGGATCTCTCACCTGTATGGATTTTCTGATGCATCTTGAGTGTGGATTTCTGTGTGAATGCTTTGCCACATTCAGTGCATTCATGGTGTCTCTCTCCAGTATGAATTTTCTCATGTATGCTGAGATCTGAGTTATAAGGGAAGCCTTTCCCACATTCACTACATTCATAGAGTTTTTCTCCGGTATGAATTCTCTGATGCCTGAAAAGAGATGATACTTGAAAAAAGGATTTTCCACATGCATTGCACTTATAGGGCTTCTCTCTTGTATGGGTTTTCTGATGTGTAATGAAGTCTGGCTTCTGCACAAAAGCCTTCCCACATTCAATACAGACATAGAGTTTTTCTCCTGAAGGAACCTTCAGGTGTACCTTGAATTGTGACTCCTGGGTGAATATCTTTTCAAATTTGGCACACTCATAGGATTTTTCCCCAGGATAAATTTTTTGATCTTGCGAGGAGGCTGGTTTATAACTGAGAATTTTTCTACGTAGATTATGGTCCCATAATTTCTCTCCTGTTGGAGTACATTCACAGTGAATAGAGAAAGACATTTTACCATATTTAGTACTCTTCCTAACATTCTTTGAAGCATCATCTCTATTAAGAATATGTAAATGTAAATTATACTTCAAACCATTTCCAAATGAGTCACATTGATAAGAGTTTTTAGGGGGATGAAAAATGTTTAGGCTCACGTGAATTATTCTTCTGATATCCTTATATTTGGAATACCTATTTGTAGTCAATATTTTCTTGATTAAAATACCATCACTGACGGGTGCAGTTGCTCACGCCTGTAATGCCAGCACTTTGGGATGCCAAGGCGGGTGGATCACGAGGTCAGGAGGTTGAGACTAGCCTGGCCAATATGGTCAAACCCCGTCTCTTACTACAAGTACAAAAATTAGCCAGGCATGATGGCACACACCTGTAGTCCGAGCTGCTCAGAAGGCTGAGGCAGAAGAATTGCTTGAACCCAGGAGACAGAGGTTGCAGTTAGCCGACATCGTACCACTGCACTCCAGCCTGAGTGACAGAGCAAGACTCTGTCTCAAAAAAAAAAAGCATCATCACTTAGATAATGATTTTCTCTTTGCTGATAAGACTCTATCGGTTATCAATCTGCCACAGTTATTCTAGAATGAAAAACAGTCTCACTTCATTTCTATCATCATCTTCCCTTTCATTGTGGAAAGAAGTCTTTCATTTTCAGATATTCCCTGTAGTAAGGTTTGAAATCCAAACGTCCCTTTTCAAGGGATAATAAGCAACTTTTTGCTCAGAGAGCAGCTAGTGGAGGCTAGAGGGGAACGTAAAAAAGGCTCTTGCAGACTGAACACAGAGAAAAGGCTAAGGGTGGGTGATTTGATGAGAAGGGTGTGACACTACTTATAGGAAACATTCTGGGGAACAAGTTAGCAGTTAAAAGAAATAAACTAGATGGGCCGGGCATGGTGGCTCAGGCCTGTAATCCAAGCACTTTGGAGGCCAAAGCGGGCGGATCACCTGAGGTCGGGAGTTCAAGACCAGCCTGACCAACATGGTGAAAACCTGTCTTTAAAAAAAAAAAAACAAAAAAAACTAGATGAACAGATAACACCAAAGATAGACATGAAAAAAGTAAGACAAAAAATATGATATATAGCACAGTAAGATTTATATAAACTAATGATCCATAACCCTAATTCACTTTAAATTTTACAACATGCGCAAATTAAAAAATGTTTCCATCATACAAAATAGTGGCTTATGGTGGGAAGGGAGATGGGTAATGGGAAAGAGAGAAAAGGGGATATTATCACAAAAATAAGAGAGAATCTTCACCCACATTCATAGTCACAGTATGTCCTAAACTAAAGACAATGATTAAAGTCAAACCTCATCAGGTGAAATATAAAAATAAAGCAATGACAAAAACAAACAAGGCTGGGCACGGTGGCTCACACCTGTAATCCCAGCACTTTGGGAGGTTGAGGTAGGCGGATTGCCTGAGGTCAAGAGTTCAAGACCAGCTTGGCCAACATGGTGAAACCCAGTCTCTACTAAAAATACAAATTTTACCCCGGCATGGTGGCACGCACCTGTAATCTCAGCTACTCGGGAGTCTGAGGCAAGAAAGTCACTTGAACCTGAGAGACGAAGATTGCAGTGAGTCAAGATTGTGCCACTGCACTCCAGCCTTGGCGACAGAGAGAGACTCCATCTCAAAAAAATGAACAAACAAGCCCAACTAGGCAGAGAGACCCTAACAGCGTAGAATGGCTCAAGCAGTATCAGAAGAAAATGTCAGAAAGGGTGATGAATGATGTCATGTCAAACAGAGCAGAGAGGTATTCCCAAAGATGAAGTGGCAATGATTCCCAGTCATCAGCTAGATGAACAGCCTGAAGGACTGGGAAGAGGTGAGGAATCTCATGGCCATTCCTATAGCAAAAAGAGGTAGAGAGCTTGATTAGAGATAAAGTTCTTTTTTTTTCCTTTTTTTTTTTTTCAGACAGAGTCTTGCTCTGTCACCCAGGTCCATCCTGGGTGCAGTGGTATGATCTCAGCTCATGGCAACCTCCACTTCCCAGGTTCAAGTGATTCTTGTGCCTCAGCCTCCCAAGTAGCTGGGAATACAAGCATGCATCACCATGCCCAGCTAATTTTTGTATTTTCAGGAGACATGGGGTTTTGCCATGTTGTCCAGACTGGTCTCAAACTTCTGATCTCAAGAGATCCACCCACCTTGGCCTCCCAAAGTGCTGGGATTACAGGCATAAGCCACCATACCTGGCCCAGAGATAAAGTTCTGAGGCATCTCACAGTGAGAAAGACAGAAATAAAATTGGTCTAGCAGGAGTGGGAATGTGTGACACAGAGAAATTTTGAAAGAAAGCAGATCCAGGAATGCCTGGACGTGAAAGAGGGACTCTGGGACAATATGGAAGGTAGGGAAAAAAAGAATGTTAGAGAAAAGGAGGATAACAAAGATAGACCTTTAATGAGGCCGACTGGCACATGATTTACAATCTACAAGGAAGGACACAGAAGCACAAAGGTCATCCAGATAGAGGCATTTAGTGATCTGAGAGGCATCAAGCAATACAAAGAAATTCAGAACCTTCCTGAAGAGTAGTCTTAATAGCACTTCACAGTTCCAGTATTGTTTTTTTGAGACGGAGTCTCACCCTGTTTCCCAGGCTGGAGTGCAGTGGTATGATCTCAGCTCACTGCAACCTCCTCCTCCCTCACAGGTTCAAGTGACTCTCCTGCCTCAGCCTCCTGAGTAGCTGGGATTACAATAATGTACCACCATGCATGGCTAATTTTTTTTTTTCTATTTTTAGTAGAGCCGGGGTTTCATCATGTTGGTCAGGCTGGTCTCAAACTCCTGACCTCGTGATCCACCCCCCTCAGCCTCCCAAAGTGCTGGGTTACAGGTGTGAACCATAGTGAGTGGCCTGGTTCCAGTGTTTTTCAAGAGAGCTGAGATTTCCTCCCATCTCCCATCTACTCGAGTCATGCTCATTTCACTCACCTGGGCAGCTGTGACGTGGCCTCTCACCCTGCAATGCCCATGGTTCATTTCCTTGCTCCAACATGACCACCTCTGGTTTAGGAAATTGATACCCTGTTCATGGGAAATGATAAAGGTCTGGGTCAAGGTAATTATGTTTCAGAGCCCACTCAATAAAGTCTTATTGTTCAATGAGGGTTTGTTCTTCAGATAAGTGACCAGGTATCTCTGAGAAAAGAGTAATATTCTGAATGACCTAAACAAATAGAGAACCCTGGAGAAATAAAGGACAAAACCATCAGCTATTTAAGATGCTGTCAGCATTCAGAATGGAATGGAATGAGAATGAAGCCCTCTCAGTGAGGCCTCCTTTCAGATACCAAGGTGACTGCGCTTACCGACTGAGAGCAGGTGGCTGTAGGTCTCCAGCATCACATCCCAGTACAGGTTTCTCTGAGACAGGTCTAGGTGCCTCCACTCCTCTCTGCTGAAATTGATAGCCACATCCCTGAAGGACACTGATCCCTGTAAGGGCACACTCCTGTTCAATGTGCGTAGTCAGCTTTGCAGGGTGGAGTGACTATATCTGGGGTTATGAAAGATGGGTTTTGTTGTTTTTAATTTTTTTTTTTTTTTGGGAGATGGCATTTCACTCTTTTTGCCCAGGCTGGAGTGCAATAGCGCAATCTCGATTCACTGCAACTTCTGCTTCCCAGATTCAAGCAATTCTGCCGCCTCAGCCTCCAGAGTAGCTGAGATTACAGGCATATATCACCATGCCCAGCTAATTTTTGTATTTTTAGTAGAGACTGGGTTTCACCACGTTGGCCAGGCTGGTCTCAAACTCCTAATCTCAGGTGATCCACCTGCCTAAGCCTCCCAAAGTGCTGAGATTACAGGTGTGAGCCGCTGTGCATGGCCAATTTACTTCCCTTTTTTAAGAACTTGCCTTTTTGTTCTCACTTCAGACGTGAGAAAATAAAAAAAAAATTTTTTAACAAAAGAAAAAAAAAACCTGCCTCCCATTTGTCTAATAGCTTATCATGAAAAATTTTAAACATACAGAAAATTAGAAAGAATTGTACAGTAAAAACCTGTACATCCACTACTTACATCTACTATTAACACCTTACTCGCTTCATCACACATTGATCCATCTTACTTTTTTTAATGTATTTCAAAGTAAACTGTAGATATCACTACACTTTCTCTTAAGCACCACAAAATGCAAATAATTAGGGTGTAACATTTGTTAACTTATTAAGGTAAAATTTGGTAGAATACATTAAATGCAACAATCTTTATTGTACCATTTGACATTCTGACAAATGTATGCATCTGAGTAATACGAAATTTCTAAGATACTGTATTTTACGCAAGCCACATATTAAGTATCCAGTTTTAGTCAGGCACAGTGGCTCACGCCTATAATCGAAGCAAGAATGTTAGAGGGGGCTGGACGCAGTGGCTCATGCCTGTAATCCCAGCACTTTGGGAGGCCAAGGTGGGTGGATCACCTGAGGTTTGGTGTTGAAGACCAGCCTGGCCAACGTGGTGAAACACCATCTCTATTAAAAATACAAAAAATGGCCTGGCGCGGTGGCTCACGCCTATAATCCCAGCACTTTGGGAGGCTGAGGCGGGTGGATCACGAGGTCAAGAGATCGAGACCATCCTGGTCAACAAGGTGAAACCCCGTCTCTACTAAAAATACAAAAATTAGCTGGGCATGGTGGTGTGCGCCTGTAGTCCCAGCTACTCGGGAGGCTGAGGCAGGAGAATTGCTTGAACACAGAAGGCGGATGTTTCAGTGAGCTGAGATCGTGCCATTGCACTCCAGCCTGGGTAACAACAGCGAAACTCCTTCTCAAAAAAAAAAAAAAATTAGCCAGGCCTGGTGACATATGTCTGTAGCCCCAACTACTTGGGAGGCTGAAGTGGGAGAATTGCTTGAACCCAGGAGGTGGAGGTTGCATTAAGCTGAGACTGTGCCATTGCCCTCCAGCCTGGATGACAGAGCAAGACTCCGTCTCAAAAGATGTGTATATATATATATAGTTTTATATAATTTGTGGGACACAGAAATCTAACAACGAATTCCAGCTATTTGTTCTGTTCTACAGTCAGTCAATTACTCATTTTTCAAAACTGGCCGTTGAATAGGCTTTTAGTCTTCTAGCGCATGGATGAGCAACCTGCCATACATTTGCTGATCAGTTTAGGACTGCTCATTATGCTAGTCCTGAGGACATAGAGGTGAATTATTATTACTATTTTTGAGACAGAGTCTCGCTCTGTTGCCCATGCTGGAGTGCAGTGGCATGATCTTGGCTCACTGCAGCCTCCACCTTACAGGTTCAAGTGATTCTCTTGCCTCAGCCTCCTGAGTAGCTGGGACTATAGGCAAGCAAGCCCCAGCACACCCAGCTAATTTTTGTATTTTTAATAGAGATGGGGTTTCACCATGTTGGCTAGGTTGGTTTCAATCTCTTAACCTTGTGATCCACCTGCCTTGGCCTCCCAAAGTGCTGGGATTACAGGCGTGAGCCACCATGCCCAAACAGAAATGAATTCTTTATGTTACTAGTCTTCAAGCAACTTAAAAGACATAGAAAATAAAGAAGACCAAAGTTCGAAAACAGGAAGACATGAAGTTCATTAAGGTGTTGAAAAGTAGATGTCTCTCTGAGACACCCTGAGGGCCAAAAAGAAGAAAAAGTGCATCTGCATGAGGGGAAACGTTTACATTTCATAGAATGGAAGAATTTAACTTGGAAGATAAGAAGAGTAATACAGAGTATGGGGTAAAGGGGACATTGCACCGCAAAGACAAGAACAATGATGGAGAGATGGGCTCCAGTGAGCCATGACTGCATCACTGCACTCTAGCCTGGGTAACAGAGCAAGACTCCATCTCAAAAATAAATATTAAAATACACAATAAGTTTAAGGAATAGCAAATAGGTCTACATAGGGACAGAAGTCTACATGATGTGTCAGAAAGGTGGTTGTAGGAAAAACAGTCTGATCACAGATAAGTATGGATTTTTTACTTTAAATAAAGGTAACTAAAGTAATGAGATTTCTTTCTAAAATTTTCTTCTATGGGATCTGTACTGCATGATAACCAAACAGTTAATAAGGAAAATATCTTTACAGAATGATTCTAGCTGATAAAGTTAGAATAAAATAAAATGCCATGTACAATTACTAATGAAATAATGGACTTAGACAATAGTCAGTGGTGCTCCACTGTTTCAGTTGAAAGGTTGAGGGGAAGTTGACAATGCATGGATCAGCTACTAACATCAGCATCCACAAACCCCGAATCATGCAACTGCTGATGTAACATAGTAATTAGTTTCTTTACACCATCTATGAAGGATTCTTGCCAAAAAGTGAAATTTAAACTGAATGTCATCAAGTCTCCAGAGCTAATAAACCATTCACAGGCAATGGGAAGGAGTGGAACGTAATGAGCAATAGGAAGACCAATACATCAGCTAACTCCAGCAGGCAGCAAAGGACTCATTTCTTCAAAAATCAATTTTAAGAGAAAGAACATGAAGGGGAAGCTTTTCTTTATTAAAAGAGGCCTAAGGCCAGGGGCAGGGGCTCACGCTTATAATCACAGTATTTTGGGAGGCCAAGGCTTAGGCTCAAGGCTTGAGCCTAAGAGTTTGAGACTAGCCAGGGCAACACAGTGAGACCCTGTTCCTAAAAACTATACAAAAAAAAAAATCAGCCATGCCTGGTGGCAGACACGTGTACACCCAGCTACTCAGGAGGCTGAGGTAGGAGGATCAACTGAGCCCAGGAGGTCGAGGCTCAAGTAAGCCGTGGTCGCACCACTGCACTCCAGCCTGGGTGACAAAGTGAGATTCTGTCTCAAAAATAAATAAATACATATTAAAAAGTAAGAGCTTTAAGAGACATATTAACCAAATGCACCTTGTGAACTTTGCTTCCTAATTAAAATGAACCAATCTTAAAAAGATATTTATGACAATTTAGAGAAATGCAAGCAATACACATTAGATAACAAGGAATTACTGTTATTTTGTTGTAGGTGTGATATTGGCTTACTTGTTATGCTAAACAAAATTTTAATAAAAGGGCTGGGTGTGATGGCTCACGCCTGTAACCCAGCACTTTGGAAGGTCGAGGTGGGCAGATCACCTGAGGTGGGGAGTTCGAGACCAGCCTGACCAACATGGAGAAATTCTGTCTCTACTAAAAATATAAAATTAGCTGGGTGTGGTGGCGCATATCTGTAATCCCAGCTACTCGGGAGGCTGAGGTAGGAGAATCGCTTGAATTTGGGAGGTGGAGGGTGCAATGAGCCAAGATCACACCATTGCATTCCAGCCTGGGCAGTAAGAGTCAAACTTTGTCTCAAAAAAAAAAAAAAAAAAAAAAAAGAGTATCTCTGAGATACATATCAAAGTTTTTTTTTTTTGAGATAGAGTCTCACTCTGTCGCCAGGTGCCAAGGCTGGAGTGCAGTGGCGCAATCTCAGCTCACTGCAATCTCCGCCTCCTGGGTTCAAGCAATTCTCCTGCCCCAGCCTCCCAAGTAGCTGGGACTATAGGTGTGCGCCACCATGCCCAGGTAATTTTTTCTATTTTTTAGTAGAGACAGGGTTTTACCACGTTGGCCAGGATGGTCTCCATCTCAACTTTGTGATCCATCCACCTCGGCCTCCCAAAGTGCTGGGATTACAGGCGTGAGCCACCGCGCCCGGCCAAAGTATTTTTAGATAAAACATTGTATTTGAGATTTGCTTTAAAATAATTCAGGAGCTGGGTGGGAAGGTGGTTTCAGATGAAATAAGAATGGCAGAATGTTGATGACGACTGAAACTGGATGAAAGGTACAATAGGTGAACAGGTCCTTAGACTATTATCTTTACTTTTGTATATATTTAAAATTTTTCATAATAACATGTAAAAAATCTAATTTGGAATGGCACAGTTAAAGGAATGCCTATTTCCACATGGAGTTGTACACATTTAAAGAAAGTATAGGCCAGGCATGGTGACTCATGCCTGTAATCCCAGCACTTTGGGAGGCCGAGGCAGGTGGATCACCTGAGGTCAGGGGTTCAAAACCAGCCTGGCGAACATGGCAAAACCCTGTCTTTACTAAAAATGCAAAATTATCTGGGTGTAGTGATACATGCCTGTGCCACCAGCTATTTTGGATGCTGAAGTAGGAGAATTGCTTGAACCTGGAGGCAGAGGTTGCAGTGAGCCAAAATCACACCATTGCACTCCAGCCTGGGCAAAAGGAGTGAGACTTGGTCTCAAAAAAAAAAAAAACAACCAACCAAACAAAGAAAGTATACTATGGATGTGAATACTGTTCCCTCAGCTCAGCAATTTATCAAAATACTAGACAGGAAATCATCAAATATGCAGAAAAAGAAGCAACAGTATTTAACTGATATTTATAGACTACTACAACAAACAATAGCAGAATACACATTCTTTTCAAGAATCATAGAAAAATGATCAAGAGGCCGTGTGCAGTGGCTCACGCCTGTTAATCCCAGCACTTTGGCAGGTGAATCACCTGAGGTTGGGAGTTTGAGACCAGCCTGAACCACATGGCAAAACCCTGTCTTTACTAAAAATACAAAATTAGCCAGGCCTGGTGGTTCATGCCTGTAATCCCAGCTATTTGGGAGGTCAAGGCAGAAGAATCGCTTGAACCCAGGAGGTGGAGGTTGCAGTGAGCCGAGATCACAATACTACACTCCAGCCTGGGCGACAGAACGAGACTCTGTCTCAAAAAAAAAAAAAAAAATCAGTGAATCTGAAAACAAAATAAAAAACAGAGAACAAATCAATAAAACACAATCCAGTTGATGGGGGAAAAAAATCAATAAAATATTGCTGATTGGCCTATTAGTCAACTAAACTGACAGAAATAAAAAGACACAAATTAGCAATATCAAGAATAAAACAGGAAATATCATGACAGATCCAGGAACCACTGAAAGAAAAATATGGGAATACAAACACTTATTTAGATAAAGTAAGTAATTAGCATATTTAGATAAGCTAAATAATCTTATAACTATTAAATTATCTCCATAATTTAAAACCTGCTGAAAAGAAATTTCTAGGCCTACTTTTGCCAGAGAAGTCTACCAAACTTTCAAAGAAGAATTAGTCTCATTTTTACACAAATTTATCCAGAAAATAAAAGAACACTTCCAAACTAATTTTGTACAGCCAGTATTACCCAGATATCAAAATGAAAGAAAGCACAAAAAAAGAAAACTACAGATCAGTATCTTTCATAATTTTAGATGCAAACATCCTCAACAAAATATCATCAAATTGTATCTAGCAATGAATATAATCATGTACTACCATGAACTGAAATTGATAGGGGAACTTGCTGTATCACTTTGTAATTCCCTGTGAATCTATAATTGTTTCAAAATAAAAGTTTTTAAAAATATATTCCTAAAGAAAGGATATTTCTTTCTTTTTTTTTTTTTTGAGGCGGAGTTTCGCTCTTGTTACCCAGGCTGGAGTGCAATGGTGCGATCTTGGCTCACCGCAACCTCCGCCTCCTGGGTTCAGGCAATTCTCCTGCCTCAGCCTCCTGAGTAGCTGGGATTCCAGGCACGCGCCACCACGCCCAGCTAATTTTTTGTATTTTTAGTAGAGACGGGGTTTCACCATGTTGACCAGGATGGTCTCGATCTCTTGACCTCGTGATCAACCCACCTTGGCCTCCCAAAGTGCTGGGATTACAGGCGTGAGCCACTGCGCCCGGCAAGAAAGGATATTTCAAAACATTTGGAATGGTTATGACTGGAAGATCATTGACAAGACTCACTGCACAATTCACATGAGAGAATAGGAATTACAGTTGACCTTTGAACCACATGGGTTTGAAATGTGTGGGTTCGTTTGTAGCACAGATTTTCTTTTTCAGTAAGATTACACCAAGTGTGCCTCCCTCTCCTGCTTTCCCTTCCACCTTCACCTCTTCCCCCTTTGCCACCAAAAACAGCAAGACCAAACTCTCTTTTTCCTCCTCCTCCTCAGCCTCCTTAACCTGAAGACCATCAGGACAAAGACCTTCATGATGATTCAATTCCACTTAATAAATAATAAATGTATTTTCTCTTCCTTTTTATTTTCTTAAAAGCATTTTCCTTTCTCTAGCTTACTTTTATTACAAAAATACAGAATATAGGGCCAGGTACGGTGACTCACCCCTGTGATCCCAGCATTTTGAGAGGCTGAGGGAGGCGGATCATGAGGTCAGGAGATCGAGACCATCCTGGCCAACATGGTGAAACCACGTCTCTACCAAAAATACAAAAAAATTAGCTGAGTGTAATGGTGGGTACCTGTAATCCCAGCTACTTGGGAGGCTGAGGCAGGCGAATTGCTTTAACCCAGGAGGCGGAAGTTGCAGTGAGCCAAGATCACATCACAGCACTCCAGCCTGGGTGACTCTGACTCAAAAAAAAAAAAAAATTCAGAATATAATACATATACAAATTACATGTTAATCAACCGTTCTTGGTAAATCAACATAAGTTATCAGTAGTTAAGTTTCGGGGGGTGGTCAAAAATTATATGCAGCTTTTCAACTGCACAGCACCCCAACCCTGCATTGTTTGAAGGTCAACTGTGCTTATTATAATTACAGTTTCGTGTGTGTGTGTGTGTGTGTGTGTGTGTGTGTGGTTTTTTTTTTTTTTTTGAGACGGAGTTTCACTCTTGTTGCCCAAGCTGGAGTGCAATGGCACGATCTCAGGTCACTACAACCTCACCCTCCCAGGTTCAAGTGATTCTCCTGCCTCAGCCTCTCGAGTAGCTGGGGTTACAGGCGCCTGCCACCGTGGCTGGCTAATTTTGTATTTTTAGTAGAGAACTCCCCACTTCAGGTGATGCCTGCCTCAGCCTCCCAAAGTGCTGGGTTTACAGGTGTGAGCCACTGTGCCCAGCCTCATCTACTCTTGAATACAGTTAGTGAATATGTTTGACTTCAGAATCTATTAATTTCCAATTCTTTTGGGCATCCAGGTTAACTCTAAACAAAATAAAAACCAGAAATAAGGTTGGGAATAATTTTTGATAATATCCATTATTACTCAAAACTCCAGAGATGGAGACATTATCCATGTGTTGCTCATACTTGACAGGAAGATCAAGTTTTGTTCCAGGAGCACCAGGTCTAGAGTCCAGTTGGTTCCTAAGGCCTATTTGCCTCTCCCCTAAGGCTCTGGTAACGGATCAGAGATACCTACTCTTAGACTGAAATTCCACCTCCTCCTCACCTCATAGGAGCTGCCATGATCCTCTGGAGCCAGGGCTGGGGATTTCTGGGGTGAGATCCAGCTAGTTGGCATGGCCACACTGGTCTCAACCCTTTTTCTTTAGGGTGCCTGAAGTTTAGTGGTTTAGTGAACTCAGCAGAGCTGCTCGGAAGAAGTGGGCTGGAGTCTGGAGGAAGGTCTGGCCCAGGGACTCCCCAGAGACACCCAGGAACCTAGAAAGACAATGTCCACAGAGTCATTCAACATTCACTACATAAACACTTCCTGGATACATCAAGGCACAGGTCCCTGAGCTAGAAACCAGAGCAGTGGTTCCCAAACGTAGGTATGCATTCAAGTTACCTGGAGGGCTTGTTAAAACAGTTTAAAAATCTTGCTGGTTGCAGTGGCTCATGCCTATAATCCCAGCACTTTGGGAGGCCGAGGCGGGTGGATTACCTGAGGTGGGGAATTTGAGACCAGCCTGACCAACACAGAGAAACCCCATCTCTACTAAAAATACAAAATTAGCCTGGCGTGGTGGTGCTTGCCTGTAATCCCAGCTACTCGGGAGGCTGAGGCAGAAGAATCACTTGAACCCAAGAGTCAGAGGTTCCAATGAGCGGAGGTGGCATCATTGCACCCCAGCCTGCAAGAGCAAAACTCCCCTCAAAAAAAAAAAAAGTAACAACATCCACTGTTGGAAAGCATTTAGGCAAATTTCTTTTAGAAATTGTTGGTTGAAGCTTGAATTGGTATAATGTCTTTTGAGCTATTTAGTCATATCCATTTTTCTTTCTTTTTTTTTGAGACATTGTTTCGCTCTTGTCGCCCAGGCTGGAGTGCAGTGGCATGATCTCCAGCTCACTGCAACCTCCATCTCCCGTGTTCAAGCGATTCTCCTGCCTCAGCCTCCCGAGTAGCTAGGATTACAGGCTCCCACCACCAAGCTCAGCTGATTTTTGTATTTTTGATAGAGACGGGGTTTCACCATATTGGCCAGGCAGATCTCAATTCCCTGACCTCAGGTGATCTGCCCACCTCGGCCTCCCAAAGGGCTGGGATTACAAATGAGAGCCACGGTGTCCAGCCAGTCATATCTATTATTAACAATACCTGAAACGGGTCCCAATAACATAGTATTAAATGTATAAAGCAGAAACTGACAGACAGGTGGGCAAATAACCTTTCCAGCTATGTAGTTTACCTTCCTCAACAAAATAATCTGTAAGGAGATACTATGTATATATCACATGACTAATATTTATAGCAATACAAGTTAGAGAACATATTACATTGTTTGTATGTAACAGATGAGACATTTATGAAAACTGAGATAGAACTAGGCCATAAAGCAATTTTTCAACTAAAGCATCACCCACAGACACTAATTGAAACATAAAGTGCATGCACTTCTAAACAGCTCATGGGTAAAAGAAAAACAATTACTGAAAAAAATTTTTAAACACTTAGATTTGAACAATAAGAAATTACTACACACTAAAACTTGTAGATCTTTATATTACAGGCCGAAATGGAAAGAACTGAACTTTTAACTCAGGTCAGAAAGCAAGCTAATCACAGTCCTCACCGATCACCATAGCTGACCCTACAGGTTCTGTCTCTGACCACAGACTCCCATCACTGACTCCTAAACCCCAATCACTCATCCCAAAGAGCCCATCAATGACCCAAGAAATCCGTCACAGACAACCATCGACAGATGCCACAGATCCACATCACCGAGCCCGGAAACCACCGTCACTAACTCCACGGACAACTCCTCCATTATTGACTTCACAGAATCCCTAATCGCAATCAACCAAAATCATCACAGAGACCTCTCGGCATTAAAACGTGGAAATACTCTTGACACCAGCGGCGAAATAGCTTTCCGGGGCCACTTCCACTTCCGGTCCGACTTCTAGCACCTCCCTTTATGGACTGTTGAAATTGCGCATGTTCTGAATTAACTTGGAAGCCAAATTTAGCCCATAGTCAACAGGGCGCAGATACATCTTTAGAGACTTCATGCAGTTTCCGTAATCGGCGCTCTCGGGCAGAAAGTATGGCCGCGCCCTTGTGGTGTGTTTTTGGCGTGTGCCGCCATCTTGGATGTGTATCCACTCCGTACAGTGGGGGAGTCCGCCTCCTGCAGGGTTGACTAGAGTAAGGCAAGGATTTTCACATAGAATGCAAGACAGTAATCATAGTTTGACCACGCTTGTACACAGGAAGAACTTCCTAAAGAAAGGATTTGGAGCTTTATGTTTTTATATATATATACGTATATATATACATATATATATGTATGTATTTTTTTTCTTTCCTGTCACCCACGACGCGGCTTTACCATGTTAGTCAGGCTGGTCTCAAACTCCTGACCCCAAATAATCAGCCCACTTTGGCCTCCCAAAGTGCTGGGATTACAGGCGTGAGCCACCGCGCCCAGCTGTTATATTTAGAATAGATAAGTTACTCCTTGGTTACTGCACACTGCAGAAAACAATGATTTACTAGGAGAAACCATGGGGAAACAAGGAAGTCAAGGATTCCGAGAGAAATGAGGAAGATAAGAAGAGACATCAGGAGGGTTCATTCTATTTTTTGGAGACTCCGCTCAGTGAGAGGGTGGGCTGGGATCTGAGTTCACTCCTGGGTGAAACCATTAGGCAAGATAGAGTGATGTCATAATAGGTAGTATGCTGCAGGAAGGGAGGTACAACTTTTTTTTTTTTTTTTTGAGAGGGGTTTCGCTCTTGTTACCCAGGCTGGAGTACAACGGCGCGATCTCGGCTCACTGCAACCTCCGCCTCCTGGGTTCAGGCAATTCTCCTGCCTCAGCCTCCTGAGTAGCTGGGATTACAGGCACGCACCACCATGCCCAGCTAATTTTTTGTATTTTTGGTAGAGACGGGGTTTCACCATGTTGACCAGGATGATCTCGATCTCTTGACCTCGGCCTCCCAAAGTGCTGGGATTACAGGCTTGAGCCACCGTGCCCGGCCAGAGGTACAACTTTTAATAGTTGAAAACACATTAGGAAATCTCGTAGAAGTTGGATTAGCACAATCCTCTTCCAGGAGATACCATGGAATAGGGGTTAGAAGTCTAAGCATCCCCTTTAGAAAGGCTGGTAGGAGGTTTTGGGAGGGACAGATATTTTAGTCCCCTTAATCTCCATCCTCCTTCACCCTAACTACCTCTAGCACAATTATAGTAAGCAGCAACAAAAAATAATAATAATAGTCTTGGCCGGGTGCAGTGGCTCACGCCTGTAATCCCAGCGCTTTTGGAGGCCGAAGCGAGCAAATCACCTGAAGTTGGGAGTTCGAGACCAGCCTGACCAACATGGTGAAACTCCATCTAGAGTAAAAGTACAAAATTAGCTAGGCATGGTGGTATATGCCTGTAATCCCAGCTACTTGAGAGGCTGAGGTAGGAGAACTGTTTATATCTGGGAGGCGGAGGTTGTAGTGAGCTGAGATGGTGCCATTCAATTCCAGCCTGGGCAACAAGAGCAAAACTCCGTCTCAAAATAATAATAATAATAATAATAATAATAATGTAATATGGCCAGCGTGTGACTAAAAACACCCGAAGACAACCTTGCTATTTTTATTTACCTTGAAATTGAAATATAATAGCAGTGTTATTACTAGATTAATGAAGCCTTAAATCCAGTTTCTGGTTCTTCTGCTAGTTTCTCCTGCATGGAAATTGTGAAGCAGCTTACACTCCGTTACCCATCTTTTTGGGAAGTATCAGTGAGAAGTTGTAAAGATACAATTCCTTTTACCTCCTAAACATTATTCACAACCCAGTTTCTGCCAGGAAGTTCTGCCTGAAAATGGTGAGAGGTTTTATGCTCTCCTGAAAATGTTCAGTCCCAGTAAATGGGGAGATTGTTCTGGAGGAACTAGATCCACATTCTGATGTGGGCATGCTGGATACCTTCAGGACAATTACGTCCCCTCTGGGACTCAGCTTAAATATAGAGCCAGTTACAGTGCTCAACTCTGCTTCTCTGACGTTTCTCTTTCTTCTCCCAAAGCATGGTCGAAGGAGACATCCGTGGAAGTCCAGTAGTGAACACACAGTTCTCCAGAGGCCTAAGAATTACTGTTAATTTTGTTGGTCATGTGGTTTTGTGAAAATCAAGATGACTTATAGGGACTCAGATGGAAATATGTATGGGTGAAATGATGTTTGCTCTAAAAACTCAACTGAGGGGCCAGGCGCAGTGGCTCACACCAGTAATCCCAGCACTTTGGGAGGCCAAGGCAGGCGGATCACCTGAGGTCAGGAGTTCGACGAGACTAGCCTGACCAACATGGAGAAACCCCATCTCTACTAAAAATACAAAATTATCTTGGTGTGGAGGCTCATGGGTGTAATCCCAACTACTCAGGAGGCTGAGGCAGAAGAAACACTTGACCCTGGTAGGCGGAGGTTGCAGTGAACAGAGATTGGGCCATTGCACTCTAGCCTGGGCAACAAGAGCAAAACAATGTCTGGAAAAAAAAAACCTCCACTGAGGAGGGGTATATGGATGCCACAAGAATAACAAAATGTTGGCTGGGTGGGGTGGCTCACACCTGTAATCCCAGCACTTTGGAAAGCCCAGGCAGGAGGATTGCTTAAGGCCAGGAGTTCAAGATCAGCCTGGGCAACAGATGAGACACCCATCTCTACAAAAAAATTAAACATAAAAAAAAAAAGTATCTGGGCATGGTGGCTGCTGAAAAACTCGAGCTTTGAATGAAGAGAACTTCCAAACAGGCTTTGTGTGAACAACATGGCTGTTTATTCACCTGGATGCAGGTGGGCTAAGGCCGAAAAGGGCATTAGCAAAGGGCATTAGCAAAGGGATAGGAGTTGGTTTTATAGGTTTGGGTAGTTTTTTGGAGGGTGGGGTATTGCAGAGTAAGATCAGTTACAGTGGGGAGTAGGGGTCAAGGAGTCTACAGGACCACAAGTTCTGTTACAATGGCAGCGTTGGGTGATAGGGTATCACATTATCATAAGAACAGTTAAGATGGCAGGGCTGGGTGAAGGGCTTGTCCCAGGAAGCGATCAGGGACAATGGCGAATGTAGGCAGCGGGTGGGAGACATCAGCCGAGGCAAGCAGGACTTCAGACTTTCAGGCTCCAGGCTTGCATATGGAGACCTGACAGTGGCACATGCCTGCAGTCCCAGGAACTCACGAGGCTGAGGTGGGAGGATCCTTAAACCCAGGAGGTTGAGGCTACAGTGAGCTATAATGGCACCACTGAACCACAGCCTGAGTGACAGAGGGTGACCCTGTCTTAAAAAAAAAAAAAGTTGCTGGGATTACAGGCATAAGCCACCGTGACTGGCCTTTTTTTTTTTTTTTTTTTTTTTTTTTTTAGACAGCGTTTCCCTCTTGTTGTCCAGGCTGGAGTGTAATGTGATACTGGCTCACCACAAACTCCATCTCCAGGGTTAAAGCAATTCTCCTGCCTCAATCTCCTGAGTAGCTGGGATTACAAGCACCCACCACCACACCCAGCTAATTTTGTATTTTTGTAGAGATGGGGTTTCTTGGGCCGGGTGCGGTGGCTCACGCCTGTAATCCCAGCACTTTGGGAGGCCAAGGCGGGTAGATCACGAGGTCAAGAGATTGAGACTACCCTGGTCAACATGGTGAAACCCCGTCTCTACTAAAAATACAAAAAAATTAGCTGGGCATGGTGGCACGTGCCTGTAATCCTAGCTACTCAGGAAGCTGAGGCAGGAGAATTGCCTGAACCCAGGAGGCGGAGGTTGGCGCCATTGCACTCCAGCCTGGGTAACAAGAGCGGAACTCCATCTCAAAAAAAAAAAAAAAGAAAGATGGGGTTTCTCCATATCGGTCAGGCTGGTCTTGAACTCCCACCCTCAGATGATCCACCTGCCTTGGCCTCCCAAAGTGCTGGGATTACAGGCGTGACCCACCACACCTGGCTGAAAATTTTAAATAGATGTCACAAAAGAATGCAAATCACTGAATGAATGTAAGCTAAATCCATTGCCATCAGGAAATGCAAATGAAAGACACAATTTGATACTACTGCTCATTTTTTATAATAAAATTTAAGAATGACAATAGTAAATGTTGAAGGCATGTGAAACAACTAGAAATCTCATGCTCTGCTGATGAGAACATAGGGGTACAATCTGTAAAACTGTGGCAGTTTCTTGTAAAACTCAATATGGATTTATTATATGACCCGCTGATTCCACTTTTACATATTTCCCTGTTGGGAACCAGCCAAACCCTGTGCATGGGTGCCCCGTGTCCCTGCAGTTGTTATACTGGACCGAGCATAGAAAGTCAACACCAAGACAAAAGTATGCCAAATTGCAGGGTTTATTGCCGGCGACCACGGAGGACTCACGTCTCTCCAACCCGTGGCAGAGAAAGAAGGGTGACAAGACCTTTTTATACCCGTAAAACCACCTTGGGAGTGGGGGTGAGGAGCAGGGATGGGGATGAAAGGCTTCAGACCTTTCGAAGGCTAGTGGATTCCGTAAATCACCTCCTGGGCAGAGAGGAGGGTGAGGGGGGGCTCCGGACGTTCCAAGGGCCCGGGGACTTTTGTCATTCCGATTGTTACTTAAGTGGTTTACAGAAGTCAAGATAAACATTAGTTTATACATTATCTGGGTAGGGGTACAGATCTTTAGTTACTTACTACGGGTTGCAGGAGCCAGGATGGAATTAACTCGGGCTGCTTATTCTGGTTGTTAGTGGCTAGCAACTCTGGCAGTTACTGGTAAGAGAAGGTGAGCAGCTTTACTTCTCTGCATTCTGCACAGTAAACTAGCAGTCGTATTTACAGAAGCCAAGGCCAGTAGTCATTGTGAGGAGAATGGGCAGCCTTTACACCTTATTTAAAAAACAGTTTTGCATCTTATAAAATGACATCGTTCAGGTTCTAACTCTAGGCCAGCTATATCACACAGTGACGAGGGAGTGAGAAAAGAAATAAAGACAAAGATACAATAGAATTTTACAGCATGGGTCCAGGGGTCCCACGCACTCGCACTCTGGAGGGGTGATCCGAGCTGGCCTTGAGCCCTGGACTCTAAGCGTTTTTATTAGGTGTATTATCTTGTTAATCTTGCAGGCTGTAGGGAGGGGGGCTGAGGAGGAAGACAGCAGGAGGAAGAGCATGTGTCTGTGTCTGTTTCTGCAGCATTCAACAGCAAACCTGGTTCTTCTAAGAAATGCTAACTAAGGACACTGAGATTTTACCGCCCACTGTCTATCCAGGTGCTTTGGCAAGAGAGGTGCAGCCATAAGGTCTGACCACACGCAATGCATCAAGGGGCTTTTTTCTTTTTTTGAGACAGAGTTTCGCTCTTGTTACCCAGGCTGGAGTGCAATGGTGTGATCTCGGCTCACCACAACCTCTGTCTCCTGGGTTCAGGCAATTCTCCTGCCTCAGCCTCCTGAGTAGCTGGGATTCCAGGCACGCGCCACCAGACCCAGCTAATTTTTTGTGTTTTTAGTAGAGACGGGGTTTCACCATGTTGATCCGGGTAGTCTCGATCTCTTGACCTCGTGATCCACCCGCCTTGGCCTCCCAAAGTGCTGGGATTACAGGCATGAGCCACCACCCCTGGCCATCAAGGGGTTTTTATTTCTTGAGTATTGTGGACACAGAGCAATCAGAATTACTCCACATTCTGAGAACCTGGGCAGAATCTGTGTCGTTCAGTTGTCTCTGCCCTGTAAGGCCTTCTGGCACCAGCTCCTATCTGTGAAGACTCTCTCAGAGTCTTGAGCTGAGGTTGCATTACTTCCCAGAGTCTTTTGCATCAGCTCCCTTTATGAGATCCTCACACAAACTCTATGTTGGGAAGAGTTGTGGGACCAAAGCAGTTTCTCTTCTGCTCTGCAGCCACACCGCAGTGTTCCGCGGTTACAGAGGCTCTCAGATGGTCCTTACCACAGGCCTCCTGATACTGCTTGATCTCTGCTTTTATTTTACTGCACCATAGTGTGGATATGATCCGCGGCACACATCTCAGTGTATAAAAAGCAAAGCAAGCTTGTAATCATTTAACTGTAAGTAACACAGGTCTGCACCGGCCAGCTCTTCCCACATTTCCCAATGTAAATGAAAGCATATGTTTACAAAAACACTTGTACATAAATGCTTATATTAATTGTATTCATATTATGTCCCGACCCGCGGGACGAGCAACGGAGACCCTAGGGAGGGAGTGGGGATTGAGAGAGAGACAGGAGACGTGAAGAATGGAGACAAGTCAAAGATCTGATCAAGTCTCGTTTATTAGGTACAAAGCAACTGCTTATAAGCAAGCAAAGGCGGGAAGCTCTGAGTTCTGATGTCAGAAAGGAATCATGGAGACGAGGCTGCAGGCTGGCCTCGTGACTAAGAAGAATGTGAAACTCAGACAAGAGAAGCAGAAGCTTGAGCAACAAGATCAAAAGACGGCTATCATGACGCTCAAGATGGCCACTGCTCCCTACAATATTAGCCAATCTGGAAACAACTCAAATATGCATAAACAGGTGAACAGATGTACAATTCTGATACATTCATAAAATGAAATGCTATTCAGAAATCATATAGAGAGACTAATATAGAAAACAGCATAAATTTCAAAAACATCATGCGGAGAGAGAGAAGCCAGACCAAACAAATGCACCTCTGATCAACTCTAGACGAGTAGGATAAACCTATAGTGACAGAAGAAGGTAAATCAATAGATGCCTGATGTGGGGATGGGGAGGTAGGGATTGACTTAACAAGGTCATAGGGAAATTTGTGGCGGGGACTGTGGTGAATAAAAATATTCTATATCCAGCTGGGCGCGGTGGCTCATGTTTGTAATCCCAGCACTTTGGGAGGCCGAGGTGGACGGATCACGAGGTCAGGAGTTTGAGACCAGCCTAGCCAACATAGCAAAACCCCCTCTCTATTAAAAATACAAAAATTAGCCGGTTGTGGTGGCGAGCACCTGTAATCCTGGAGGCTGAGACAGGAGAATCGCTTGAACCTGGGAAGTGGAAGTTCCAGTGAGCCAAGATTGCGCCACTGCACTCTAGCCTGGGAGACAGAGCTAGACTCTGTCTCAAGAAAAAACATACAGACACACACATTCTATATCCAGTACCAAAAGAATAAATGCTTGAGGGTTAGAGACCCCATTCTACATGATACATTATGCATTGCATGCCTGTATCAAAACATCTCATGTATCCCATAAATATATATACCTACTATGACCCCACAAAAATTTAGATAAAAAGCTTAATTTAAGAAACAATTTTAATAAATGTTCTGTATCCTGATTATGATGGTGGTGACAAGGACTTAGACATTTGTTGAAACTCATCAAGCAGTTCACTTAAAATGAGTGCATTTTATTATATTTAAATTATGCTTCAGTAAAGTTGATTTTTAAAAAACAGGCACACAAATATAATTTACAAACCATAACATTAGCTCATTTATGGTGTACCATTCAATTATTTTTAGTGCATTCAGAGTTGTGCAAACATCATTATCTAATTCAAGCAGCTTTGCATTACCCCAAAAAGGAACCTTTTATCTAATCATTCAGTTCCCCCTAATCCTGCTAGTCCTAAAAAACTCTAATTTACTCCTTGTCCGTAGATTTGCCTATCTTAAATATTTCATACAAATGCAATCAGAATATATGGCTCATTCACGGATGAAGTCAAAAATGAGGATTTAATCAGTCTAGCATTCTCAGAGTGAGTTATAACGCCTAGAAGAGTCCGGGACCCTGGGTGCGCTCTGCACAGCGGGTCGGCTTGGGGCAAAAAGTCCTTGAAACGATCTCCTTCCACTAGCCCGGACGCCTCACCCTTTTTGGCTCCAGACTACAGTTCCCAGAATCCTTGCGGCTCTAATCAACGTCTGGCCCCAAGCGGTGACCTTTTCCTGTTTCTCAAGGAACTCCCTGGGGTTGGCTGGTACCATGGAGGAAGATTGTCTTCAGGGTGCAGGGCCAGCGTCCTATGGCAGTTTCACTCTGAGCATGTGTCGGAATCACGGAGACGCGGGGTAGCCGTTCGGGGTGGGGAGCAGGGATGCCCCCGAGCTGTACAGCGGCAGGAACCCGAAGAACTGGACGCCATCTTCTCGGTGCGGTACTACTCTGGACTGCATTTCCCAGAGGCCCCCCCGAGGCCAGGGCAGCCCTTTCATTTGCCTGCTAGACCCTAGGCCTCCAGGGTAGGGGAAGCGCGCGGTGAGCGGCCTGGGTCGTTGCGGGCTTGGCTTGGGTCCGCAGGTGCGTGCCTAGGAGTTTGAAGGGACTGACCAGGCTGGTCTTCTGGAGTGTCTGACATGTATGAGTTGGTCGGGCTGGTGGAGGGGATGGTGGGGAGGCGGGCGCGTGGCGTGGGCTTCCGTGTGTGAGTGTTACCGAGTGTGACGTTATGTGACTGTGCCTCGCTCTGTGAGCGGGTGTGATTGTATATCCTCGTTGTAGTTGTGTTATTGTAACAATGTAAGGCTGTGTGTGTAGGTGTGACTGTCCCGTGGTGGGACTGTGATTGTGTGTGACTGTGTAACTTTGCGTGACGTTGTGGAGGGTGTGTGTGGAGAAAATCTGATGATGAAGACTGTAACTCTTATTCTGAGGGGTGCGTTTGTAATTGTGTTTGTATGACTATTAGCAGCGCTAGGTGTACTGGATGCCTCACTAAGTGACATCGTGAGAATATGAGTGTGACCATGTAACTTTATGTGGCATTGTGTCTGTGGTTGGCAAGTGCGTGTAATTGTGCTAGGGTGACAATATGTGTGTCCTAACAGTCATTGTGTTATTTTGCATGTGTGATTGTGTGTAGTGCTCAATAGGGGTCCTGGGGAGGGGGGAACTGTAACTTTGTGTGGCTCAGTAGTGAGTGTGGTATTGTGACTATCTGTAGCACTCTGGTTTTGAATGGTGCTATGTTTGAGGGGTCTGTAAACATGCAGGTGTGACTGTGTATCCTCAGGGTAGATGTGGGACAGTGATTGTGCCACCGTAATATAGTGTTATTGTTTGGGTGAGGTGTGCCTGTGGAGGTGTATGTGGGTTCCTATGGTGAGTGGGTGACTGCAGTATTGGGTATGGGGTGCTTGTGACTGTCTTTGTGACTCCAGCTCTTTCTGTGAGGTAATGACAGATTCTCATGGAGAGCAGAGACCTCACTCCCTTGATAACAAAAATGCCCAGGACAGCCTACATGTCCCCCATCCCTCCTTCTCTTCACAGACAGTAGATATAGATCAAGAATGACCTCAGATCTGGTCAGTCTGGGCCACAAGAAAGGCCTGGCATCTCATGATTCCCTTCTTCTTCTTCAGCTCTGCCCTCCTCAGAGAGTTACCCAGAGGAGGAAAGAAGAATGGCTGGTGACTAAACCAAATACAAGGTGCATTAGGTTTCCTTTTTGCTTCTCTTCTCTGGATAGTCGTGGTTAACATAGAGTCAACAGTGACCTTGTTCTTAGAATTTCTATTCAAGAAAATGATGAGAAGTTTTGGAGTGGACATAGAGATCCCAGTAGTCACACTCTCTTTTTTTTTTTTTTCTGAGTCTTGTACTGTTGCCTAGGCTGGAGTGCGGTGGCATGATCTTGGCTCACTGCAGCCTCCATGTCCTGAGTTCAAGCAATTCTCCTGCCTCAACCTTCCAAGTTGCTGGGAATACCGGTGCCCACCACCATGCCCAGATAATTTTTGTATTTTTTTTTTTTTTGGAGACGGAGTTTCGCTCTTGTTACCCAGACTGGAGTGCAATGGCGCAATCTCGGCTCCCTGCAACCTCCGCCTCCTGGGTTCAGGCAATTCTTCTGCCTCAGCCTGCTGAGTAGCTGGGATTACAGGCACGCACCACCATGCCCATCTAATTTTTTGTATTTTTAGTAGAGACGGGGTTTCACCATGTTGACCAGGATGGTCTTGATCTCTTGACCTCGTGATCCACCCGCCTCGGCCTCCCAAAGTGCTGAGATTACAGGCGTGAGCCACCACACCTCGCCAATTTTTGTATTTTTAGTAGAGATGAGGTTTCACCATGTTGACCAGGCTGCTCTTGAACTCCTGACCTTGTGATCCACCTGCCTCGGCCTCCCAAAGTGCTGGGATTACAAGGCGTGAGCCACTGTACCTGGCCCCATTAGTTTCTTTTACTTCTTTCTATAAAATATTCACTTACTTTTCTTTTTTTTTAGAGACAGGGTTTCACCATGTTGGTCAGGCTGGTCTTGAACTCCTGACTTCAGGTGATCCGCCTTGGCCTCCCAAAGTGCTCGGATTACAGGTGTGAGCCACCGTGTCCAGCCAAAATATTCACTTATTAATTTAGAAAATAGAACAATTTTCCCAGTGTAGTAAAGTTTTGCCTTTTTAAACGCACACACACTCTCCCTTCTCTGTCTCACACACATCCACACACACTGATTATTTTAAATAATTTGGAAAATAGGGAGTTACAAAGAGCAAAAGTAAATCTACTACCCAGAAATAACCTCTGTTAATATTTTGATCTATTTTCTTCTAGTAAGTTTCCTATGCACGTATAACATACATTACTTTCAAGATTGGAATCTTACAGCATCCACCATTTCATATCTTGTATTTACACTACAAATTATGTATAGTTGTTATATTTGTTTTTCTTTTCTTTTTGTTTGAGACTGGGTCTTGCTCTGTCATCCAGGCTGGAGTGCAGTGGCATGATCTCGGCTCACTGCAACCTCCGCCTCCTGGTTCAAGCAGTTCCCTTGCATCAGCCTCCAGAGTAGCTGGGACTACAGGCACATGCCACCATGCCCATACCCAACTTTTTTTTTTTTTTCTTTTTTGTATTTTAGTGGAATTGGGGTTTCACCATGTTGGCCAGGGTGGTCTTGATCTTCTGACCTCGTAAAATATTTTAAACTGCCATTGCAGTTCATTCTTTTTTTTTTGAGACAGAGTTTCGCTTTTGTTGCCCAGGCTGGAGTGCAGTCGCGTGATCTTGGCTCACCACAACCTCCATGTCCTGGTTTCAAGCAGTTCTCCTGACTCAGCCTCCTGGAGTAGCTGGGATTACAGGCATGTGCCACCACACCCGGTTACTTATATATTTTTAGTAGAGATGGGGTTTCTCCATGTTGATCAGACTGATCTTGAACTCCTGACCTCAGGTGATCCGCCCGCCTGGGCCTCCCAAAGTGCTGGGATTACAGGTGTGAGCCACCGCACCCGGCCACAATTTATTCTTTGAGCCACTGGGTATTTATGAATACACTGCTTAAATTCCTGACTTACTATAATATCCTCAGGGTTTAAACATGTTGTAGCATGTGACAGGACTTACTTTTTTGTTGTTTATTTGTTATTTGTTTTAATATGCTTTATTTTTTAGGGTACCTTTAGGTTCACAGTAAAATTGAGCAGAAGGTACAGAGATTTTCCATATTTCCCTACACATGTATGGTCTCCCCCATCGTCAACATCCCCCACCAGAGTGATACTCTATTACAACTAATGAACCCACATGGACACATCATTATCACCCAGCGTCTGTAGTTTACATTAGGGTTCACTCCTAGTGTTATACATCCATGGGTTTGCATAAATGTATAGTGACATGTGCCTGCCATTATGATGTCATCCATATTGATTCCATTGCTCTAAAAAGCCTCTGTGACCTGACGGATCATCCCTCCCTTCCTGTCAATTCCTAATCTAATCTTTTTATTGTCTCCATAGTTTTGCCTTTTCCAGAATGTCGAAATCATACAGTATGTAGTTTTTTGGATTGGTTTCTTCCACTTAGTAATGTGCATTTAAGTTTCCCAAGCTGTTGATCATGAGGCTGAGTCCCTTTTTCTACTTCATCAGGCATGTAAGTTTCTATTTTTTTTTTTTTTTTGAGACGGAGTTTCGCTCTTGTTACCCAGGCTGGAGTGCAATGGCGCGATCTCGGCTCACCGCAACCTCCGCCTCCTGGGTTCAGGCAATTCTCCTGCCTCAGCCTCCTGAGTAGCTGGGATTACAGGCACGCACCACCATACCCAGCTAATTTTTTGTATTTTTAGTAGAGATGGGGTTTCACCATGTTGACCAAGATGGTCCCCATCTCTTGACTTCGTGATACACCCGCCTCGGCCTCCCAAAGTGCTGGGATTACAGGCTTGAGCCACCGCGCCTGGCCACAAGTTTCTATTTTTAATATAGATTTTATTTTTTGTAACTCAGTTCACTTATTGGACAAGATTTGTGCTTTAAATTTTTTCATGATCTGCAGTTTCATTACAACTCATTCCCCTGTTATGAAGATACATTGACCTGGGTTAATAATACTTTTAAATTTTGCTTATTTATTTATTTATTTTTTGAGATGGAGTCTCACTCTGTTGCCAGGCTGGAATGTAGTGGCGCATCTCGGCTCACTGCAACCTCTGCCTCCTGGGTTCAAGTCGTTCTCCTGCCTCAGTCTCCCAAATAGCTGGGACTACAGGTATACACCACCATACCAGCTAATTTTTGTATTTTTAGTGGAGACAGGGTTTCACCTTGTTGGCCAGGATGGTCTCGGTCCGTTGTGATCCACCCACCTCGGCCCTCCAAAGTGCGGGAATTACAGGCATGAGCCACTGCACCCGACCAGGTATTTTTTTTTAAACTTAAGTCTTTATTCATATCACTGTAATTATTAGGGGTTTAAAATATTAATAGGATGTTTATTTCCCAGGTGATAACGAATTGAGTATGCAGTAAGCTCTCATATGGGATATTTGGCTCATTTGTTATTTTATTGTATCCCATTTCTGCTTGGTTTGTGTGTGTCTACTGACTAACTGCAGTGAATCCCTTTGTCTTGGGATATTGTGTGAGGCCTCTGTTGTGATGGGTCCTTCTCGTTTTGGTACAGTTTTTCCTTTTTCTTGGACTAACTGGCTCTTTCTTTTCTTTTTCTTTTTTTTTTTTTTTTTTTGAGACTGAGTCGCACTCTCTAGGCCAGGCCGGAGTGCAGTGGTGCGATCTCAGCTCACTGCAACCTCCGCCTCTCGGTCCCGGTTCAAGTAATTCTCCTGCCTCAGCCTCTGGAGTAGCTGGGATTACAGGCACGCACCACCATGCCCAGCTAATTTTTGTATTTTTAGTAGAGACAGGGTTTCACCTTGTTGACCACAATGGTCTCGATCTCTTTGACCTCGTGATCTGTCCGGCTCAGCCTCCCAAAGTGCTGGGATTACAGGTGTGAGTCACTGTGCCTAGCCCTAACTGGCTTTTTCAAAGTTCCCAGAATTTATTCTTTTTATCTCATGTAGATGGAAACAAGCAGCTAATACTAGAACTATAAAAAATAGGATGAGGAAAAACATATATAATCGCTCCCTAATTATTGTATGTAAAAAAGAACTGTTTTATTCACCGACCTCTTTTTGTGCACTTTGTAACAATTTTTTTTTTTGAGACAGAGTCTTGCTCTGTCTCCAGGCTGGAGTGCAGTGGCACAATATCGGCTCACTGCAACTTCCGCCTCAGCCTCCCGAGTAGCTGGGACCACAGGCAAGTGCCACCACACCTGGCTAATTTTTGTATTTTTAGTAGAGAAGAGGTTTCACCATGTTGGCCAGGATGGTCTTGATCTCTTGACCTCGTGATCTGCCCACCTCGGCCTCCCAAAGTGCTGGGATTACAAGCGCCCGGCCAACAGTTTTTCTCTTACATATTAGTAGGGACTTAGAGCATTTCACAGACTCTTTCAGTTTACTGATCGCTGTTGAAGACTGCATCATAGCCTGGAGGAGTGGCAGAAGTATTGTTTATTGTTGTGTAAGTTTTCAGTAATTGGTTAATGGGATCCATTAAAAGGAGACCTAGTCCTTTCAGCACAGGTATTTTTGTTTTTTGTTTTTTGTTTTGAGACGGAGTTTCGCTCTTGTTACCCAGGCTGGAGTGCAATGGCGCGATCTTGCAACCCCCACCTCCTGGGTTCAAGCAATTCTCCTGCCTCAGCCTCCTGAGTAGCTGGGACTACAGGCACGCGCCACCATGCCCAGCTAATTTTTGTATTTTTAGTAGAGACAATGTTTCACCTTGTTGACCAGGATGGTCTCGATCTCTTGACCTCGTGATCCACCCGCCTCGGTCTCCCAAAGTGCTGGGATTATAGGTGTGAGACACCACGCCCGGCCTCAGTACAGATATTTTTGAAAACAGCCTCACCTTTTGGCAACAGCAGAAGGTTGTATTTCTTTTTTTTTTTTTTTTCCAAGTCAGAGTCTCATCTTGTCACCCAGGCTGGAGTGCAATGGTATGATCTCGGCTCACTGCAGCTTCTGCCTCCCAAGTTCAAGGGATTCTCGTGCCTCAGCCTCCCAAGTAGCTGGGATTATAGGTGCATATACATATATATATATATGTATGAATGTATGTATATATGTGTGTGTGTGTGTCTATATGTATGTATATATATATATATATATTTTTTTTTTTTTTTTTTTAAATAAAACAGAGCTAGAAGAATGAGTGCTTCCTGCACCCGTGTGTTTAGGGGTGGGTGTGGGTGTTGTGTGTGTGTGTGTTTGTGGTGAGGGAAGTTGAATTTTTTAAGGTTGAGAAAGGAAAACACCTGATTAGGGAAGTGTTTGGTTTTTATGATCTGAGTGCACTCTGTTCCTGGCCAAAGGGCACCGTTTGGGTGAATCTGGATTGGGGACCTGAGGGCTGCAACGGAGGTTGTGGTAGCTCAGTCTTGGGTCATAGTAGGTCAGTAGCTCAGGGCAGGTCATAGTAGCTGAATTGTGGGTTCAGAGCAGTGTCATTGAAGTGGGACAATCCCTTGGCTAGGGCAGGAACTTAGGTAGTTTGCATGAGGGAGAATGAATCTGGGTCCTTGTCTTTCTTTGGATCCAGCTACCCAGGATTCATCTTGCTGCAGCTAAAGCCTGGGGTTTGTAGGGTTGAGGAAGGAGTAGGATTTGTTCTATATTCCCACTAACTAGAGTTATATCTTAAGACCAAGAACTATGGAGGCAGTTTCCTCCGGCCTCTAATGTGATTTCTAGGGTTTTACCTCCCAGTCCGGCAATCTCAGAACACTATCGTTTTTCAGGAGAACGGCCCCAGGGAGGACTAACCATCTGCAGTACTGAAAGCCATGGCCGAGGTGAGTTGATGCTTTTTCTTGCCTTCATGAGCCTTTGCTTTTCTTATCCTAACATTTCTGGCTAACGGGATCTCCCTTTAGGATCCTGGTCCCCATTTCCTCTTAGCTAGATAATCCTATACCATCTCTAAATATTCCTTTTATTTTTAGAAATCAACCAGGATTAATATTTTCATTCTGTAAATACCTGAGCATCTCTTTCTTTCAACTCTTTCCCAAGGATTATGATAGGGGATGAATTATCTCAAGGAAGCAAGAATGGATTTGTAAAATGAACTTATTCTGTCTGGACCATTATTTGATGAGTTGAAGGTATGAGTTACTGAGCTGGGAATATAGGAAAGCCAAGATTATCTCTACAGAGTAGGATTCTCCAGTAAGATAGGATGAAGTGTGGTGTTGGTAGCTCCAAATGTTGGATTGTTGCAAGATCTCCTGGTGTATGCAGCTTTGGGGATCACGGGGCTGGTGACTCATACAGTTATCTGCAACTGTGTTAGGGCATCCTGGGGACAAGTCCAGTTTGAGGTTGAATAGGAAGTTTGGGTTGTAAGGAATTTCTGTTAATCATCAAGTTTTCTTTATCTCAGAATTGAGGGTAGTGATAATGGATGTTGACAATGGTTCAGCCAATGCATAAGTTGTTTAGATCACACTGTCAGAGGTCAGAACCTTTTAAGTCTTATCCAGTAATATCTATATTGTAGAAAATTCCACTACCAGAAAAACAATTATTAAAGAATTTGTAAAAGGCCAGGCACGGTGGCTGACACCTGTAATCAATTTCGGTACTTTGTTAGGCCGAGGTGGCTGAATCACCTGAGGTGAGGAGTTTGAGACTAGGCTGGCCAACATGGTGAAACCCTGTCTCTACTAAAAATAAAAATAAAAAATAAATGGTGGCACACACCTGTGATTCCAGCTTCTCAGGAAGCTGAAGCAGGAGAATCACTTGAACCTGGGAGGCGGAGGTTGCAGTGAGCTGAGATCAAGCCATTGCACTCCTGCCTGGGCGACAGAGCGAGACTCTGTCTCAAAAAAAAAAAAAAATTTGTAAATAGGAGATAATTCTTACAATAGAAAGCCACAAGAATTAACCAGAGATTTTGAGAAACTTATATGCTGTTTTAGAGAGACTGCTATTTTAAAATGTGTTTGTCAATTTTTACCTATTACAAACTCAGTAAGTGTTAAAAGAGTAGGGCCTTACCCTGTTACTTTGTCCTACTCCCTAAAGGCAGGTACCCTCATCTCTTTTAGCTAATTCTGATGGAATTTACCCCATATTTTAAATATTCCTATGTCGCTATTCCCTGACAAATCAATTTTAGACAATTTCTAGTTATTTCCTTACAAGCTGTATGTGGATTTAGATTTACTGTATTGCACTTTCTTCCCCACCACAGAGTTGTGTCACAGTTTTGTCTAAATCAATGAAATATAAGTGCTTAGGATCTTGCAGGTAATTCTGTTGGAAGTATTTTCTACCACCTCCCTTAAGGAAAAGTTTATTATGGAAAAGTTCAGACACAGAAAAGTAAATTCATCTGGCCTGGTGCAGTGGCTCATGCGTGTAATCCCAGCACTTTGGGAGGCCGAACACCTGCGATCAGTTCAATACCAGCCTGGCCAACACGGTGAAGCTCTTCTCTGCTAAAAATACAAAAAATTAGCTGGTGTGGTGGCAGGCCCCTATAATCCCAAGTACTCAGGAGGCTGAGACAGGAGAATCGCTTGATATGGGGAGGCGGAGGTTGTAGTGAGCCGAGATTGCGCCATTGCACTCTAGCCTGGGCATCAAGAGCGAAACTCTGTCTCAAAAACAAACAAACAAAAAAGACAGGCTTAGTGACTCACGCCTGTAGTTACAACTACTCGGGAGCCTGTAGTTGCAACTACTCGGGAGGCTGAGGCAGGAGAATCACTTAAACCGGGGAGACAGAGATTGAAGTTAGCCAAGATCATGCCACTGCACTCCAAGCTAGATGACAGTGTAAGACTCCACCTCAAAAAAAAAAAAGTAAATTAGTCTTACTAACGTAGACATTCACTACCAACTTCAATGCTTATCAGCTCAGGGTTCATCTTGTTTCATCCATACACACTCCTGCCTTCACCGCCATAAGTTGGATTATTTTGAAGCAAATCGAAATTGGTATATACCTCTAAAGGATAAGGATTTAAAAATTATATATAACCATTATGCCATTATTTTATATAAAAAATTGAAGATATGTTTTCCAATATCCAGTTTTGTTCAAATTTCCGTCATTACCTCATTTTCGTAAGCATTTGTTTGAATGAGAATCCGGATAAAGACTGTGTACTGTGGTTGACGACTACATCTCTCAAATCTCTTACTTTGTAGGTATTCCTTGATCTGTTCTTTCTCTGCAGTTTTTTTGTTGTTGCTGTTGGAAAATAAAAAATAACCTGGTTCATTTTTCCACTGTCTGGAATTTGCTGATTTTATCTCTGTGGTATTATTTTAAGCGTTTCCTAAAAATTCATGGTTAGGTATAAAGGCTTTATCAGATTCAGTTGTGATTTTTGTTATGATGAATATTTCATGGCTGGATGTGGTGTCTCACACCTGTAATCCCAGCACTTTGGGAGGCTGAGGTGGAGGATCACTTGAGCTCAGGAGTTTAAGACCAGCCTGAGCAACACAGTGAGACCCCATCTTTACAAAAAATTAGAAAAACTAGCCAGGTATAATGTCGTGTGCCTGTTGTCCCAGCTACTTGGGAGGCTGAGGTGGGAAGGTAGCCTGAGTCCAGGACTTCGAGGTTGCAGTGAGCTATGATCACCTTACTGCACTCCAGCCTGGACAACAGAGTGAGACTCTGTCTCAGAAAAGAAAAAAAAAAAAGGCTGGGTGCAGTGGCTTATGGCTGTAATCCCAGCACTTTGGGAGGCCAAGGTGGGCGGATCACTTGAGGTCAGGAGTTTGAGACCAGCCTGGCCAACATGGTGAAACCCTGTCCCTACTAAGAATACAAAAATTAGCCAGGCTTGGTGGTGCATACCTGTAGTCCCAGCTACTGGGGAGGCTGAGGCAGAAGAATTGCTTGAACCCGGAGGCTGTGGTTGCAGTGAGCCAAGATCACGCCATGCACTCCAGCCTGGGTGACAGAGATAGACTCCATTTCAAATACAATAAATAAATAAAATAACTTTGCATATATCTTTTTTGTAGCTTTGATTGATGCTCTAAGATCACATGGGGGTAGTTTTTAATATATTAGATGAAGGACAGCTTTGGACATAACCCAGAGTGAGAGAGCTGGGAGTTTTTGCATCAGGCGCAGGCAAACTAATGATAGTTGTGTTGCACCAGATCATGTAGCTGCTGTGTAACATGACCTTAAGCAGTCTTGCTTCATAGGATGAGCAAAAAGGGAAGATTTATCAATAGGATAGAGATTTAAGACATTCCCTCACTACCCCTTGCATTGTTAGGTATGTCTTTCAGCAAAATCATGAAGACCTATTTTCGCCCTTAGTAAAGGAGAAAAACTGATGGCTTGAGAAATTTTTCCTTTTTTCAATTTTATGAATTTTTCAGAAGTTGTAACAATATTATTACTGACTTTTTACTTATTTGATAAACATTAACTATTTTTGTTTTGGTCAGATCAATTATTGACAAAATGAATCTGTTTTTTATTATAAGTAAAACATTTTCTTTTTTCCTCAAAAATCTTTTTTTTAAAACCCACTACATAGCTAACTAGTAGCCAAGAGAATTACCTCTTTTTTTGTTTGTTTGTTTTTTGATACGGAGTTTTGCTCTTCTTGCCCTGGCTGGAGTGCAATGGTGTGATCTGAGCTCACCAGAGCCTCCACCTCCCTGGTTCAAGTGATTCTCCTGCCTCAGCATCCCAAGTAGCTGTGATTACAGGCATGCACTGCCACGCTCAGCTAATTTTATTTTTTTATTATTATTATTATTTTTTATTTTTAGTAGAGTTGGGGTTTCTCCATGTTGGTCAGGCTGGTCTCGAGCTCCTGATCTCAGGTTATCTGCCCACCTCGACCTCTCAAAGTGCTGGGATAATAGGTGTGAGCCACCATGCCCAGCTCTTATTTTGGTTTTATACCAATAAAACATACCTTGGAAACTCAAAGAAAAAAACACCCATAAAGTCCTGATGCATAATTTTATTAGGATGCACATTGTATCTGGTTATCTTTCTTTTTGTAATATTACCAGTTATTGATAATTTTTAGATTCATTCATTAGGGGTTACAAATGACATTTTAATTCTGTCATTCTTCCTTCATAGATTAAGTGGAATACTTCTATCTATAAACTAAAACCTTCCCTCATCATTTGTTTGGTTACTCTGAAGGACAGTTCATATAGGAAGAATGTTTGATTCTTTCCATTTAATTACCAGTTTTCCAAATAATGAGTTGGCTTCTTAGAATCGTCTAAAAGTGACCAATAATGTTTTAAAATATTGTTGTGAATTAATGGATTAAACATTTTTTTTTTTTGAGACAGAGTTTCACTTTTGTTATCCAGGCTGGAGTGCAGTGGTGCGATCTCGGCTCACTGCAACCTCCGCCTCCTGGGTTCAAGCAGTTCTCCTGCCTCAGCCTCCCGAGTAGCTGGGACTACAGGCGCGCACCACCATGCCCAGCTAATTTTTGTATTTTTAGTAGAGACAGGGTTTCACCTTGTTGACCAGGATGGTCTCGATCTCTTGACCTCGTGATCCACCCGCCTCAGCCTCCCAAAGTGCTGGGATTACAGGCGTGACCCACCGCGCCCGGCCGGACATTTTTAATATGATCAGTCCATTGCTGTTATCCTTATAATTTGATGTGCAGCCAATCCAGTGAACACGTATTATTATTTTCTATAATGCTGTTGTATTATATATTCTTTTATTTTTTAAATCCTCTTGATTTCTCTGCCGAAAAGAGGGAAATTTATCAAAAGCAACGGAAAGTTGACTTGAAAGATTGTTATCTTGTCACACTTGCATACAGTTACAGACCCGCCTCATACATCTTCCTACAGTTTGGGATTTGTTTTTAATCCCATGGGAAATTTCCTAACAGGGCTTTGGTATATCTTTCTTCCAGTGTCTACACTGGCGTGGGGGAGAAGCTTTTTTAAAATTAAATTAAATACATATCTATGTTATTAAATAGATGGCTCAAGCATTAGTTGCTAGTGAAACAAAAATACAAATAAAGTATCTATCCAAATCCTACATTTTCTCTCGATTTCCCCAAAAATGTCCCTCATCTCCCTGTAATGTTACATGATATTTCTAGTATCTTCATTTTATTCGTTTTGTAATGTCACTGTCAAGATAGAATTATGTGATGGCTTAAGACAACTTTTATAAGATTTTTAATCATTAAATTAAAAAATTCTATTACAAAAAAAAAATTGGATGTGCAAGTTGTAACAGTGTTGGCCACTGGAGCATCTTCAAGTTGGCTCCTAGTCTTAGCATGATCCTAATAGTTTTCGGTCGCTTTCTTGCTTTTTGGTATAACAAGACGTTCAGACTCATCCTGTCCATTTCTTGAAATCAGCTCTTTCCCCAAAGAACCTTGGTTTCTTTTCTTAGAAAATAATGCTTAGGCCAGGTGCGGTGGCTCACGCCTATAATCTCAGCACTTTGGGAGGCTGAGGCCGGTGGATCACAAGGTCAAGAGATCAAGACCATCTTGGTTAACAAGGTGAAACCTCATCTCTACTAAAAACACAAAAATTAGCTGGGCATGGTGGTGCACGCCTGTAGTCCCAGCTACTCAGGAGGCTGAGGCAGGAGAATTGCTTGAACCCAGGAGGCGGAGGTTGCGGTGAGCCGAGATCGTGCCATTGCACTCCAGCCTGGGTAACAAGAGCAAAACTCCATTTCAAAAAAGAAAAGAAAAGAAAAGAAAGTAATACTTAGAAACCACAATCTAGGCCCAGCATGGTGGCTAACACCTATAATCCCAGCACTTTGGGAGGCCGAGGTGGGCGGATCACTTGAGGTCAGGAGTTTGAGACCTACCTGTCCAACATAGTGAAACCCATCTCTACTGTAAATACAAAAATTAGCCAGGCATGGTGGCACATGCCTGTAATCCCAGCTACTCAGGAGGCTGAGGCAGGAGAATTGCTTGAACCTGGTAGGTGGAGATTGCAGTGAGCTGAGATTGTGCCACTGCAGTCCAGCCTGTGCGACAAAAGTGAAATTCCGTCTGAAAAACAAAAAAAAGAAAAGACATCGCGATCTAGACACTAGGGATGCTTGTTGCTAGTGGATTAGTCATTGTTTCTAGGCCTTTTCAATGGACAGAGTCAGGGATTTATTTAATGTAAAATAAACTCACTACTCTTGCATCTATTTCTGAGATCTAAAGATACAGGTTCTCATTGACACCAATATAATGACTCATTTTATATCATCCCACAATACAAGCACAGTAGTCTCTGAGATATGTCTTTTTTTTTGAGACGGAGTTTCACTCTTGTTACCCAGGCTGGAGTGCAATGGTGCAATCTCGGCTCACCGCAACCTCCGCCTCCTGGGTTCAGGCAATTCTCCTGCCTCCGCCTCCTGAGTAGCTGGGATTACAGGCACGCGCCACCATGCCCAGCTAATTTATTGTATTTTTAGTAGAGACGAGGTTTTACCATGTTGACCAGGATGGTCTTGATCTCTTGACCTTGTGATCCACCCACTTCGGCCTCCCAAAGTGCTGGGATTACAGGCATGAGCCACCACGCCCAGCTCAGATATTTCTTATATTACACAAATAATACATGTGCTTGTTGTTTCAGGGATCAGTGATGTTCAGTGATGTGTCCATAGACTTCTCTCAGGAGGAGTGGGACTGCCTGGACCCTGTTCAGAGGGCCTTATACAGAGACGTGATGCTGGAGAACTACAGCAATCTGGTTTTGATGGGTAAGGGCATCCATACCAATGCTTCCCAATTCTCCTCCGGAATGTCTGCTTCTTCCACAGTGAGTTTCTCAGCTGCTTTTCAGCTTACTAGCTGAATTTCTACTCTTTATTACCAAACAAATGGTTTGAGCTGAAATGAACAGGAAGAGTAGAAAATTGGAAGCTCCAGTGGGCTGTGGTTGAAGCTTCGTCTTCATCTTTCTTTGGCAGTTCCTGTAGTGGCGTCTCTTCCTTGATCATCAACTGACTAGATCAAATGGACCACAGCATAACCATGTTCCGTATGTTTTCTTGTGAGCAGGACTTCATACTCCTAAGCCTCAGGTGATCTCCTTGTTGGAACAAGGGAAAGAGCCCTGGATGGTTGGCAGAGAGCTTACAAGAGGCCTGTGTTCAGGTAAGTGAGAAATGGCTGGACCGGAGAAAGGCATGACCGGTAATAGCTGGTCAGGGACGAAACAGCACCTTTGAGATGTTATCTCCAGAGCTCCCATCAAGAAACTAGGGCTATGGAGAAAATAAGTCCTCTTCACATAGTTGTTTAATAATCTGTTTTACCCTTTTTCTCTGTTGCTACTCTTTCTGCTGTTGGTCTCCAACACTCCTCTTTTTTTTGTTTTGTTTTTTTGTTTTGAGATGGAGTTTTGCTCTTGTTACCCAGGCTGGAGTACAATGGTGCGATCTCGGCTCACCACAACCTCCGCCTCATGGGTTCAAGCAATTCTCCTGCCTCAGCCTCTCGAGTAGCTGGGATTACAGGCGTGCGCCACCGTGCCCAGCTAATTTTTGTATTTTTAGTAGAGACGGGGTTTCACCATGTTGACCAGGATGGTCTCGATCTCTTGACCTCGTGATCCACCCACCTCGGCCTCCCAAAGTGCTGGGATTATAGGCATGAGCCACCGCGCCCAGCCGTTGTATTGTGTCTTAATTTCTTTCTATCTTCCTTAAACTTTAGCTGCCTTCTCTCTTTTTCACTGTGGTGGTACATGAGCAAATCTCCTCCCCTCTAAGATCAGCATCTCAAAATTCCAAGGCAAACAATATTTCCCTTGAATCCCCAGCACATAAAATATTAGATATTTCCCTATTTGTCACTTACAAACTTAAATCAGCTTAGTTTAATACATTAGACTTACATCTGGCTCTTTCCTCATGTGAATAACCTGATGTTACGACTTCCTTTTTTTTTTTTTTCTTGAGATGGAGTCTCACTCTGTCACCCAGCTGGAGTGTAGTGGTGTGATCTCAGCTTACCGCAGCCTCCGCCTCCTGGGTTCAAGTGTTTCTCCTGCTTCAGCCTCCCAAGGAGCTGGGATTACAGGCATGTGCCACCATGCACAGCTAATTTTTCTGTTTTTAGTAGAGATAGGGTTTTGCCATGTTGGCCAGGCTGATCTGAAGTGCCTGACCTCAGGTGATCCACCTGCCTCGGCTTCCCAAAGTGCTGGGATTACTGGTGTGAGCTACTGTGTCCAGCCACCGTTTTCAAATTGTATCCACTGTATCCTTTATTACAGAGCTTATTTTGTTCCCACCCTAACTGGGTATACTACAGTTCACGTCTGATGCTATTCAGAATTGGCATAGACCTCACAGTCTTCCATAGTACCGTCCTCACTTCAGATGCCAGCTGCAAGTCTTGGGAGTCCTGGGCAACCTACAAGTCAGCCAACTAACAGCAATAAATTAAGGAGTTTCCAAGGTCTCAGGTTCAGTAATTTGTTAGAATGACTCATGGAAATCAGGAAAGCTAGGCCAGGCGTGGTGGCTCACGCCTATAATCCCAGCACTTTGGATCACAAAGTCAAGAGATCAAGATCATCCTGGTCAACAAGGTGAAACCCCGTCTCTACTAAAGCAAAAAATTAGCTGGGCATGGTGGTGCGTGCCTGTAGTCCCAGCTACTCAGGAGGCTGAGGCAGGAGAATTGCTTGAACCCAGGAGGCAGAGGCTGTGGTGAGCCGAGATCGTGCCATTGCACTCTAGTCTGGGTAACAACAGTGAAACTCTGTCCCCCCCCAAAAAAAAGAAATCAGGAAAGCTGTATTTAAAGCTACAGTTTTATTATAAAGGGTACATATTTGGGCAAGATCTGGAACTGGACAGAGTTTCCATGCCCTCTCCCTGTGGAGTCAGTTTGTCACACTCCCAGCACATTAGTGCGTTTACCAACCAGAAAACGCCGCTGAGTTTACTGCCCAGCATTTTTATTGAGGTTTTATTATATGGGCACAATTGATTAAATTCCTGGCAACTCAGTCTCTAGCCTCTCTCCCCTTCTCGGGGGTCAGGTAGCTGAAAGACCCAACCCTAATTTTTTTTTTATCTTTCTTTTTGAGACAGAGTCTCACTCTGTCACCAGGCTGGAGTGCAGTGGCACAATCTCACTGCAGCCTCTGCTTCCTGGGTTCAAGCGCTTCTCCTGCCTCAGCCTCCCTAGTAGCTGAGACTACAAGCATGTGCTACCACGCCCAGCTAATTTTTGTATTTTTAGTAGAAACCGGGTTTCACCATGTTGGCCCGGAGGGTCTTGATCTTTTGACCTCATGATCCACCTGCGTTGGCCTCCCAAACTGCTGGGATTACAAGTGTGCCCGAAAGTCTCAGCCCTCTCATCACAAGCTAGTGTTTCTCATACTCAGATCCCACCCTGAAGCTTTCTTAGGGCCCACCATGAATTACCGTATTAGCATAACAAAGACCCTTGCCAGGAAATTCCAAGTGATTTTGAAGCTCTGTGTGGGGCTATATTATACCTCAAAGCCAAAGAATCTTCCCCATATGAATTTATTTCTCTCAGGAGACCTTTAATGGAGGCTAGAAAATGATCCACTTCATGTTATACATATTGTCTGATATACTTATCTCTTATATATACACATGTGTACTTATATAGCTACATGTATATCATATATATGTATATAAGTAGACTTACATGCATATATATGGCTAGTCATGTTTTAATATGGAAAATAGCCCAACCATTGTATATTTACCAGCCTTTCCAGATGATTCTGATCCACATCCGTGTCTGAGTATCATTGTAGTAACTTAGTTGTATAGCTGCCTTCCTCTGATTCCTGCATTATATTACTAATTTCTGCTGCTTCCTTGTCCCCTTTTTCTGATTACACAGATACCGTGTGAACCCCGTGTCATTTACCTAGTAGATACTATTCTCACTTTAATTTTTCTATTTCTACTATAAAAGTTTGACTTTTCACAAATAGGAAGAAAGAACATTTATCATTTTACTTTCTTTCAGATCTGGAATCAATGTGTGAAACCAAGTTATTGTCTCTAAAGAAGGAAGTTTATGAAATACAGTTATGTCAGAGGGAGATAATGGGACTTACAAAGTATGGCCTTGAGTGCTCCAGCTTTGGAGATGTTCTGGAATATAGAAGCCACCTTGCAAAACAACTGGGATATCAAAATGGGCATTTCAGTCAAGAAATACTCACTCCTGAATACGTGCCCACATTTATTCAACAGACGTTCCTTACTCTCCATCAAATAATTAATGATGAACACAGACCCTATGAATGTAAGAAATGTGGAAAGGCCTTTAGTCAGAACTCACAGTTTATTCAACATCAGAGAATTCATATTGGCGAAAAATCTTATGAATGTAAAGAGTGCGGGAAATTCTTTAGTTGTGGTTCACATGTTACTCGGCATCTGAAAATTCATACTGGTGAAAAACCCTTTGAATGTAAGGAATGTGGAAAGGCCTTCAGTTGTAGCTCATACCTTTCTCAACATCAGAGAATCCATACCGGTAAGAAACCCTATGAATGTAAGGAATGTGGGAAGGCCTTTAGTTATTGCTCAAATCTGATTGACCATCAGCGAATTCACACCGGTGAAAAGCCTTATGAATGTAAAGTATGTGGGAAAGCCTTTACTAAGAGCTCACAACTTTTTCAACATGTGCGAATTCATACAGGTGAGAAACCCTATGAATGTAAGGAATGTGGGAAAGCCTTTACCCAGAGCTCAAAGCTTGTTCAACATCAGAGAATTCATACTGGTGAGAAACCCTATGAGTGCAAGGAATGTGGCAAAGCCTTCAGTAGTGGCTCAGCACTTACTAATCATCAAAGAATCCACACTGGTGAGAAACCCTATGATTGTAAGGAATGTGGGAAGGCTTTTACTCAGAGCTCACAGCTTCGTCAGCATCAGAGAATTCACGCTGGTGAGAAACCCTTTGAATGTCTTGAATGTGGGAAGGCCTTTACTCAGAACTCACAACTTTTCCAACATCAGAGAATCCATACTGATGAAAAACCGTATGAATGTAATGAATGTGGAAAGGCCTTTAATAAATGCTCAAACCTTACTCGACATCTGAGAATCCACAGTGGTGAAAAGCCCTTTAACTGTAAGGAATGTGGGAAGGCTTTTAGTAGTGGCTCAGACCTCATTCGCCATCAGGGAATTCATGCTAATGAATAATAAAAATTAAAGCTCCTGTCACCTCCCTCATATTTTAAACCAAAATTCACATCTAATAGTTCTCCTCTTTCATAATTTTTTATAACTTTGTATTTAAATTTTGTATTCAAATGTATCTCCAAGTTATAAATCCAGAGTCTGACCTGAGATTCCCGCCCCCTGGCCCTCCATCATATACCAATGCCAGCTGTTCTACGGTTCTTTCTTTCATTGTTTGGTTCTGCTTTCCTGGTGGTGCATTATACTCTTGTTTATATTTGCTTCGTTTTTAGGGCTGTCTTTTCTGATCTGTGTATTTGTTTTTGCACCAGTATTGCACTGTTCGAATTGTGTTACCTTTAATATTTTTAAATTCCTTGTGAATTATAACTTTGTTTTTGAAGTCAGTGTTAATCTTTTATAAATTTACACTTTTAGTTATTCAGCCAAAAATCACAAAAAATTAACAAACTAAAAAGCAAAAAATAATCGTAATCATACTTCTAGATGGCTACTCTCAATTTGATAGAGAAAACCCTGCTGTACTTTGCTTTTTATGAAGTATAATTATGGTATGCGTGCTGTACCTTTCACTGCTTTTATCATGCCAACAAATTCATGAGTGCCATTCAATAAACATAGATGGTTATTATTTTCATGGCATATCTAATGACTTTAAAATGACTATTCGTGTTATGGTTACCTCGAAATTTTTGCAGCTATTAAAGCTGACTTCCTTATTATGACCCAAAATTTATCTTTGGATGCTTGTTTTTACTTTTAAAAACATTTATTTTAATTGCTAAAATTATCCAAATTTTCATCTTGTGAACTGTTTTGTTCCTTTACATCAAACCTAATCCCAGTGCCACACTAGAAACTAATCACTGTTATGAAAGTGTTGTTTATCAATCCAGATATGAAATGTTTTTATTTTAATTTTTTTGAAATGGAGTCTCACTCTGTTGCCCAGGCTGGAATGCTGTGGTGTGATATCGGCTCACCACAACCTCCATCTCCCAGATTCAACCAGTTTTCCTGCCTCAGCCTCTCAAGTAGCTGGGACTACAGGCGTGCACCAACATACTTGGCTAATTTTTGTATTTTTAGTAGAGACAGTGTTTCACTATGTTGGCCAAGCTGGTCTTGAACTCTTGACCTTGTCACCCACCTGTCTCGGCTTTCCAAAGTGCTGGGATTACAGGTGTGAGCTACCGCACTGGCCTGATTTTTTTTCTTATAGATGTTGGTGGTGTTTTAAAAAATTGTGTCTAGGTATATATAATCAGGCTGTATGTATTGGTTTGCTGTGAGGATTCAATGAATAATAAATGTATAGTACTTCAAACTTTTATTAGGTTTAGTAAAAGTTTTCCATGATTATCAGTGATATGCTCAATATGATAAGTTTCTTAACATTTATGGAAATGATTTTAACCATGTCGTTTACTTTGGCAAATTTATAATTCATAGTGGAAAAAGAGAAGCATTTGTAATGAGTATAACAAAGCCTTTCCCATCATTATTATTCAGCATGGAATTTTAAAAGGAAGAAAAAAGTATGTGTGAATAGTCTTTGTTCAGATTTCATCTTTTATGCTACATAAAGAATACCAGTCTGAGGCCGGGCACAGTGGCTCACACCTGTACTAGTAGCACTTGGGAGGCCAAGGTAGGTGGATCACTTGAGGTCAGGAGTTTGAGACCAGCCTGGCCAACATGGTGGTGAAACCCCATCTCCACTAAAACAAAAAAATTAGCCAGGTGTGGTATTGCATGCATATAATCCTAGCTACTCGGGAGGCTGAGGTGGGAGGATTGCTTGAACCTGGGAGGCGGAAGTTACAGTGAGCTGAGATCATGCCACTGCACACTCCAGACTGGGTGACAGAGTGAGACTGTGTCTCAAAAAAAAAAAAAAATACCAATCTGAAACCCTGTAAATATGATGCATAGTGGAAAGCACAGCTCTCAAAAAACCAGGAAGAGATTATAACAGTTTTTCTAATATTTCCCCCCCAAAAAGCAGAAAACATACTGGCTGCATTATTTGACCAGAAGAAGCAGTGCAATAGGATAGTCATCAAATATATGATTATTAATTCAATATTCCCTCTTAACTAACCTGGGTTAAGGAATAAATCCCTAATATATACATTATTTTTCATTTTTTATTTTTTTTGAGAGGGAATCTTGCTCTGTCTCTCAGGCTGGAGTGCAGTGGTGCAATCTTGGCTCACTGCAACCTCCGCCTCCTGGGTTCAAGCAGTTCTCCTGCCTCAGCCCCCCGAATAGCTGGGATTACAGGCACCTGCCACCACGCTAGACTAATTTTTGTATTTTAGTAGAAATGGTGTTTCAATAGGTCAAGCTGGTCTTGAACCCCTCCTGACCTCAAATGGTCTGCTCACCACGGCCTCCCAAAGTGCTGGGATTACAGGCGTGAGCCACCATGCCCGGCCCCTAATATATACATTACTTAAAGATACATGAAAATGAAAACAATTGAAAAGTTGTCTTGGAAGTTTTATTACCTAATATCCACCCATATATTGTAATACCAGGAAGAGTAAATAAAATATAAAACCCAGGGAACTAAAACAAGCTGAAATGAATTGTGGGACAAGGAGGTATTATTATTTTATTTTTTTTGAGACTGAGTCTCTCTCTTGTTGCCCAGGCTGGAGTGCAGTGGCATGATCTCGGCTCACTGCAACCTCCACCTCCAGAGTTCAAGTGATTCTTCTGCCTCAGCCTCCCAATTGGTTAGGATTAAAGGCATGCACCACCACGCCCAGCTAGGTATTATTTTAAAAGGCAGAAATAACTGAAAGAAAAAAACTGGATCTAAATAAAATACAAAATTTGATATTTGATGGAAGAGAAAAAAAAGGAGACAAACTTTAGTGATTCCAGAGGTAAAATAAGAATGACGAATAATATTGTAAATGAGAAATTGAAATGACTCTCATATATATATATATATATATATATATATATATATATATATACTTTTTTTTTTTTTTTTGAGACAGAGCCTCATTCTGTCGCCCATGCTGGAGTGCAGTGGCATGATCTCTCCTCATTGCAACCTCTCACTCCCGGGTTCAAGCAATTATCTTGCCTCAGCCTCCTGAGTAGCTTCTATTACAGGCATGCACCACCATGCCCAGCTAATTTTTTTGTATTCTTAGTAGAGATGAGGTTTTTTTCATATTGGCCAGGCTAGTCTTGAACTCCCGACCTCAGGTGATCCGCCTGCCTCGGCATCCCAAGCTGTTGGTATGACAGGTGTGAGCCATCACACCTGCCCAAAAGACTATGTATTAAAACTTAAGAGAACTGTCATTTGGGGTGTTGAAAATGTGGAATGGGTAGAAATTGTTTTGTTCATATACTACAGACCACTCAACTGTACACTTTAAAAGGGTAAATATTACGCTGTGTGAATTTTATCTCAATTTTAAAACTTAAGGCTGGGTGCAGTGGCTCATGCCTGTAATCCCAGCACTTTGGGAGGCTGAGGATGGAGAGTGGCTTGAGGCTGGGAGTTCAAGAACAGATTAGGTAACATAGTGAGACTCCCTCCCCTCATCTCCACAAAAAAGAAATTTAAAGACAACAAACTTAAAAGTTGGTATTATAGATACTTTTATAACATATCTGAAAATCTGGAAAAATCTGTGATTTTTAATAACTTGATATCAGAATTAACTGGAGGTGTCAAATCTTAATACACCTCCCTCCACAATAAACTTTAAAAAATAAGACCATAAAATTTTTCAGAAAACATTTGAAATGTCAAATCGCTACACTAAAAAATACACCAAGGTAGGCATTTTTATAAGTGAAATTTATGAAATGTTTTGGGAACTCTTCCAGGACACAGACTGAGATAGCAAATTATCTATTTTTATGAATTTGTCACAATCCTGATGTTAAAACCTACTGGAAGAACCCAAAACAATTTGTCCAGAATCACTTATGAAAATATGGGGTTCTAAATTAGCAAATTAAATCTAGTAACCCATTGAAAGTAAATATTTGTCACATTCTGAATTTAGGAACAAAACAATTCTGATAAATCTTTTCCAAACTTGTTACGTATTTTCTGAAACTTGAAAATCAAATTGATTTAGATAACATAGTATTCCTTAATGTCTGAACTCAGGAACCAAATAGATGTGGATAGCAAGGCATTGTTGGAATACTACACTAGGTAATTCACATGAAATTGCTAGAGTTCAAATACCTAAAATACTGTTAATGAAAATATATTGTCTAACCTCAACATTTTCTAGATTAACCTTTTTTTTTTTTTTTTTTTTAGCAGTATTTGACAGGATGGGATATATTTTAAAAATAAACTCGGGTTATTGTCCTATCTGCTGCAGTATCACTGTGTTCATTCATTTATGCCTTTACTTCCTATGTGAAGAGTCTTTAATAGCCAACATATCCAGTCATTGCTGTGCATTTTGGATGAGGGCGGATTGAGGGGTGGGGAGGAGGTTGTTAAAATAAGCACAACTTCAATTTTCATTGCAATTAGAATGTAGAAAAATAATGCCTTTCACTTCCATAAGAAAAATATTGACAAGGTAAAAAATCATAACTTTTTATGGGACTGAGAGTGGTGGAGGACTTGTGATGAACTGAATTCCTGAGAGAAATCCAAACTGCTAGGATTACAGGCGTGAGCCACTGTGCCCGGCTCCTTTTTGTATTTTTTTGAGGTGGAGTTTTGCTCTTGTTGCCCAGGCTGGAGTGCAATGGCATGATCTTGACTCACTGCAACCTCTGCTTCACGGGTTCAAGCTATTCTCCTGCCTCAGCCTCCTGAGAAATAAGCCATGTACAGGTGAACAGAGAGCTGCATAACTCCATATCCAGATGCAGATGAATGTGGCTATGGTGGGTAAAGGAGTAGGCCAACTGTGGGTGTAAAGACTGCAGAGATAAGAAATTAGCAGGGCCCCTGGTCAACAAGGTGAAACCCCGTCTCTACTAAAAATACAAAAATTAGCTGGGCGTGGTGGTGTGCGCCTGTAGTTCCAGCTATTCAGGAGGCTGAGGCAGGAGAATTGCTTGAACCCAGAAGGCGGAGGTTGCTCTGAGCCGAGATCGTGTCATTGCACTCCAGTCTGGATAACAATAGCAAAAGTCTGTCTCAAAAAAAAAAAAAAAAAAAAATTAGCAGGGCCTTAAATGAGGCTTAGAACTTTCCTGATAGATTGTCTCTTTCTTAAGTTGCTGTAAATCAGGAAGAATTCCTGACCTTTGTTTTTAATTTTACCAATGTTTTTGGAAAGCACAGCCCCCATTATTTTGGAAATTGTCTCTTAATTGGGGTTTGGCTTATTTTGAGATGCTGTGTTAGATGGTTTGAGTTCGTGCTATCCGAATGACTGACACGCATGTGGGCTCACTGGTTGGCCTTTACACAGGCCTCTGGATCCTCCTGGAATCCCGGATCCCTGTTGCTCCCTCTGGGAGTTTTCTAGTTCCTCTTACTTGAAGCATGTTTTTCAGAGCCCTGCGCCACCCAGGTTGGGCATCCGGTAAGTCCTTCATCTGCATGTCCATGTTTGTGACATTCTGGGAAGGGTGGCCCAGGCTGTGATTTGCCATCGACTGCTGCAGGCTGTAGATGGTATTCGGAAGGGAGGGGAGAGGCTGTGTGCAGGTTCTGAAGGGTAAACAGAAGAGACCAACCCTCTCCATGACTATTTTATGTTTACTTTATCTCGTCGCTGACTTCACAGTATAAACGCAGTTTGTGTAAACATCTCTACTGGGTCATGCATACATATAAATATTTATGTGAACATATAAAGTCTGCACGTGTGGGGGAACTCTCCACATTTTTGTCCATCATTACTTATCTGTGGTGTCTACCACATTCCTTTACCTTATCCTCTGTCATTGTACCTACTTCTACCTGAACACGTAGTATTTTATTAAAAATACACAAATACTATGTTTCCTCTGTGGTTTTTTCCCCCCTTTACATCGACCTTCCTCCTTAGTGGACTTCAGTGTGGGACCTGAAGGTATCATGACCTGGGAAGCCCCTCAGCTTTTCCTGGATGCGCGCTCGCTCGCTCGCTCTCTCTCCCTCCCTCCCTCCCTCCGTGTGTGTCTCTCTCTCTCTCTCTCTCTCTCTCTCTCTCTCTCTCTCTCTCTCTCTCTCTCTCCTCTCTCTCTCTCTCCCTCCCTTCCCTCTCTCTCATTCTCTCTCCTCTCTCTGGCCAGCTCAGGCCGGAGCAGTGGGTGTTGGGTGTTAAGCCAGGCTGTCTCTCTCTTTTTCTTTTTTTGAGACTCACTCTGTTGCCTAGGCTGGAGTACAGCAGCGCGATCTTGGCTCACTGCAATCTCCGCCTCCAGGATCAATCAATTCTCCTGCCTTAGCCTCCTGAGTAGATGGGATTACAGGCTCGCGCCACCATGCCTGGCTAATTTTTGTATTTTTAGTAGAGACAGGGTTTCACCATGTTGGTCAGGCTGATCTTGAATTTCTGACCTTGTGATCCGCCCACCTCGGCCTCCCAAAGTGGTGGGGTTACAGGCGTGAGCCTCTGTGCCCAGCTGGCTGTCTCTTGACTGACCCCCAGTCTTGAACCGTGGAGTTCTCATATGCATGGACTTAAATGGTGTGTCTTTCTGAGGCAGATTTTGCCCATTTTCCTTCCCTCCCTCTCAAGGGGCCGTTTCCTGTGTTTATTGACTCCTCATTTAAAAAAGATTATATAAACCAGGCGCGGTGGCTCATGCCTGTAATCCCAGCACTTTGGGAGGCCGAGGTGGGCGGATCATTAGGTCAAGAGATCAAGACCATCCTGGTCAACATGGTGAAACCCCATCTCTTCTAAAAATACAAAAATTAGCTGGACGTGGTGGTGCGCGCCTGTAGTCCCAGCTACTCGGGAGGCTGAGGCAGGAGAATTGCTTGAACCCTGGAGGCGGAGGTTCCAGTGGGAGGAAATCCCGCCACTGCACTCCAGCCTGGCGCCTGGCAACAGCGTGAGACTCTGTCTCAAAAAAAAAAAAAAAAAAAAGATTATATATATTGACAGATTAGATTGTACCCCATAAATTGTGTGTTTACAAAATATTTCAAAGAATTTTTTTTTGCTGATTTTTATCTACTAAATTGTATATATTTATGAGGTACAAAGTGATGTTATGATTTTTCCATACAGTGTGGAATCATTAGATCAAATTAATGTATCCATTACCTCAAATACTTGACTTTCATATGTAATGAGAATGCTGTTTTATCACTTTCACTCGTCACCTGCCGATGTCTTCCATGCTAGGGACAGGAAACGCTCCACACTTGACTTTCCCTGCTGTTTTCTTATCTGCTGTCAACCCCTGAATGTACACTCTAGGGTTGTGTGTCACCTTCTATACCCAGCCTGATCCTTGTCACCCACCTCCCCAAGGACTGTCCTTCCGGAGTGACTTTATGCACAGAACTCACATGCTCTTCCTGTCTCCTTCACTCCCATAAGCCCCCCCATCCCAGCCCCATCTGGTTATTTAATCCCTCTTTGATTTCCTGTTATTCTGTTGGTTTTCTAATCTGAAGGGTAACTGCTAACTCCTTAGTTTCTGCCTTAATTTCTAAGTCATGGCTACTTTCAGGGTAAAAGTTTCCCCTAGCCATGGTTTTAGTTTCATTCTGCAAGTCTTGGTTTTCAGTTTTTTTATTTGAAATTAATCTTTAATACCTTTTTTGGCTCATTGGTGACAGTGATTCCCTCTCTTCCCACCACTCCACCCTCTGTGCCCAAGATTCCTGAGGTTTGGTCTTCATTTTCTTGTAATCATTTTTACTTAAAACTTTGAGGTTTTCAAATTAGAAGTTTCTTCTATAAATGTATGTAGAGCTAATAACTTATTGCTTTTTTTGGCACTACTCTTAAGCTGATACCTTTGGACACTGAGGTAGCCTTGTTCCCTAGGTTTAGATCTAAAATATTTTCACTATTGCTTCTTCCAGTGTATTTCCTGGTTTGCCGGTCAGTTTCTTTAACTCATCAGTGACACAGTGGTTTGTATGGCTTTTAATTTCAAATAATATTTTTTCAATTTTTTGCTTTTGCTGATTTTTATCTATGTTGAGTTAATTTTTAACTAGACACGTTCCCTTGATGGGTATGACTAATTTTTTTTAAAATATATAATTTAGATGGATTTTCACATCTCAAGCCAGTTAAGAGTGGGAAATGGGACTCCTTAAAGCACAGATATGACACGTGGTTCAGATCCCCCAGGTCTGTATCCCGCGGAATTTAAAGGGGCACAAAAAAACACCTCAGTAATCAAGACATACAGTATTTTAATGTAATATCTTTACAAATAAAATCAGTGCAAAAAGAAAACACCCCTGTTGAACAATCGGTCAGCATCCTGCCTCCTCTTCACCAGCACCCCACCTCCACCCCCACCCTCCGGAAGTTTCCTCCAAGCCGCACCTATACCCAAGCCTCCAATAAAAACCTCGGGAATTTCCGGATCAAGCCTCGGTTCCTCACCACCACTATCACTAGGGGAACTTTTGCTGTTTACCCCAAGTTCAGCCTGTATCCCTTAACATCCTAGGGACATGCGACAAGTCTCCCCCATCTCCTTTCCGTGAGTTTGCCCCAAGCCAATCCCGCTCTCCCCAAAAATAGCGTTGGGGTTCCTTATTCTAGCAACCTTCCTACTCTAGGGGATACAGGGCCGGTGTCGCCCCCACGCCGGGACTTCCCGCAGAGCGTCGTCTCTCCCTGAGCCGCATCCATCCCGACCTGGCATCTACTTTGGGAACGCCGCACCAGGACGGAAACTTGCATCGTGAGCTCAAGTCACCTGCAGCTCAAGGTCAGAGCACACTGGTCACCCGCAGAGCGCCGGGACCACATTTTCCCGAATCCTTCGGCGGTCCCGCAATGCTCACGCGGTCAGCAGAGAAACTTCTCCGTATCACTCTCTTAGCATCTTAACAGTGGGCTCCTAAATTTGGTTGTGTGCGCTGTGCAGAGGTCAGAGGCACCCTGTGTGGGCAAAGTCGACTGCGCGTCCGTCTCTCTAGCTCTGAAACTACAATCCCCAGAGGCCTCTGCGGTCACTTCGGCTACCCTCCTTCAATGTGTACGGTTGACGTCAGAAGCACTTCCGGTCAGTGAGCCCGGCCCGTTAGGTTGGTTGACACTCGGGGAGGCTTCTCACTTCACGTCTTCTCCACACCTCTGCACCTCGTTACTTGACCTTTGCCTTTAGGATCCGCAGCGTGTACCCGCGTTCCGTGAGTGCCCTATAGGCAATCAGCATGCCCGTCTGCGTGTCCCTGTGTTACTCACGGGGACGCAGGTTGGGAGTGGCAGAGGTGTCTCAGAACTCGGGCGCTCTCCTGTGGGCACCTCCAGGCCATTTTCCTTTCATTCGAGCCCACAGGGTTACAAACAAACCCGCATTCGGTTGCTTGGGGACAAGGACTTCACTCCCTGGCCTGAGCTTGGGGCTAAGCTTGAGGGTGCTGGGTCATTCTGGGCCCCCTCTGGATGGAAATTGGCTTCCTCAGTGATTTCTGTGACATCCCTGACCCCAACTGTGGGGATCTGGCGGGGACTGTGTTTCACCTCGTGGGGAGGGAGTTTCCACCTAGGCCACTCTCTTATCTTCACATCCCCAAATCTATCTTCTGAACTTTTCCCTTCTCCAGAAAGAGCACTCAGGAGACTGTCGGGGTCCGGCACGTCTGCCGGGGGACTACCGACCTGCGGGAGTCCCCAAGACCGCCAACATAGATGTCTCGTTCAACCTGAGAGAGAGAGTGCGCGGAAAAGAAAGAATATAGAAAAGTAGAGTCTGGAGGGCTGCGTGAAGATTATGGCCAAAACGCAGCAAATTTATTTTTGTGGGTTACAGCTTTTATACCTTTTGTCTTGTTTACATTTACCTCATCTCAGCAGAAAGAAACAAAGGGGAAAACAGAAAGGAAACAGAAACTCCATAAAATAGATATCCGGGGCTTGTGATATCCTGCTCAGGAAGCAGTTTAAGGGGGCTAGTGGTAGCAGTTTACATTTCAATGATTTTACATTCCAAAGATACAATGGCGCCCTTAAGGTGGCTGGTTAAACCTGTTTTTCATCAGGAGCTAAAACAAAGGCTTGGCTCCAGGGAAAATATGGGCAGAGGTCTCTGCTCCTCTTAGACATTTCAATTGCAGCAAGTTTATTGCTTACACAGAGAATGAAGGGGGACATGGAAGCAGACAGCACAATGTCCTCATAAACTGCAGGCCTTTGCTTTGCATTCTGTTGTTGCTTTTAGTGAGTCAGCTTACGGCCCTGTCTCACTCGACAGCCCTCGAGGTGAGGAAATGCAGTACAGGTCCAGCAGCCAAACTGAGGCAAGTCAACTGTCTCGAGCCTTTGGCGCGAACACCACAGGAGACCAGGAAAATGGCCACAGAGCTCCTGAGAGCCAAAAAAGAGGTGAGAATTACCTGTAATTCCATCTTGGCTGTCAACAGAATGGATCCCATAACCTTTACTTGCCCTGGAGGCAAAAAATTGGTATTGGGCAAAATTCATTCATAGTCTTGGAAGAGGGACTCATTCTAACACTTCTCCCTCAGCATTCCCTTCTGCTCCATCCATACCGCAATCACTCATGAAGTAGTTAATTGTGAACAACACATATGGAGCAGTTTAAAAGTACAGCGACATACATGCTTAATTGTTCAGTTATGTGGATGAAGGGCAGGGACAGCAGAGATGCCTCTAATTTCAAATGGTTGGGGAGGGCTGTCCAGAAGTAGGGCTGTCTCAGCTGCTCCTGACTGGTTTGGTAAGTTGGAAATTAGGGGGAAGACTTTCCAGTGGGAGGCAGCAAGGAAGCATAGTTAGTTTCAAAGGCTGGACTCTTGCTACAGAGTGGAAGGATTATGGTGGCTAATGGACTTGCTTAAGGTTTAAGGTTTTTAAATATGCATAGGTGGCTCGGCATGGTGGTTCAGGCCTGTAATCCCAACACCTTGGAGGCCGAGGTAGGCAGATCACAGGGTCAGGAGATCGAGACCATTCTGGCTAACACCATGAAACCCCATGTCTACTAAAAATACAAAAAATTAGCCGGGCATGGTGGCACGTGCCTGTAGTCCCAGCTACTGGGGAGGCTGAGGCAGAAGAATCTCTTGAACCTGGGAGGCGAAGGTGGCAGTGAGCTGAGATTGTGCCACTGCACTCCAGCCTGGGTGACAGAGCGAGACTCTGTCTCAAAAATAAATAAATAAATAAATAAATAAATAAATCCATATGCATAGGTGAAGATACAGACTAGCTATTCACATAGAACAAGGAGAAGTTTGACATAGTCTGACCTGAATTCTACATTTGAGAGCATTTTCAGCTTTTGGCAATTGGGACATTTCACACAAAATTTCAGATTCCCTGCTTCTCTGAAAACAAATCTGCCCTGAGTAGCTAGTATTACAGGTGCGTGCCACCATGCCTGGCTAATTTTTTGTATTTTTAGTAGAGACCGGTTTTCACCATGTTGGCCAAGCTAGTCTTGCACTCCTGACCTCGTGATCCACCTCCCTTGGCCTCCCAAAGCGCTGGGATTACAGGCGTGGCTTTTTTTTTTTTTTTGGAAACAGAATCTCGCTCTGTCACCCAGGCTGGGATGCAATGGTGCAATCAATCTTGGCTCACTGCAACCTCCGCCTCCAGGTTTGAGCAGTTCTCCTGCTTCAGCCTCCTGAGTAGCTGGGATTACAGGTGCCCCCCACCACACCTGACTGAGTTTTGTATTTTTAGTAGAGGTGGGGTTTCTCCTAACCTCAGGTGATCCACCTGCCTCTGCCTGTCTTGGTCTTGGTCTTGGCCTCCCAAAGTGCTGGTATTACAGGTGTGAGCCACCACTGCACCTGGCCTTACTGTGCAATTTTTTATTTGTTTTTATTTTAATTATTACACTGTGCAGGTTTTGATAACCAGGGTAGACCTGTCAACTCAGATCTCTTTCTTCTCATGTGAAAGTTCTCAGTAGCGTCCTGATTTGTTTCCAAATGTTGACATGGTCCTTTGCCACCCACCACATGTTTCTGTAATCCTCAGTTTCCCCAACATTGCAGTAACATCACTTTTCAGAAACCTTTAGTGGCTCATTTCAGTATCTGAGATATTTAGGACCGTCCTCATTTCAAATGTTACGTCCTGTTGTCTGATGTCATGTTCCGATTATTCAGTCTGCAGGTGTGTTTATTGTTACCACAGGGGAGTCAACTTATGTATACTTTTAACTTAGATACATTCACTTTTATCCACTCAGCAAAAAAAGGGGAGAAAAACAAAAACAGGTCAGGTCAATCGGTTCTCTTTCCCATTTATTTTTTTAAGACGGAGTTTTGCTCTTGTTATCCAGGCTGGAGTGCAATGGCGCGATCTTGGCTCACCGCAACCTCTGCCTCCTGGGTTCAGGCAATTCTCCTGCCTCAGCCTCCCAAGTAGCTGGGATTACAGGCACGCACCACCATGGCCAGCTAATTTTTTGTATTTTTTAGTAGAGATGGGGTTTCACCATGTTGACCAGGATGGTCTTGATCTCTTGACCTCGTGATCCACCCGCCTCAGCCTCCCAAAGTGCTGGGATTCCAGGCTTGAGCCACCGCGCCCGGCCTATTTTTATTTTTTGAGACAGAGTTTCGCTGTTGTTACCCAGACTGGAGTGCAATGGCACGATCTCAGCTCACCACAACCTCCGCCTCCTGGGTTCAAGCAATTCTCCTGCCTCTGCCTCCCGAGTAGCTGGGATTACAGACACGCGCCACCATGCCCAGCTAATTTTTGTATTTTTAGTAGAGACGGGGTTTCACCATGTTGACCAGGATGGTCTTGATCTCTTGACCTTGTGATCCACCCGCCTCGGCCTCCCAAAGTGCTGGGATTATATGCCTGAGCCACCGCGGCTGGCCTCCCTTTCCCATTTAATGAATTCATGCCCAGGAGTGAGTGAGAAACAGGAGGACTGACTCTGCCACTCTCCAAGACTGGCTTAGGAGTTTTTGATATCATGGTCACACCAGCAAGCCAGTGGTCATGATAGTCATCAAGTATTTTTCATATGACATGATTCCTCTATCAGCATATCAGCCTTTACTGCATAATAAACAGCCCTAAACATCAATGGCTTAAAATCACTTATTAGCACAGAATTTGGTAGGCTTGTAGTTTGGGCAGGCACAGGTAGGTTTCGCAGGTTTCACCTGGTCTTGCCATCTGGCATTCTGCTGGGACCACACATTTTGCTGTAGTTGGCTGGCATTTTGACTGGGGCCGGAGGACTGTCCGTGTGTGACAGTTGGGAAGCTGGTTGGCTGGGGTGCCTAGTTTCTTCTTGGTTGTCTTCCACGTGGGCTTGGGCTTGGTCACATGCTCTTGGGTTTCTCTACATGGGAAGAGAGGACAGCCCCAGGTAAGAAGTACTTTTATGGTTTTGGCTTTCGTCATGTTCACTAATGTCCTTTTGACCAAAGAAAGTCACATGGCCAAGTCCAGTCATCATAGAAGGGGATAACATAAGGGAGTGGATATAGGGAGACATGATTTATTGGTCCCAATGATTCATACCCTTACCACGTGCAAGATAAACTCACCCCCCTCCCAAGATCCCCAGAAGTTTTATCTTCAGACTCTAAAGTCCAGTATCTTATGTATAACAGCCTGGATGTGGCTAAAGCTTCTTCAGTGGATCCCTTTTGAGGCAGATACCTGTATACTAAAAAGACAAGTCAGTTGTTTCCCTCCACCCCAAACACTCCCAACCTAATATACAGAGAGAGACACTGCAGTAGACACTTCCATTCAGAAAGGACAGGAATTTGGCGTGGAGGAGGCCTCTTCATTTTGAACTGTTTTAGATCATTTTGGACTTCCTTGAAAGCTCTGTGGGCTTCCCATGTACCAGATTTGGGACTGCTCTATTAGACAGAAGCGGAATCACTGTCAGGCCTCTCATCTTTGGCAAGGTGTTGGTGCTGAGGGACGGTGCTCATAAGAATTTCAGAAACCAGCTGGGCGTGGTGGCTCACGTCTGTAATCCCAGCACTTTGAGATGCCGAGGCAGGCTGATCACCTGAGGTCAAGAGTTCGAGACCAGCCTGACCAACATAGAAAAACCCCGTCTTTACTAAAAAGACAAAATTAGCCGGGTGTGGTGGTGCATGCCTGTAATCCCAGCTACTCAGGAGGCTGAGGCAGGAAAATTGCTTGAACCGGGGAGGCAGAGGTTGCTGTAAGCCGAGATTGTGCCATTACACTCTCCAGCTTGGGCAACAAAAGCAAAACTCCGTCTCAAAAAAAAGAAAAAAAAAATCTCAGAAGCCTTTCTTTCTAGCTTGGAGACTCCTAGGCATCCCTTTAACACTTCAGAGGTCCTAAAGTTTGGGTCTTTGAGCTAAACTCTTAATTTGATCTTTACTCTGAGTTTATTTTTTTATTTTGAGACATGTGCTGGTTGGAGAGACTGAAGATACAAAACAATTTTATTTCCAAGCCAGCAAGTCCTGACTTGTCTATATTCCCTCTAAATTAGCTTGCAAGCTCTGTAATTGCTCCTTTAGCTCTTCTGTTTCTGGATATTATTATATGTCGCTAGAAACATCCAGCTGAAACGTTTAACAGGCTTTCTGGAGATCTCTTTAGCTAGATCCAAAAATTCGTCAGGTATATTTTCTGTTTTCCAAGGTTATGCTGGCAATAGCTTTGCTAATATAGAACACGAGTTGCCTCGTTCAAGCTGCTGGAGCGGTTTTCTCACTACTTTTCTAGGCCCCGCTAGCAGGTTGTTTACTGCTTTTCCAGCCTGTGCTATTAGTTTTCCTGGATGCTTTCCAAGCCTCTGCCCATGTCCTGCTCCCAAAGCTAATACTGTGTTTTAGGTGTTTTGTTATGGCAGCACTTCACTTCTATATACCAATTTAGTGGCCTAAAGAACTTTAGCAATTTAGGCCAGGCGCGGTGGCTCACACTTGTAATCCCAGCACTCTGGGAGGTCAAGGTGGGTAGATCATGAAGTCAGGAGCTCGAGACCAGCCTGGCCATCATAGTGAAACCCCGTATCTACCAAAAGTACAAAAGTTAGCTGAGTGTGGTGGCATGTGTCTGTAATCCCAGCTACTCGGGAGACTGAGGCACGAAAATTGCCTGAACCCTGGAGGCAGAGGTTGCAGTGAGCTGAGATCATGCCATTGTACTCCAGCCTGGGCGACGAGAGCAAAACTCCGTATAAAAAAACAAACAAAAAAAGATTGCTGGGCTCCCCGCAACTGAATTTCTGATTCAGTAGCCCTAGGATGGGGACTGAGGATTTTTATTTCTAATAAGTTCCCAGGGAAAGCTGGTGCTGCAGGTTCAGGGACCACATATTGAGCCAGTGCACTAAGCCCTGCTGCCTCTTTTGGGTAATCTGGGCCCATGTTTCTGAGCAGCAGGAAGTGCTGACCTCCTGTGACTCCATCTTACAAATGAAGAAGTCTTTTGCTAGAATCCCGCAGCAGGCTTCTTGTGGCTTGTTGGTTATCATTCATTTTTCAGCTGGCAAGCCGGTGAATTACTGTTATACTCTATACTCGTTACTCCCCCAGGCTGCTAGCTGTGTTGCTACTCAGTGGGAGGGAGCTGGAGTGGATCATGAGGGTCAGTCCTACAGTGTTTACAATGCACCCTCCATTGCGTGGTTCTCAGACAAACCATGAATTGTTCCAGGGCTGGAGGAATAACTAGTTGTGTAAAATACATTAAAGTAACATTAATTGCCCTCGAATGTAGCTCCCCGTGTGTGTGTGTGTGTGTGTGTGTGTGTGTGTGTGTGTGTGTGTATGCCCCGAGAAGGGGTCGTAAAAGCAGATCACAACAGGGACTAGGCAAGTGCCTGAATAGTCTTTTTCTCGCCAGTGTTTACTTATGAACAGTTTCAGACATATGGAAAAAACAGGAAGACTTGTACACAGAACACTGACATACCCACCACTAGATTCAACAGTGTCTACCTCTTTCTCATGAACTTTCCTGATCCTCAGTCCTACAGTGACCTCTCCCTCTTGAAATTTCTCTGACCCAGTGATTCACAACTATCACTACTTTTAGGAGCCTTTAACATACAAAAGCCCCATCCCCAGGTTTATTGATTTGTGGTGGGACTTGAGAATCCATCATTTAAACACCACCCAGGTAGTTCTGAAGTGTAGCCAGAGAGAGACAAGGGGTCAGAACCCAAGCTCACAGTCATCTGTGCTCTTCCCTTGGGATTAAGTACATCGGGACTGGCTGGTTTGGAGACAGCCATCAATATAACTGGATGTGGATAGAGTCTTAAGGCCATTTTGTAGTCCAGCCAGTGTAGAATAGTAGAGCTGGTAGGGGACAGAAAATGTAGGGGAGCTTCCCTGGGAAGGGTACAGTGTGGAATTAGTTTTAGAGACACATGTCATACCCTCAAGGCGTGATGGCAGCATTCTGAGAAGGGGATGCAAAACATCAAATCAAAGAGACAGGACATGTACCTAAATGAATGAACCTGGTGAGGCGGTCTCCAGTAGTGTGCCTTGGCTGATAGATCACCAACCAGCATGAGTCACCGTCAGCCAACTGTGATCCAAGAGCAGGGCAAAGCCCAGGGTGGTCAGATGATGGATATGCTACAGAACCCATAGACTGAGATTTTCTTTTCTTTCTTTCTTTTTTTTTTTTGAGACGGAGTTTCACTCTTGTCACCCAGGCTGGAGTGCAATGGCGCGATCTCGGCTCACCGCAACCTCCGCCTCCTGGGTTCAGGCAATTCTCCTGCCTCAGCCTCCTGAGTAGCTGGGATTACAGGCTCGCGCCACCATGCCCAGCTAATTTTTTTGTATTTTTAGTAGAGACGGAGTTTCACCATGTTGACCAGGATGGTCTCGATCTCTTAACCTCGTGATCCACCCACCTCGGCCTCCCAAAGTGCTGGGATTACAGGCTTGAGCCACCGCGCCCGGCCCAGACTGAGATTTTCATATGAAATCTTCCGACATTTAATTGATATAAACACAAGTCTTAAAGCACTATATGAGTCAAACAAAACCACTTTATGGACTGCAGATTGTACCCAAAGAGAGTAAGTGTTGGGCTGGGAAGAATCCTGGTGCTAAACTTCCAGACTCATTTGGAAATCTCACCAAACTTCCATGCCAAGGACAGTTATATATTCCCGCCCTCCAAAGTACTGCTCTCTAGGTAGCAGAGGTGCATTTGAAACTTTGTTGCTTGTCTAATAATAATAAATCATTTCCAGTTTTTAAAAATATTTGACTGCTAAGTGTTTGCAGATTCTGTCGTAGACACCAGGGCAGTCACAGTGGACCAGCCGTGCACGTGGAACTGATAGCCTAGCGGGAAGCCAAAAAAGAGAAATGAGTATCATGTATTATCTGAGGGTTAAGGGAGCACAGTGGAGCAGGAGAGGGGAATGAAACCCATGTGAGGACATGGAATTTTACATAGAATGGCCAGGCAGTGCAGCAGGCTGTTGTGAGTCCTTCACAGCGATCCTAATCCTCACCATCACCTTGTGAGATGAGCACTGTTATTTTTAGTTCACAGGAGAAACTGATGTGCTGAGTGACTCATTTAGTGCCTGAGGTCACACTAGTTGGGGACAGAGATGGGCTCCAGATCCAGATCCAGATAGTGCAGTTTGAGTCCACACTGTTCATCAGCACCCACATCCCCTCCGTAGGCCTGAGCAGGCACGTGGCAGCATTTGGTAGAGGAGGGAATGAGTCCTGCTGTGGGAACTATCTATGTTGGTGAGTTATTTGCCCCTAACCCCCGGAGGTGTCACTGCTTCCAGTAGAACAAATACTGAGACTAAGCAGTCTCAGACATTTTCAGACTCAGCAAGATGATTTTTTACTATGTGGTGGTGCTCGTGTGATGTCTTCTTCTCCCTGCCCAGTGTTAAAACTCCCTCTGTGTAAGGGCTTTGGCTTTGTTTTTATCGTCCAAGGCAGCTAGCCTGGGATACTGACAGCAATAGGTGCTTAAGTGATGCTGGCTGGGCAGAGATGGGAGAATAATGGTCTTTGACCCCTTGGTGCCAAGGTCACATTCCAAAGTAGGGTCTAGAAATCTTTCCTGCTTCCCTGAGGGAAGCCTTTTAACCTCTCTCTTTTTTTTTTGTCAGAGATTTGCTCTTGTTGCCCAGGCTAGAGTTCAGTGGCACGATCTTGGCTCACTGCAACCTCCACTTCTGGGGTTCAAGTGATTCTCCTGCCTCAGCCTCCCAAGTAGCTGGGACTACAGGTGCCTGCCACCATGCTGGGCTCATTTTGTATTTTCAGTAGAGACGGGGTTTTTCCATGTTGGTCAGGCTGATCTCGGACTCCTCACCTCAGGTGGTCTGCCCGCCTTGGCCTCCCAAAGTGCTGCGATTACAGGCATGAGCCACTGCGCCCGGCCTTGACCTCATTCTAAACTGTGGGAAAGACAGGCTCCTGGATGAACAGAGGTGTGTTTTGTGTTAAAGGCATTCGTGGCATTCAGGGATGTGGCTGTGGACTTCACCCAGGAGGAGTGGAGGTTGTTGAGCCCTGCTCAGAGGACCCTGCACAGGGAGGTGATGCTGGAAACCTATAACCACCTGGTCTCACTGGGTAAGAATGTCCTCCCTTGGCACTTAAAGTCTGTCCTACAGAGTATTTCCCACTCTGAGGAAGGGCTACCTGTGGAGCACCTTTGCCTTAGAATTCAGCTTAAAAACAATTTACCTTTTTCCTCTGTGTAAATTTGGATTTAGTAGAATTGAAAGCAGATAGATTGATTTATTCATGTTATGGATAACACTGCATTTCCATGCCCGTTTCCCAAGGCTTGAGGGCTCTCTCTCTACATTATTTTGATCCAAATGCAGGAGATTTTCGTTCACCAAATGTTAATAATATGCTGTTTTTCTGATTGGAGTCACTGTTCCTTAGTTAACCCTTCTACTTCAGAGAGAGAACTGTTCATCAGTCTTTTGTTTGCTCTGCGTTTCCTCACCCATTTCAGCTCTGAGTTCTAGAATGGGCTCTTGAGCCCATAACCAACAATCTCCTCATTCTCTTCTCTATGAGCAGAAATTCCATCTTCCAAACCAAAACTCATTGTTCAACTGAAGCGAGGAGAAGAGCCCTGGAGAGAGGAGAGAAAATGTTCTCTGGACCTCCGTCCTGGTGAGTGTCAGTGTGGGGATGATGGGATAGTCTACAGGTTGGCAGATAGGGAAGAAGGAGACATCTCTCAGATACTGGGAAGAAGCTCTTCTCCAGGCCTCCTAAGCCAAGGGGAAGGTTGCCTGACATGGCCTTCCTTCCGGAATATAATCTTCAATTGAGGGAGGGACTTCCCTGGTTTCCTTGTCTCTTTCCTGCACCAGGAAGCCTCCCTTCCTCACTTGGCTTCTCCATAATGCTTAGTGTTTCCTCATTTATAGTCTTCTTTCTCACTTGATCTAAAAACTGTATCTCCCCTTGCCGGGGGCAGTGGCTCATGCCTGTAATCCCAGCACTTTGGGAGGCCGAGGAGTGCGAATCATGGGATCAGGAGTTTGAGACCATCCTGACCAACATGGTGAAACCCCGTCTCCACTAAAACTACAAAAATTAGCTGGGTGTGGTGGTGCGTGCCTGTAATCCCAGCTACTCAGGAGGCTGAGGCAGGAGAATCACTTGAACCCAGGAGGCAGAGGTTGCAGTGAGCCAAGATTGCACCACTGCACTCCAGTGTGGGTAACAGAGTGAGACTCTGTCTCAAAAAAAAAAAAAAACCAAACAAACAAACAAACAAACCTGCATCTACCTTATGAATATTAAGTCTACAACCCTTCTAGATACTTTCTAGTATCTAGAAATTATTTGTATGCTAAGATTAAATATCACCATATCTCCACTTCCCATAATTTATTACACAATACATAAGCTATGACTAATAATAAAATAAATACTCATGTGCCAATGCCCCAGCTTAAGAAATAAAAAATTACCTAAACAGTCAAAGCCCCCATTTCCCCTTCCCTGATGGTATCCTATACCCATCCCTCCAAGGGAATTGTTTTTCAGTATTAGGGATTTATAATTCTCATGCCTGGCTTTATTCTTGCCTTCATATGCATGAATCGCTAAATCATCTGTATTGTTGTTGGAATATTTTAAAATCCTGTATCAATGTCTTCATATTATGTGCATTCTTCTGTATTTGCTTTTTTTTTTTTTTTTTAATTGAGATGGAGTCTTGCTTTGTTGCCCAGGCTGGAGTGCAGTGGCTCGATCTCAGCTCACCACCATCTCTGCCTCCCAGGTTCAAGTGATTCTCCTGCCTCAGCCTCCTGACTAGTTGGGACTACAGGCACGTGCTACCATGCTTGGCTAAGTTTTATATTTCTACGGGGTTTCATTATGTTGGCCAGGCTGGCCTCGAACTCCTGGCCTCATAATCCTATCCTGCCTCAGCCTCCCAAAGTGCTGGGATTACAGGCGTGAGCCACCATGACCAGCTAGTTTGCCTTCTTCACTGATGCTAATTTTGTACTATGTTGGTATATGTAGCTCTGCTTCATTCATTTTATGGCTACGTAATATTGTATTATATGCATAATTATAATACGATTCATTTATCCATTCCATTTTTGTTGGACAGTTACATTTTTACCAGTGTATTCTTTTGACCAATTAAAGAATGCTGCTGTGGGCCGGGCGCGGTGGCTCACACCTGTAATCCCAGCACTTTGGGAGGCCGAGGTGGGCGGATCACGAGGTCAAGAGATCGAGACCATCCTGACCAACATGGTGAAACCCCGTCTCTACTAAAAATACAAAAATTAGCTGGGCGTGGTGGCACGCATCTATGGTTCCAGCTACTCGGGAGGCTGAGGCGGAAGAATCGCTTGAACCCAGGAAGTGGAGGTTTCAGTGAGCCGAGATTGCGCCACTGCACTCCAGCCTGGTGACAGAGCAAGACTCTGTTCAAAAAAAGAAAAAAAAAGGGCCGGGCGCGGTGGCTCAAGCCTGTAATCCCAGCACTCTGGGAGGCCGAGGCGGGTGGATCACGAGATCAAGAGATCGAGACCATCCTGGTCAACATGGTGAAACCCCGTCTCTACTAAAAATACAAAAAATTAGCTGGGCATGGTGGTGCGTGCCTGTAATCCCAGCTACTCGGGAGACTAAGGCAGGAGAATTGCCTGAACCCAGGAGGCGGAGGTTGTAGTGAGTTGAGATCGCGCCATTGCACTCCAGCCTGGGTAACAAGAGTGAAACTCTGTCTCAACAAAAAAAAAAAAAAAAAAGAAAAAAAAAGAATGTTGCTGTGAACGTTCCGATAGATGTGTCCTTAGGCACATAAACTCTTGTTTATCTAGGGCATGTACCTAGGAGAACAGCTGAGTGAAAGAATGTGCACCTGTTCAGTCTGATAAGGTAATGCCAAACTATTCTCCAAAGTTGTTGCATGAGTGTTCTAGGGTTGCCACAGCAAAGTACCACACACTGAGTGGCTTAAGCAACAGATGTTTGTTTATTTATTTATTTTGAGACAGAGTTTCGCTCTTGTTGCCCAGGCTGGAGTGCGACAGCGCAATATTGGCTCAATGCAACCTCTGCCTCCTGGGTTCAAGCCACTCTCCTGCCTCAGCCTCCTGATTAGCTGGGATTACAGGCGCACACCACCACAACTGGCTAATTTTTGTATTTTTGGTAGAGACAGGGTTTCACCGTGTTGGTCAGGCTAGTCTCGAACTCCTGACCTCAGGTGATCTGCCCACCTCAGCCTCCCAAAGTGCTGGGAGTACAGGCATGAGCTACCACACCCAGCCAAAGTTTATTTTCTCACAGCTCTGGAGGCTAGACGTAGAGATCAAGGTGTTAGTGGGGTAGGTTCCCTTTGAGGGCTGTGAGGAAGAATCTGTCCCATGTCTGTCCTCTAGCTTCTGGTGGTTTGCTGGCAATCCTGGTGTGGAGGAGCAGTACCCCGATATCTGCCTTCATCTTCATATAGCATTCTCCCCACGTGTGTGTCTCTGTCCACATTTTCCTTGTTTGTGAGGACATTATTCCTACTGGGTTTGGGCCCACTCTAATGACCTCACCTTAACTAATTACATCTGCAACTACCTTGTTTCCAAATAAGGTCACCTTTTGAGATATTAGGGGTTTGGACTCCAATATGTCAGTTTTGGGGAAACAGAATTCAACCTATAGCAATCGCTTATACTCACATAGTATTTTATCATATGAGGATTCTAGTGCCCTGCATCCTTATTAATACTTTGTGTGGTCAGACTTTAGGTTTTGATCATTTTTTAGGTATGAAATGGCCTCTCATAGTAGTTGTAATTTGCTTAGTATTGAGTTTGAGCATCTTTTTATATGTTCATTCATTGACTGGCCATGGTGTTTGGTATTTTATGAAGACTTTTCAATTCTTTAGTTTTTTTCTTCTTGCTGATTAAAATTTTTTAAAGTAAATCATTGAGATAAACTCTATTATCAGATGTCCCAATCTGGGGCTTACTTACCTGCTTGTCTTTTTTGTTTTGTTTTGTTTTTTGAGACAGAGTTTTGCTGTGTTGCTCAGGCTGGAGTGCAGTGGCCCAATATTGGCTCACTGCTTCCTCCTACTCCTGGGTTCAAGCAATTCTCTTGTCTCAGCCTCTCAAGTAGTTGGGATTACAGATGCCTGCCACCACGCCTGGCTAATTTTTGTATTTTTAGTAGAGACGAAGTTTCACTGTGTTGACCAGGCTTTGCCGGTCTTGAACTCCTGACCTTGTGATTCGCCCCCATCAGCCTCCCAAAGTGCTGGGATTATAGGCGTGAGTCACTGAGCCTGGCCTCTTTATTTTATTGAGATGGAGTCTTGTTCTGCCACCCAGCCAGGAGTGCAGTGGCATGATCTCCGGTCACTGCAACTTCCGCCTCCCAGGTTCAAGTGATTCTTCTGTTTCAGCCTCCCGAGTAGCTGGGACTACAGGCGTGTGTCCACACGCCCGGCTAATTTTTGTATTTTTAGTAGAGACAGGGTTTCACCATGATAATGTTGAGTCTACAGATAATTTTGGGGAGAATCACCATCTTAATAATATTGAGCCTTCCAATCTATGACTATTTCTCTATTTATTTGGAACTTTAACTTCATTCAACAGTGTTTGTTAATTTTCTTTTAAATACCATTTCTTCTGGCCGGGCGTGGTGGCTTATGCCTGTAATCCCAGCACTTTGGGAGGCTGAGGCAGGCGGATCACCTGAGGTCAGGAGTTTGCGACCAGCCTGACCAACATAGAGAAACCCCATCTCTACTAAAAATACAAAATTAGTTAGGTGTGGTGGCACATGCCTGTAATCTCAGCTACTTGGGAGGCTGAGGCAGGAGAATCGCTTGAACTCAGGAGGCAGAGGTTGCAGTGAGACGGGATTGCACCGTTGCACTCCAGCCTGGTCAACAAGAGCAAAACTCCATCTCAAAAAAAAAAAAATCTTTATTCTTTTCCTCCTTTCCTTTCCTTTTTGTCTTTCGCTTCTCTTTTTTCATCCTACTGTGTTGCCCAAGCTGGCCTCAAACTTCTGGCCTCAAGCAATCCTCCCACCTCAGCCTCCCAAAGTGTTGGGATTCCAGAAGAGCCACCGTGCCCAGCCTTAATTTCAGTTTACCAACTTTGTGCTACTTTGTCACATTTATTCCTTAGCATTTTATTTATTTATTTTTATTTTTTTTACGGCAGAGTTTCACTCTTGTTACCCAGGCTGGAGTGCAATGGCGCGATCTCGGCTCACTGCAACCTCCGCCTCCTGGGTTCAGGCAATTCTCCTGCCTCACCCTCCTGAGTAGCTGGGATTACAGGCACGCGCCACCATGCCCAGCTAATTTTTTGTATTTTTAGTAGAGACTGGGTTTCACCATGTTGACCAGGATGGTCTCGATCTCTTGACCTCGTGATCCACCCGCCTCGGCCTCCCAAAGTGCTGGGATTACAGGCTTGAGCCACCACGCCCGGCCAGCATTTTATTATTTTTATGCTATTGTGAATAGTATTGTTTCTCAGTTTCATTTTTAGAATAGTCATTGCTAATATATAGAAATACAATTATTTTTTATATATTTATCTTAGGGCCTAAGTATGATGACTTCTAGTTGCTTTCTTGAAATTTTATATGTACAAAATTACATAATCTGTGAACCAAAGAGATTTTTTTTACTTCTTCTTTTCCAATTAAGATGCCTTTCATTTGTTTCCTCCTCCTTAGTTCATGTCCCTCCTTCTTTAGCACTTCGGCTAGAACATTAATCATATTGTTTTCCCCACTTTACGTGCTGAGTCATTTTTCTCCTGCTGCATTCACAACTTGCCTTTCATGCTCCCCACGTGTTTGACTATGATGTATCTAGCTGGGGGTTTATTTATGTTTATCTTACTTGGGATTTGTTGAGATTCTTGGATCAATGTTTTTCATTAAGCTTAGGAAGTTCTTAGCCTTTTTTGAGGTGTTTTTTTCTGCTCTTTACTCTCTCTTTTCTTCCTGAGTTCCCATTAGACATAGGTTGGTTGCCTGATGGTTTCCCACAGGTTTCTGGTGCTCTTTATTTCTCTTTAGTATTTTTTTCACTCTGTTCTTCAGTTTCGTTAATATCTATTGCTGTGTCTTCAAGCTCGCTCATTCTGTTGCACACAGATATGCTCTAGTAGTTTTTAAGTTTTTCTTGTTTTACTTTTTAATTACAGAATTTCTTTTGGTTTCTCTTTAACAGTTTCTTTCCTGATACTCTCTATTTGTTGAATCACTGTTATTATACTTTAATTTTTACACACTGCGTATGTTGCATTACTGTTCTTGCATTAGTATAAAGAAAGCTTTGGCCGGGCATGGTGGCTCATGCCTATAATCCTAGCACATTGGGAGGCTGAAGCAGGCAGATCATGAGGTGAGATCAAGACCATCCTGACCAACATGGTAAAACCCTGTCTCTACTAAAAATACAAAAATTACCTGGGCACAGTGGCAGGTGCCTGTAGTCCCAGCTACTCCAGCAGCTGAGGCAGAAGAATCACTTGAACCTGGGAGGCAGAGGTTGCAGTGAGCCGAGATCGTGCCCCTGTATTCCAGCCTGGTGACAGAGTGAGACTCCATCTCAAAAAAAAAAAAAGAAAAAACAGGCCGGGCACGGTGGCTCACGCCTGTAATCCCAGCACTTTGGGAGGCCGAGGCGGGTGGATCACTAGGTCAAGAGATCGAGACCATCCTGGTCAACATGGTGAAACCCCGTCTCTACTAAAAATACAAAAACTTAGCTGGGCGTGGTGGCACGTGCCTGTAATCCCAGCTACTCAGGAGGCTGAGGCAGGAGAATTGCCTGAACCCAGGAGGCGGAGGTTGTGGTGAGCTGAGATTGCACCACTGCACTCCAGCCTGGGTAAGAAGAGCGAAACTCCGTCTCAAAAAAAAAAAAAGAAAAAACAAAACAAAAAACTTGAGACTGGGTAATTTATAAACACAGTAGGTTTAATTGGCTCACAGTTCTGCAGGCTTTACAGGAAGCATGATGCTGGCATCTGCTCAGCTTCTGGGAAGACGTCAGGAAACTTACAGTCATGGTGTGAGGTGAGGTGGGAACAGGTACTTCATATGGCTGCAGCAGGAGCAAGAGAGTGGCGGGAGTACACTTTTAAACAACCAGATCCCATGAGGACTCATTTACCATCACAAAAACAGCACTGAGGGGATAGTGCTAAACCATTCAGGAGTAACTGCCCCCATGGTCCAGTCACCTCTCACCAGACTCCACCTCCAACACTGGGGATTACAGTTCGACACTTGGTGGGGAACATGGAGCCAAACCTATTACACCGTTTCCTTCAGCCCTTTGAACATAGTATAATAGCAGCTTTGGGGTCTGTTTTTTTTTTCCTTAAGTCTGGACCTACTCAGTGACAGTTCCTGCTGACTGCATTTTTCCTGAGTATGGGTTACTCTTTCCTGTTTCTTAGAAACCTGGATATTTTAGATGTTCTGTTGCACTCCCTCTGATACCTGAATGTATTTCCTGCCTGAAGATTGTCATTGCTGCTTTTTGTTTGTCTAGTCACTTTTCTAGACTAAATTTGTGGAATATGTCTCCTCTGTGAAAACGATGCTTCTGCATGATTTTTAAATTTTATTCTTCTGTTTATTTTCAATCTTGGCTTCCTAGATATCAACTTTGTGGCTGCAGAGCTTAGTGGCCTGCAAGAATTGGCACTTTAAGCTGTCTTTGGCACTTAAAGATCTGAGTTAGGAAGCCTTCCCCCCTATATGGTGTGTGGGTTGGGAAGTACATTCAAAGTTCAGGTTGTTTTTAAGGATTTCAAGGCTTTTTACTTACCACTGAGACCTCTTATTTTTCCTCTGCCCTGGTTGTAGCCTCTTTATCGGGCAGGGATGTGTGGATAGCTTGCTCCCACCCGCTTGCTGTCTTTCCTGCTTTTGCCAGAGCCTTCCAGTCAGCCAGAGTTGTGTGGAGGGCTTGTCAAGCCCCTCTCTGGCTGTCTAATTTTAAGAGTCTTCTTGCCAAATTTCTGGATCATCTGCCAGTCTTCTTGGTTCAACCAAGATTGCAGCCTTAGACAGCAATTGCTGGCCATTCCTGTTCACTCATTACCTAGGTCATGACTTTTAATGATAGCTCTACTGGGCATTGGTTTCTCACCATCCACTCTAAATCAAGTGAGTCCCCTCTGGTAGCAGCAACCCTGATCATTTTATAATCTGCTCTACTATAAACATTGCATTAACCAAGCTAGTGGGAGGGGGATGAGGGTAAGAGCAACTCCAGCAATAATGTCTCAGAAATATTTATTCATGAAAAACACTGGCCTCAGGTAAGAATGGTAAGAATCTTACCATTCTTACCTGAGGCCAGTGTTTTTCATGAATAAATATTTCTCAATTTATTTTTATCCTTTTGGTTGATTTCTAGAACTTGTGAATAGTTTTTGTCAGATAATATGAAAATGAAAAGAGTTTTGTATGAATTTTCTACATTGCAATAGGATAGGTGTCAACATGTCTTTCTATAAAGGGTCACTTAGTATATATTTAAGTTTTTGAGAACACATGCAATCTTTGTCACTTCTTTCTTCTCCTCATCCTTTTCCTTCTCCTCCTCCTCCTACTTCTTTCTCCCCTTCTGCCTCTCTCTTTTGAGTTCAACCCCTTTTTAAAAAGGTAAAAACCATTTTTAGCTGGCAGGCCATATAGAAACAGGTTTCAGGCTAGATTTGGCCTGTCAGGTGAGTTTGCCAACTCTTGGAATAGAAAACATAATGCATAGCGCTGGGAACAGTGACTCCTGCCTGTAACTCCAGCACTTTGGGAGGCTGAGGCAGGTGGATCATCTGAGGTCAGGAGTTTGAGACCAGCCTGGCCAACATGATGAAACCCCTTCTCTATTAAACATACAAAAATTAGCTGGGTGTGGTGGTGGGCATCTGTAATCCCAGCTACTCGGGAGGCTGAGGCAGGAGAACCGCTTGAACCTGGGAGGTAGAGGTTGCAGTGAGCCGAGATGGCACCACTGCCCTCCAGCCTGGGTGACAGCGAGACTCTGTTTCAAAAACAACAACAACATCAAAAGAAAATGTAATGCATGAAGTGAAAGGAAAAATGAATGTTGGGAAGGATGTCTAACTGGGAGAGCGCTTGTGATGTAAACATGGTATGAATGACCAGTGGACGAGGCAAAACTGCCTACATAGCCCTACATATGACCCGTCTGAAAATGTTCCTTCTTCAGCAGGATCAAAGCCGGAAATTCAACTTTGTCTCTCCTGCCCTCTGATATTCTCCAGTCAGCAAGCTCTCAGCCAACACCTGTGGCTGAGTCATCTCCCTCAGCTGTTTTCAAGTTTATGTGCAGGAAATCCTCTCGAGCAGGGAACACACTATCCGGAAGATCAGAAACAAGAGCAAGATCCGTTCTGCTTGAGTGGCAGAGCAGAATGGACTCAAGAGGGAGAAGACTCCAAAGTCCAGTTTGGGAGAGTAAGCGAAAGTGGCACTTCAAAGGCACTCTCCAGCCCACCTGAAGAACAGCCAGCATGGTCCAAGGAAGACGACATAGTGGTGGATATAGGGCCCAGCCCTGAACAGAAGGCCGACCTTGAGGAAACAGACAAAGGATTGCATGGCTTAGAAGTCTTAGGATTTGGAGAAATCAAATATGAAGAGTTTGGGCCAGGCTTTATCAAGAAGTCAAACCTACTTAGCCTCCGGAAGACACAAACAGGGGAGACAGCTTACGTGTACACTGAGTGGGGACAGAGCTTTGGCAGTATGTCAGTCCTCATCGGAAACCCAAGGACACACTCTGGGGGAAAGCCTCGTGTGTGGGGAATGTGGGCGAGGCTTTACCTGGAAGTCAAACCTGATCACACATCAGAGGACACACTCAGGGGAGAAACCTTATGTGTGCAAGGACTGTGGACGAGGCTTTTCTTGGAAGTCGAACCTCTTCACACATCAGCGGACACGCTCAGGGCTCAAGCCTTATGTGTGCAAAGAATGTGGCCAGAGCTTTAGCCTGAAGTCAAACCTCATCACCCACCAGAAGGCGCACACTGGGGAGAAGCCTTATGTTTGCAGGGAATGTGGGCATGGCTTTCGCCAGCATTCACACCTCATCTGACACAGGAGGACGCATTCAGGAGAGAAGCCTTACACTTGCAGGGAGTGTGAGCAAGGCTTTAGCCAGAAGTCACACCTCATCAGACACTTAAGGACACACACAGGAGAGAAGCCTTATGTATGCACAGAATGTTGGCGTCAGTTTAGCTGGAAATCAAACCTTAAAACACACCAGAGGACCCACTCAGGGGTTAAACCTTATGTCTTTCTGGAGTGTGGGCAATGCTTTAGCCTGAAGTCAAACCTTAACAAACACCAGAGGTCACACACAGGGGAGAAGCCATTTGTATGTATGGCGTGTGGGCGAGGCTTTACCCGGAGGTCAACCCTCATCACACACCAGAGGACACACTCAGGGGAGAAGCCATTTGTATGCAGGGAGTGTGGACGAGGCTTTAATGATAAATCCACCCTCATCTCACACCAGAGGACACATTCAGGGGAAAAGCCTTTTACGTGCAGGGAGTGTGGTAGGAGGTTTCGGCAGAAGCCTAACCTATTTAGGCACAAGAGGGCACACTCAGGTGCCTTTGTGTGCAGGGGGTGTGGGCAAGCCTTTTGTGATAAGTTAACTCTCATTAACCACCACAGGGAACACTCAGGGGGGAAGCTTCATGTGTGCAGGGAGTGTGGGCAAGGCTTTAGCCGGCAGTCATACCTCATTAGACACCAGAGGACACATTCAGGAGAGAAGCCTTATATTTGCAGAAAATGTGGGCGGGGCTTTAGTTGGAAGTCAAATCTAATCAGACATCAGAGGACACACTCAGGATAGAAACTTTATGTGTACAGGAATATGGTAAAGCCTTTAGCCAGGAGTCATACTTCATCAGATACCAGAGGACACAGCACTGTGGCTTCGTCAGTCATTGCTGGGATTGCAGGCGTGCACCACCATGCCTGGCTAATTTTTGTATTTTTAGTAGAGACGGGGTTTCACCATATTGGCCAGGCTGACTTTGAACTCCTGACCTCATGATCCACTCACCTCAACCTCCCAAAGTGTTGGGATTACAGGCGTGCACCACCATGCCCAGCCGGAAGTAATAACATTTCTAAGAAAAGTTTCTGGGAGGAAAAACAAACTTGGAAAATGATATGAATAAACTTATTTTCCATCAAATTTTAAAAAGATGATATGCTGCTTATTTTCCTGTCATGTTTCCGCTCCAGCCATGCCATTCTCCATTCTGTGATGCTGGGGCTGGGACTCTGCTAAAGACATTTCCCAGCTTCCTTTGCCTTAATGTCCATTTAAGAGAGACTAAAAGGCATAAATGGAGAGGGACTTGGCATTTTATTTTCCAATTCTGTCAGTAGCTCTCTAGCAGTAGAGTGGAGCTGTGCCTTGCTTGCAAATTCCTTCCATTCTCCCAGCACTAGACTGCCAAAACCAGTTACTGCTGGGCTGAAAGCCCTCCTGAGAGCTCTTAGGTAGTGGCAAATCCATCTCTTCCTCTTTGTTCTCTAAGCTCTAGAGTGTAGGCTGTTTCCTCAAGTTACAAATCTCTCCCTTGGTGCACTTTCCGCCCTCCACATTATGTACTCAGTTTCCTGTAATGTAACTCCCATGTGGTTCTCCTGTCTTGACTAGACCACGATGGACACGGCACCACCATGACTTGTTTTAGCAGTGCAGCAACACAGTTGGCATACTTTCAGGACCACTGCCCTAATCTGTGGAAATGACCAAACTCAAACTAGTGCTGGACTTGGTGATATGAGATAAGAAAAATAAAGGGCAAACGGCCTGCCAATAATCAATTACTGACATATGAGGATATAGGCATATATACCCCAAATTTCTTTGAAAGCATACCTAGTCAAGAATGGAGACTTGGCCAGGCCAGGTGGCTCCCACCTGTAATCCCAACATTTTGGGAGGCGGAGGCAGGAGGATCGCTTGACTTTAGGAGTTCAAGAGCATCCTGGGCAACACAGTGAGATGTGGTCTCTACAAAAAATTAAAAAATTAGCCAGGCATGGTGGATGCGTCTGTGGTACCAGCTGCTTGGGTTGCTGAGGTGGGAGGACTGCTTGAGCCCAGGAAGTTAAGGCTGTAGTGAGACAAAATGGCCCCACTGCACTCCTGAGTGACAGAGAGAGACCATGTCTCAATAAAAAGAGTGGAGAATCTGCCATTTTGGGAGGCCGAGGCGGGTGCATCATCTGAGGTCAGGAGTTCAAGATCAGCCTGACCAACATGGAGAAACCCCGTCTCTACTAAAAATACAAAATTAGCCAGGTATGGTGGCACACACCTGGAATCCCAGCTACTTGGGAGGCTGAGGCAGGAGAATTGCTTGAACCCAGGAGGCAGAGGTTGCAGTGACTGGGATTGTGCCATTGCACTCCAGCCTGGTCAACAAGAGTGAAACTTTGTCTCAAAAAAAAAAAAAAAAAGAAAGAAAAAGAAAAAGAATGGAGAATCTTAAATTTCAGCACCTAGGTATGAAATATCCAAGATAATCTCTAACTTTCCTGATAATTATGTCCAGGGAAGAACTGTTTAATGTAATTGTCAACTACCAAACCACAATTATCATCCAAAGAATGCTGAACTTGTAAATTTCCCCACTAAAGCAACCTATTATATGTTTGTAGAGCCTTTTAAAAAATTGTCTGATTTCTTCTGAAAGTAATAAAGCCCAATTTCACAGAGTTAAGCAGCAATCAGTTCTACCCTAGTACCCACATTCCTTTTGTAGAAGATTCTTTGGCCTTAGCCATTAGAGGGCTCTCTGTGGCAGGGGATTGGATGCATTCTCAAGAACTTCCCCTTGCTTCCACATAAGAATCTTGACTTACTAGGATCTTGACATGGGTGCACTTTTCAGTATTTCAGGGACTAGAGGTGGGGAAGAATGCTGCTTTAGTCTGGAACTTTCACTCAGGGGCTCACATTCTTGTCCTGACTGTGGGCAGTTTTGTTTGTTGTTGTTTTTTTGAGACGGAGTTTTGCTCTTCTTACCCAGACTGGAGTGCAATGGCCCGATCTCGGCTCACTGCAACCTCTGCCCTGGGTTCAGGCAATTCTCCTGCCTCAGCCTCCTGAGTAGCTGGGATTATAGGCACGCGCCACCATGCCCAGCTAATTTTTTGTATTTTTAGTAAAGACAGGGTTTCACCATGTTGACCAGGATGGTCTCGATCTCTTGACCTCATGATCCACCCGCCTCGGCCTCCCAAAGTGCTGGGATTACAGGCTTGAGCCACCGCGCCAGGCCGGGCAGTTTTTTTAAAGTTGGGCCCTAAAGTTGGAGAGTGAAAAGGTGGAAACAACAGCAGGAGGAACACTAGGGCTATCAGCTACCAAACTACTTACGGTTTTGGTGCAAACGAGCAATCTCATCCTAATGAAATCTACTTAACCTTCTGTCACTGGCATCGCATTAGGTGCAGGCAGAGATGGAATATACAAATGAGGATACCAGGCTGGGCGTGGTGGCTCACCCTATGGTCCCCGCACTTTGGGAGGCCGAGGCCGGCGGATGGTTAGAGGCCAGGCGTTCCAGATCAGCCTGGCCAACATGGAGAAATACCTTCTCTATTAAAAATACAAAAATTAGCCGGGCATGGTGGCGGGCGCCTGTAGTCCCAGCTACGCGGGAGGCTGAGGCACTAGAATCGCTTGAACCCGGTAGACGGTGGTTGCAGTGAGTCGAGATCGCGTCACTGCACTCCAGTCTGGGCGACAGTGAGATTCCGTCTAAAAAAAAAAAAAAAAATACCACAGACCCCGCCCACGGCAGGAGACGAGGTAGAGGAACAGTGAGACCGGGAGACAGTCAGATACACACATAGGATCAGTGGTATCCTCACAGTAACAGAAACGGCCACCCCCCAATCTCTCACCCACAATCACGGGACGTGATGTAAAATACAGAAGCACCCTGCACTGACAGAATCCGTCGCTCCTTTCGTGTGCAAGCACAAACGTGTGCAGCAACAGTCACACGAACCGCCACACCCGAGCATTCTCTTGCGCGCAGCCTGGCCACTTTGCTCCACACAGCAGCTCACCGTCCCTCGAGCGCTCAGGAGCGCGCACAGCCCTCTCTGGTACCTGCGCTCCTGGCGCAGGCGCGCAGTGGAGGGGGCCGCGGGGTCCTCTGGGAGATGTAGTTCAACGATGACGGCCGCGGCGCAAAGCGTTCTGGGGCTCGTGGTTCGCGGGGTCCGTAGGGAACTTGATGTCGCTGGTTCAGATCTCGCAGAGCTCAGGGTCCTGCACGCCTGTCCTCGTCTCGCTCCTCCTCGCGGAGAATTCTGGGAGGTGACGTCGCGGGTCTCGGTCGCGGGGTCCTTGTGCAGACCCAGCGGCGCCGGGAGGTGAGTGGGGCCGGGCCCCGGGCGAGAGCGGGAGGTCAAGGGCGGGCTTCGGGTAGACCGGCCGCGCCAGGGATGGGAACCAGGCAGACGCCGCTGGGGAGGCCGTGTGTATTTCACTGTGTTACTGTGTATAAAACTATGTGACACCCTGCGGCTGTGACAGAATGTGATCTTGTGTCACTGTGTGTGCGCGCCTGTGTGTGTGCAAGTGCGCGCGCGCCCGCTAGTGTGTGACTGTAAGCATCTGTGTCTGGGGGTGAAACTGAATATGTTTTTGCGTGACTGCCTCTGCAGGTGTAGCTGTGTAAGAGTTTTCGAGAGACTGGGGTGTGACATTATGTGTTTGTGTGAATGCATGTGTGTGGTGTGACCACCTGTTTCTGCAGATACAACTGCGTTTGAATGTGTGTGACAGCAAGTGTGATTGTGCAACTATGACCATCTGTCCCTGCAGCTATAGTTTTGTATGGGTAATTGTGACAAGATGTGTGGCTTGTGTGCTACTGTGTGTGTGATTGCGTGTGATTGTTTATCTCTGTTGGTGGAATTCTGTGTGACCATCTATCTTCGTGCTTATGTGGCTGGCTGTGTATTGCGTGAGATTATGGGTGTGTTTGTGCAACTGTGTATCCGTTTGTGATTGGGTGAGAATTTGTGTGTGTATATGAGATTGTGGGATTGATGTATGAAACACAGAAATATTAAAATTGCCCAAGTTCACACAGTTAACAAGTGACAACACCAGAAGTCAAACCCAAGCAGTTTAGTTCTAGAGGTCTCACTTTTTTCCCTCTGAGATAGGGTCTCACTCTGTCAAACAGGCTGGAATGCAGTGCTGTGATTGCAGCTCACTGCAGCCTTGACCTCTTGGGCTCAAGCAACCACCTGCCTCAACCTCCCAAGTAACTGGGACCATAGGCGTGTGCCACTGTGCCTGCCTAATTGTTTTTATTTTTATTTTTTGTAGAGACTTCATGCCATATTGCCCAGGCTGGTCTGAAACTTGGGCTCAAGCAGTCCTCCCACCTTGGCCTCCCAAAGTGTTGGGATTATAGGCCTGAGCCACTGTGTAGCTGTATCTGGTCAAGTTCTTGCTTTGAATTACTAAACTCACTTGTTCTTTCCCACGTTGAGAGGGTGAAAACTGGTTGCCCTGGGTTTTGAGGGGTTTGGAAAAGATGTTCTGGTCTTGGAGTAGGAACCTGTGGAACCTGGGAACTTGACGTGGTTTCTTCCTTCTGTTCCCTTGTGAGTGACAGGCCTCAGTCTAAAATTAGCTGCTTCTGGGGGAGAGAAAGGCAACCTGAAAGCCCGGTCTTCCTCTCCTTAGTTACTGAGTTTGAGGTTTTAGCTTTGTCCTTGTCAAAACTCTTCCATGTTTGGTGCTGAGATTCTGGACCCATGGCTCCTTTTCTGATGTGCCAGGTGTGCTGAGTTTTTTATTTTGACCTTCTCAGATGATAAAGAAAAATATTCTCAGCCGGGCACAGTGGCTCACACCTGTAATCCCAGCACTTTGGGAGGCCACGGCAGGTGGATCACCTGAGGTCAGAAGTTCGAGACCATCCTGGCCAACATGGTGAAACCCCATCTCTACTAAAAATACAAAAATTAGCTGGGTGTGGTGGCACATGTCTGTAATCCCAGCTACTTGGGAGGCTGAGGCAAGAGAATCGCATGAACTTGGGAGGCATAGGTTGCAGTGAGCTGAGATTGCGCCATTGCACTCCAGCCTGGGGGACAAGAGCGAGACTTCGTCTCAAAAAAAAAAAAAAAAATTTCATTTCCAAATGTGTGTAGAATCCAAGCAGGAAAAAGGGTGGCACTTTTCTGCCCCAGGTGTCGGCTCATACAATCTTGACAGTGGAAAAGAATGTTTCTGAGAGATGGATTAACTTGGCCGAAGTCCTGTCGCCATTGAGGCAAAGAGTGGATCAACCTGGATCTGGATGCTACATAAAAACAAAGTTTTTTTCCATCATACCTTCTTTTAGCGACAAATGGCTCATTTCAAACTTAGAAATATATTGCCCAAGAGATACACAGCTATCAGAACAAAACAAACTGAAGTTTCTTTCACAGGCCTGACTTAAGGCTTCTGCTCCAAGACGCTAAGAAGACTGCACTGATTCTCTTCTCGGGTGGCAGAAGCTTTTTGTTGTTGTTGAGACGGAGTCTCGCTCTGTCACCCAGGCTGCAGTGCAGTGGCGCGATCTCGGCTCACTGCAACCTCCGCCTTCCAGGTTCAAGTGATTCTCCTGCCTCAGCCTTCCAAGTGGCTGGGACTACAGGCACGCATCACCATGCCCAGCTAATTTTTTGTATTTTTAGTCGAGATGGGGTTTCACCATGGTGGCCAGGATGATCTTGATCTCTTGACCTTGTTATCCATCCTCCTTAGCCTCCCAGAGTGCTGAGATTACAGGCATGATCCACCGCACCCAACCCAATTTATTTATTCATTTATCTAATATTTTTTGAGCACCTACCATGATTTGGTGTTGTTCTGTCATTAGAATACACCAGTGAACCAAATAAAACCTAGTTATCTTGGATCTTACAATCTTGTATGGGAAGAGAAACAATAAAGAAACAAAACAGTATATAACCTGTTCAATGGCTAAGGAGAAAAATAATTCAGGGTAAAGAAAAAGGGAGGACCTGGAACAGGGGTTCTCTTTAGGTAGAATTTTCAGGGAAGTCCCTCTGATGAAGTGACACTTGAAGGAAGATAGGAATAAAGAGGAGCGGGCCATGCTGGTGTCTGGGAGAAGAAGGTTCCAGGCAGAAGGAAAAGGCCACAACCCTGAAGGAGGGGTGTACACGGTGTTTGAGTAATAGTAGGAAGACCTGTGTGCTGGAGGGTGGGAGCAAGGAGGAGAAGGGTAGGAAATTAGGTCACAGGCGCAGCCAGGGACCAGATCATTAACCACCTTGTTGGCCGCAGGACAGATTTTGGATTTTGTGGAGTTCAGGCTATGTGTCCTTAATATAAGTCAAGACTTATATTGTCAAGTTCAGCGTTGACTCCCTCACCCCTCCCCAGATCTTGGAAAAGGAGAGGCTAGACCCTGTAGGGAGGAGAAAGGGGCAGTAGTTCTATTTTTGTGAGTCTCGGACCAACACCACAGGGCTGGCACATCACCGTTTCTTCCTTAACTCTCCCTTCTCAGGATTTTGTTCTTCTTCAGAAGAGAAAACTGAAGAAGGAGGAATGGCTGTGGGACTTTGTAAAGCCATGTCCCAGGTAAGCTGATCTTTCACTTGGTTTTCAGCCATTTGACCTCATCTTTCAGGACTTTGGGACCACAAGGAAAATCATGAATAGCCCAATGAACACCTGCTCCACTTTTCTCTGTCCACCTTTTGTTCATATAATCCTTCTACAAGACAGTTACTGTCTTTTTTTCTCAGCGTTATGCTCAAATGTGTGATGGAGCAGAGCTATCCTATTGAGATGAATGATGATTTGTTGAGTTGGCGGTGAGTGCAAGTGAAATAAGGGACAGAGTTAGATTACTAAGTGACCTATTACATAGGGAGGTCAAGGATGGCCTCTCTGAGGACGTGAGATTTAGCAAAGTAAAACTTCAGTGAAAGTAGCAAGTAAGTTTTGTGGAGATCTGGGGAGGAGCTTTAAAAGAAAGAGTACAAAGTTCTGGTGGGAGCATGTTTGGTGTGTTCCAGGAATAGCATTGAGTCTGTCCTGGGAGGGAAGTGAACACTGTGATGTCAGAGGTACAGCAGGGGACCAAATTACGTAGGTCCTTACAAGTCAGCTTAGAGCTGTAAATTATCTGCACTTTGAATTTTATTCTAAGTGCGAAGGAGAGCCATTGGAATGTTTGTGATCTGATTTGATTTATGCCTTAAAATGAAAATAGATAGCAGGGAAGTAAAGGTGGAAGCAAGGAGGCCAGTCAGGAGACTCTTTAATAATCCAGATGGGAGGTGATAGTAGCCTGAACCATGGTGGTGGCATTGGAGCTAGGGAGATTCTGGGTATACAATGGAGATAGAAAATGCGGGTTGATCAGGGATTAGTTGTGTGTGTGAGAGGAAGAAGTCAGCATGACTACAGAGGTTTTTGGCTAGGCAGCTCCATGAATGGGCATGCCATTTACTGAGCTGGAAAGACACTGTGAAGTGAGATGGACATCAGTAATTGAGTTCTGGATATATTTAGAGACCTTTTGGATATCCAAATGGAATGCTGATCATACATCTGGAGTCAGGACTAGAGATGTGAATTTGAGAGTCCTTAGTGTATTTCTTTTTTTTTTTTTTTTTGAGATGGCATCTCACTCTGTTAACAGGCTGGAGTGCAGTGGCTCAATCTCGGCTCACTGCAACCTCTGCCTCCTGCGTTCAAGTGATTCTGCTGCCTCAGCTTCCCGAATAGCTGGGACTACAGGCACGCACCACTACGCCAGCTAATTTTTGTATTTTTAGTAGAGACAGGTGTCGCCATATTGGCCAGGATGGTCTCAATCTCCTGACCCTGTGATCCACCCACCGTGGCATCCCAAAGTGCTGGGATTACAGGGGTGAGCCACTGGACCCGGTCGTCTGCACCCAGCTGTCATTAGTGTATTTAAAGCATGACACAGAATGAGATTATCTTCAGGGCAAGGCTGTGGTGAATGCAGATAGGAAACAGGTGGAAGGACTGAGTTTAGGATGTTCAATATTTAGGGGCACACAGGAGGAGGAACCAGCGAAAGAGATTGAGAAGAGCTGATGTAAAAGGAAAACCAGAAGAGTGTGTGTTCTGGAAGTGAAGAGGGGAAAGCGTTTCAAGGATGGATGATCAACTGAGTTAAGTTCTGAGAGAGACTGAAGAAGATGAAGACTGAGAATTTGTTAACATGGAGATGCTCTTGACAAGAACTACTTCATGGAGTGACTAGGATCAAGACATCATTGTGGTGGGTTTAAGGGAGAATGGAGGCTGCTGTGGCGGCTTACGGCTGTAATCCCAGTACTCTGGCGGGGGGGTCAAGATGGTGGGACCATCGCCTGAGCCCAGGCATTCAAGACCAGCTATGTATGTAGGGCAACATAGGGAGACTCCATCTCTAAAAAAATCTTTAAAAACTAAAATCCAAAAACATAGCCCGGCATGGTGGCAGATGCCACCATGGTCCCAGCTGCTTGGGAAACTGAGGTGGGAGGATCGCTTGAGCCCAGGAGTTGGAGACAGCAGGGAGCTATGATTGTGATGCCATATTCCGGTCTGTGCAACAGAAACAGAGTGAGACCCTGTTTCTAAAAAAAAAAAAAATCCAAGGGTGGTGGCTCAAGCCTGTCATCCCAGCATTTTGGGAAGCCAAGGTGGGTGGATCACCTGAGATCAGGAGTTCAAGACCAGCCTGGCCAACAAGGTGAAACCTCATCTCGATTAATAACACAAAAATAGCCAGGCATGGTAGCACATGCCTGTAATCCCAGCTACTCAGGAGGCTGAGATAGGAGAATTGCTTGAACCCAGGAGACAGAGGTCGCAGTGAGCCAAAATCGCGCCACTGCACACTCCAGCCTGGGTGACAAGAGCAAAACTCCGTCTCCCAAAAAAGAGAAAAAAACAGGCAGAAAAAAGAGAATGGAAAATGAGGAAGGTGAGAACAAAGGCAGTTAATTTAGACTTACAAGAATGTAGCCAGTAGGCACATATGACTACTCCAAATTGTGATATACAAAGTATATACCAGATTTTGAAGATTCAGTACAAAAAAGAGTGTAAGCTATCTGATTAATTTTTTATATTGATTACATGTTGAAATGATAATATTGTAGATATCTTGGGTTAAATAAAAATGATGCTTTTTAATATATTTTTTCTTGTGTCTACTGGAAAATTTTAAATGACATATGTGGCTCAGATATTTCTGGTGGATCACACGGGTTTAGACTACTCATCAGAAGAGTTTTGTTATTAAGAGGAGTAGAGAAATAGTATAATCCCTAGAGTGAGATCATGGAAGGCAATTTATTTATTTATTTTTCTATGCATTTAGTTACAAGATGGGAGACATTGCATCAGCTTTCTTGCTTATTGGAATGATCCAGTAAAGTGAAATCGTTGGGAGTACAAGGGAGAGAGGTGAAACTGTCTGTGTGGGCATGTGGAGGGACTGGTCTTCAAAGCCTAGAGTTCTATCCGTAGTCACGGAGGGAAGATAGAATATACAGGTAACAGTACAGATACAGAAGGGTAAGTACATAGGGTGGCTGGAGGGTGAGAATGTTCAAAGTGAGAACAGGATGAGTTGATGGTGGTTTGAGAGAGAGCTATGAAATAGTTACCAGGAGATGGGGAGAGTGAATTTATTAGAGGCGTAGGAGAGTGGTTTGGCAGTGCTTTTGAGGACTCTCTGGCCATCTTGGAGAAGTACTTTGTATCAACGTGTTTTATCAGTCCGGGTTCTAGCAAGGCAATCAAAAGGCGACTATTTACAAGATATTATCAGGACACAGAGAAACTATGAAAGATCATGCTGTACTCTGGAGCTCATAACAGCATAACCTCTTACTAACCCTAGACCTGAATCCAGAGACAGAGAGCTAGGTTGTGGGGCGGGGGGCCCTGACAAGTGCTCTGAGCTTTGATTGAAAGACAGGACCCAGAGTGACCCTCCCACCCAGGGAAGGAGCCAGGGGAATAAGTATTTTGCTGACTTACCTTCCTTTCATCTCTTGCTTGTGGCTGAACCCAACAGAATATGGGATGGGACAGGGGAGTTGATTGATGTAGTGAGCCTCCTAGGACTCAGAGAAGAGTAGAGGGGCATATGGAAGTTATATGACACTACATAGTTGTGTAATTTTTTTCCCTAGACACATTCAGCTGTATTTTCACTATGTAGAATAGCCATATTTTGTATATCTTTTTTTTAATTTGAGATGGAGTCTCACTCTGTCACCCAGGCTGGAGTGCAGTGGCACAATCTCCACTAACTGCAGCCTCCTCCTCCCAAGTTCAAGCAATTCTCATGCCTCAGCCTCCTGATTAATTAGGACTACAGGTGCAAACCATCATGCCCGGCTAATTTTTGTATTTTTAGTAGAGACAGGGTTCCACCATTTTGGCCAGGCTGGTTTCAAAGTCCTGACCTCAGGTGACCCATCTGCCTTGGCTTCCCAAAGTGCTGGGATTATAGGCGTGACCTACTGTGCCCAGCCTGATATTTAAGAGAACATACTGTACAGACTGGAACCCTGTAAGCATTAGGTTTTTTAAGCACTGAATATTCTTTCTTCATATGGGTGTTTTATAGGAAACATCACCATTTATTCCCTGAGTAGCAAATATGTTGGGGGAAGCAGCAATGGAGGAAGGGTTTACAGTGGGCCTACATAAACTGGTTATAAATAATGTATAAAACAAATCAGGAACAATAAACTTTGGAAGGCCTCTCTATGCCAGCATGTTCCCAGGAACACAGCGACCTAAGCTCTGATATTCTCTAAACATGCTGCCCATGGACATAACACTCCCTTGAAGCACTGGAATGTAACCAGACATCGCAGCTCCTTGCTAAGCCCGCTCCCACCAGCTGCACTGTCTATTGATAAGCATATGCTTTTAGTTCTATAGAAACTCACATAAACCGCCACTGCTATGAATTTTATGTTTGGTGCGCAGCCTCCCTTCACTGATTCACCCTGCCACCAGCACTATAGATAAAAGTGCTGTGTTCAATAAATATTGTGGAAACCAGAGTTCGGGCCTTCACCACCTTCAGTAAAAAGTGATGGTCCTCTGGTCCCACTTTCATTGTTAATCTTTTCCTCATTCCTTTGTCACCACTGAACTCGGGGTACCCACGGGTGGGGTGTGGGGCTGGTTCCCTACACAAATATTTACTGAGAGTTTACAACGTGATCAGTTTTATAGTAGACACTGGCTATATATCCGCTTATAGAACAAATATCCTTCCCTTCATGCAGCCTACAGTTCAGTGCTGTAGCCTAAACTGTATTTTTGAACATGTAAGTTTTTTCCAGATTTTTTGCATAACCTTCCAATGAAAACTCTGTCTAAGTGGCTTCACATATACCTCATTATTTCTTCAGGATATGTTCCTGGACTTTTCTCCTTACATATAAAGTCGAAATTTCAGGCCACACCCTTTTGTTAAAGCCCAATTCAAGGCCTTTCTCCTATTCTGCTCCATCTAATGTGTCAATTTGGGGAATATAAAGGAATCCCCCATGTAAGATTTTCTTTACGCTTAGTATATGTAACATACAGCTCGGTCTTTCCTGTTTCTTGCTATAAGCTATTTTTGTGTATATATGTCTTTTTTTACAAAAATGTAAAATTTTATTTGTTTATTTTTGAGTCGGAGTCTCACTCTGTCACTTAGGCTGGAGTGCGGTGGCGAGATCTCAGCTCTCTGCAACCTTCGCCTCCCTGGTTCAAGGGATTCTTTTGCCTCAGCCTCCTAAGCAGCTGGGATTACAGGCATGCGTCACTATGCCTGGCTAATTTTTGTATTTTTAGTAGAGACGGGGTTTCACCATGTTGGTCAGGCTGGTTCTTGAACTCCTGACCTCGTGATCTATCCACCTTGGCCTCCCAAAGTGCTGGGATTACAGGCATGAGCCGCCATGCCCAGCCACAAAAATGTAAGATTTTCAGACGGTGAGTCTGTTTCTAATATTTCTCTTCTCTCAAAGTATTTGGCAAACCTCATCATGTAATTGTTCTCCAATAATTATTTTCCTTGCATCTCTTAGAGCTTTGAACTCTGGCAGAATTCATCTTTTTTGCTAGGGCCTTATGGGTGTCTGGGCACCTGGTGAACAAGAATTTTTTATTTCAGGGGTTGGTGACCTTCAGAGATGTAGCACTAGACTTTTCCCAAGAAGAGTGGGAATGGCTGAAGCCATCTCAGAAGGATTTATACAGAGATGTCATGTTGGAGAACTACAGGAACTTGGTATGGCTTGGTAAGGATGCTTCTCCCCCATGATTTAAAAATCTTCCTCTGGGGTGTTTTTGCTTCCTCTGTTGAGAATATCTAGGTCATCTTAAAACATCATAAAAGCACTTACTTGCCTTTCTACTTCCCATTCCCAGGAAAGGATTTGAAATACATGTATTTTTAACTTTTTAAGTTTCTTAAATTTTAATTAATTAATTGATTTACTTTTGGCAGACATTCTGACTGCATGAAGTAATTTCATAGAGTTGGAAATGAGTAGTTCCCTTTGCTGTAGAATGGTGGTTTGAAAGAGCAACATCAGCTTGTCCTGGGAATTTGTTAAGATGCAAATTATGAGGCCCCATTCTAGACCTACCAAATCAGAAACTCTGGGAGTAGGCTTGGTAGTCTGAGTTTTAATAAGCTCTTTAAATGATCCTAATGTCTATTAAAGTTTGAGAGCCACCGTAGTTTCTGACTCAGTAGTTCTGGGTTGGGGCCTGAGAATGTGCATTTGTTTTGTTTTGAGATGGAGTCTCACTCTGTCACCAAGCTGGAGTACAGTGGCGCGATCTTGGCTCACTGCAACCTCTGCTTCCCGGGTTCAAGAGATTCTCCTGCCTCAGCCTCCTGAGTAGCTGCGACTATAGGCGCACGCCACCACACTTAGCTAATTTTTGTATTTTTAGTAGAGATGGGGTTTCACCATGTTGTCCAGTATCTCAATCTCTTGACCTTGTGATCCGCCTGCCTCAGCCTCCCAAAGTGCTGGGATGAGCCACCACGCCCGGCCTGAGAATGTGCATTTCTAGTTAGTTCCTAGGTGATGGCTGCAGCTGCTGTAGCACTTTGAGAACCACCGGCATGGCAGAAGCTTCATCCTCCTCATCATCCATACAAGTATCACTCCATTCTCTGACCCATCCTCTAATGTCCATTCTCGCCTGATGATCAAGAGATTGGGTCTGTGTCCTCTAACAGCTGTCACATGTTGATTTATCTGTCTGTATGTCTGCCTCTTGCTCTCATTTTTCTTCCCCTGTGAACAGGACTCTCCTTTTCTAAGCCCAACATGATCTCCTTACTGGAGCAAGGGAAGGAACCATGGATGGTGGAGAGAAAGATGTCACAGGGTCACTGTGCAGGTGAGTGACAGATCCCCAGTCAGGGAGGGCTATTGGAAGGTACTCAACCAAGTAGTAAGTCGGAAACTGTTCTGGGCTTCAGGTGGGATGGGAACGGAAATCTTAGTATGTGCTTCCCTAGAAACCTCACCACACCCTGGGTTTTTTTTTCTTTTTCTTTCAATCAAATTGTACTCTCTAGTCTTCCTATACCCTGAATCTCAGTCCTTCTCAGCTCCTCTTTTCCTTTGATGGTTAGAATTGTATTACACTTCTAGATTTCTTTTCAGAGTTTAAATTTTTATCAAAATTATTAGCAAAGACATGTATGCACATTATTTTTTTCTTTTCTTTTTTGCCTTCTCTGCACTAGTATGCATGTACATTATTTAAAGAGTCAAGTAGTATTCTTAGGTTGCTGCAAAAGTAATTGCGGTTTTTGGCACAATAAATGCTAAATTTTTGGCAAAACTGAACTTATCTTTGCAACAACCTATGCAAGGCTTTTTCTCTTAAAAAAGGAATTCTCGGCCGGGCGCAGTGGCTCAAGCCTGTAATCCTAGCACTTTGGGAGGCTGAGGTGGGTGGATCACGAGGTCAAGAGATCTAGGCCATCCTGGTCAACATGCTGAAACCCCGTCTCTACTAAAAATACAAAAAATTCACTGGGCATGGTGGCGCATGCCTGTAATCCCAGCTACTCAGGAGGCTGAGGCAGGAGAATTGCCTGAACCCAGGAGGTGGAGGTTGCGGTGAGCCAAGATTGCGCCACTGCACTCCAGTCTGGGTAACAAGAGCAAAACTCCGTCTCAAAAAAAAAAAAGGAATTCTCGTTCCCAGTTCTCCAGTTTCCCTCTTCCCAGAGCATCCACTTCTTTTCTTCTCTAGTTTCTTTTGGTGTTTCCTTCATTTCTCCAAAAATATGTTTATGTTACTACTCTTGATTGTCTCTTCAGGTTGAGTCCTTATTTGATATCTTCTTATAAGAAAATAAGGATTTAGCTCTTTCCTCTCCTGAATCCAACACATGTGCACACACACACATACATGCATTTCCCATCCCCCATCTTATCAATGTCGTAATTTTTATTAAGTCAGAATTCAGGATTTACATTATCACAGCCATTTAGTGCTAGTCATAGCTGTGCTGTGAATATGCCAGATTTCTTTTTCTGTATACCTTTTTGTTTTCCCTGGAGTTAATAATGACTTGGAAATTTTGTCTTTTATTTTATTTTATTTTTTTGCTGAATTTATATATACATATCCCTGATCCAATTCCTGACTTACCATCAATTGTCTGAATCTCAAGATACTTGGACATATTAGGCGATCCATTGACTTCATCTTCCGGAAGAAATCTCTCCTGGAATCCTCAGAGATGCTTCTCTGGACAAATGGCTCATTGTATTTGCATGCACTCAGTTTGAATCTACCTGTTTTGATATTTTCTTGTGATTAGATTGAGGTAATGCATTTTTGCAAAGAATGCCACAGAAATAATGCATCATACCAAAGGATGCATAATGTCGATATGTCTTATTAGTGATGTTAACTTTGCGAACTTGGTGAAGGTAGTGTCTGCTTTATAAAGTTCTTATTTTTTCTATTTGTAATTCATAAATATCTTGTGGGAGATATTTGGAGATTACTCAGTTTCTTCTGTAATTTTTGCCCATTAATTTTAGCATTTATTGCTGGATCTCTTCAACTGTTATTACTGTGGTGTTAACCTAATGTTGATTTTTTCATTTCCCGCTTTTTTTTATGTATACTAATTAGGATTATTTTGTATAAAGAGCTGTTCCTTCCCCTCCATTTACTTATATATTTAATTATATTTATGGATTTTTTTTTCTAAGAGGTAAATCTAATTTACCTTATGAAATGTAATGACTTCATAAAACTTAAATGGATTTATTTTTGGATTTATGGATTTTTGTTTCTTTCTGTGAAGTAAATCCAGTGAATCATTATTTTGTTTCTCAAATTGTTCCAGCTTTAAATGTTGGAATTGCCTTCACATTGGTTCCTTTGACCTTCTGACACGCCCCCACGCATTTTTTGAGCACATTCTTCCTTCTGGCACAAGGTATTCTAGGTTATTTTGTTTTCCTTGTCCTAGCCTTGAATCAGCCACTTCTCCAAGGAGCCCTCATTGCTTTTATTGGGAAATGGTGTTTAGAAACTAAGGTCTGGGTGCTAGGTGTGCTTTAGGCTACTGGGATGTCACTGCTTCTGGCCCTTATGGCAGCTAAAGCTGGGAAACATAGATAGATTTGTGCACACACCCCTGTATTTATTTCTGCCTCTTTTTTTAAATTTTTTGTTATCTCTATCTTTTTATGTACCAAAACTATCAGTTTTATTAATAACTTGATTTCTAGTCCTGCTTTACAGAGATTATTGCAGCCTTCCTCCCTTACTTATTTGTAATTTCTTTTTCGGATAATGAGAAAAACTATATTTACCTATTTGTTCAGTTTTAGTATACACATAAAGTAGTTTCAGAATTTCTAACCTATTTCTCTGCGAGAAACAAATTTACCAACTAGATTTAGGTATATGAGTATAGTATTTTTTTGTTTTAGTCTTACAGTATTCAATCAAAATACTATTTCCAAAATTACTTAGGTTAGTTATTTTAGGTTCATTTGTTACTGTTTTTTGTTTGCTTCTTTGTTTTGAGATGGAGTCTCGCTCTCGCTCTCACTCTGTCACCAGGCTGGAGTGCAGTGGTGCGATCTTGGCTCACTGCACCGGGTTCAAGCGATTCTCCTGTCTCTGGAGTAGCTGGGACTACAGGCACATGCCACCGTGCCCAGCTAATTTTTGTATTTTTAGTAGAGACAGGGTTTCACCATGTTGGCCAGGGTAGTCTTGATCTCTTCACCTCATGATCCTCCCACATCAGCCTCCCAAAGTGCTGGATTACAAGTGTGAGCCTCCGCCCCTGGCCCATTTATTACTGTTTATGTTCTATTTTGCATTCCTACTACATCCTGGATTTATTTATTTATTTATTGGTATCTAAAACATTACTATGCCTCTAAGAATCAAAGCCATGTAAAATAGTATAATGTAGGTCTCCAAAAAGTGTTGTGCCCTCCATGTCCCTACTACTTTATTCTTTTTCTCTACTTCTTCCTACCCATTTCCTATTCAACCCTTGTATGTTACCAATTTCTTAGTTTCAAGTTTATCCTTTTTATGTTTCTCTTGCACAAATTAGCAGTTAGACTGGTAGTTGTTTCGTATCATCTTTATATGACAAGCAGTGCACTATGATACATTTTGCATTTTGCTTTTATCGCTTAACAGGAAATCACTTTATATTAGTTCATGAAGATCTTCCTCTTTTTTTTTCTTTTTTTGAGACAGAGTGTCAGTTGGTCACCCAGGCTAGAGTGCAGTGGCACAATCGTGGTTCACTGCAACCTCCACCTCACAGGTTCAAGCAATTCTCCTGCCTTAGCCTTCCGAGTAGCTGGGACTACAGGTGTTCACCACCACACCTGGCTAATTTTTGTGTTATTAGTAGAAATGGGGTTTCACCATGTTGGCCAGGCTGGTTTTGAACTCCTGACCTCAAGTGATCTGCCCTCCTTGGCCTCCCAAAGTGTTGGAATTGCAGGCGGGAGCCACCGCACCGGTCATTCATACGTATTTTTTTTTTTTTTTTTTTTACTCGGAGTTTCACTCTTGTTACCCAAGCTGGAGTGCAATGACGTGATATTGGCTCACTGCAACCTCCGCCTCCTGGGTTCAGGCAATTTTCCTGCCTCAGCCTCCTGAGTAGCTGGGATTACAGGCACGCACCACCATGCCCAGCTAATTTTCTGTATCTTTAGTAGAGACGTGGTTTCACCATTTTGACCAGGATGGTCTCGATCTCTAGACCTCGTGATCCACCCGCCTCGGCCTCCCAAAGTGCTGGGATTACAGGCTTGAGCCACCATGCCTGGCCTCATACGTAGTTTTACAAGGAATTGCCAGAATACCCTCCAGAAAAGCTGTCATAGTTTTTTTTCTGCTGTAACAAATTCAAACACTTTTAGTGGCTAATAGAACACGAATTTATTATAGCTCTGGGGGTCAGAAATAAAAAGTGGGTCTTACAAAGCTAAAATCAAGTTGTCACCTGCCTACATTCCTTCCTAAGGCTATATGGAAGACTCTGTTTCCTTGCTTTTTTTATGCTTTCTTTCATTTTTTTCTTTTTCTTTTTGTTTTTTGAGATGGAGTTTTGCTCTGTCACCCAGGCTGGAGTGCAATGGTGGGATCTTGGCTCATTGCAACATCCACCTCCTGGGTTCAAGCAATTTTCCCACCTCAGCCTCCTGAGTAGGTGGGATTACAGGCACCCACCACCATGCCCGGCTACTTTCTGTATTTTTAGTAGAGACAGGGTTTCACCATGTTGTCCAGGCTGGTCTCAAACTCCTGGCTTCAGGTGATCCACCTGCCTTGGCCTCCCAAAGTGCTGGGATTACAGGTGTGAGCCACCACACCCAGCCAATTTGTAATGCTTTCTTTATGGTCTTTACTCATCCTTTTATTTTCAATTTTTTTGAATAACTTTAAGTATAGGGCTTATATGCAATACAGATTTGAGTTTTACTTTATAAACTAATCTGATTATCTTTTTATTTTAATAGGTGAAAGTCTAATTACATGTTTGATAAGTTTGTTTTTTTTAATTAATTTTTTTAATTGCATTTTAGGTTTTGGGGTACATGTGCAGAACATGCAAGATAGTTGCATAGGTACACACATGGCAGTGTGTTTTGCTGCCTTCTGCCCCTTCAACCACATTTGGCATTTCTCCCCATGCTATCCCTCCCCAGCTCCCCCTAGAGCCCAGTGTGTAGTACTCCCTTCCCTGTGTCCATGTGTTCTCATTGTTCATCACCCACCTATGAGTGAGAATATGCGGCGTTTCACTTTCTGTTCTTGTGTCAGTTTGCTGAGAATGATGTTCTCCAGATTCATCCATGTCCCTACAAAGGACACAAACTCAT